CCGGGGCGTACGCGATGACCGGTTTCCGCTGCCCCCGCGACGCTCCTGTGGTCCTGTGATGCCATCCTTTTCCTCCCCCCCCCCCCCCCCCCCCCCCCCCCCCCACCACCGCTGTGGATATTCTCTGTTGAGGGTCAAGAAAGGTATAAAAGACCCCCGGATGCCCGGTTGTAGTGATCGCCATCTCATTCAACTCTATCTGCTTTTGTCTACATTCCTCTGGGATTTTCAATCATGGTTCAACTCGCATCTTTCGTTACCATCGGCCTTGCTGGTCTGGCTAGCATTGTCTCTGCTCACCCTGGACACGACGTCAAGGCTGAAGCTGCTGAGCGCGCCGCCTTCCTTAAAAGCGTCCCTGTTCAGTCCCGCAGTCTTTCTGGATGTGCCTCTAAGCTGAAGGCCAGAGGTCTTGAGAACCGCAACGTTGCCCGCCGTCAACATGCCGTCAAGAACCTTCGTGCCAGCCGTGGTCTTTCTCAGAGTATGACATTGAGCAATCCCCTCGCCTGATAATATCCTGACAAGAAAATAGCTCCCCACTTCCTGAAGGCTCGCAGCCTCAACAGCACTCTGAGCACCTCTCACCACTCCAGCCTGACTGGCGTCGATCCTTCAACTGATCCGAATGTGCTGTTCGGCTCCGAGGCTACTTGTATCCTCGGTCCCGATGTGACCCAGGGACCTTACTGTAAGAAAGCGTTCCGCTCATGAACGAAGACCCATAGCTAATAGCCACCAGATGTCACTGGTGAACTTGTCCGCGAGGACATCACCGAGGACCAGGAGGGTGTCCCTCTCTTCATGGACATCCAGCTCATTAACACCAACACCTGCGAGCCCATTCCCGAGATCTACACTGATCTGTGGCACTGCAACTCTACTGTAAGTACCCAGTAGCGCGCCTCACTTAGACCTTCATTGCCTCAACCATATAACTAACTTGAATAGGGTGTCTACTCTGGAATTGTTGCCAGTGGCAACGGTGACTCCTCCGATGAGCTGAACATCAACTCCACCTTCCTGCGCGGTATCCAGGAGAGCGATGCCAACGGTGTTGTTCACTTCCAGACCACCTTCCCTGGTCACTACACCAGCCGTGCCACTCACATTCACGGTATGAAGACTATACCATAATATGCAACTTGCGCTAACCCATGTTCCAGTCCTGACCCACCCGTCTAACGAGACTGAAGTTCTCGCCAACGGTACCATCTCCGGTCTCTACACCTCTAGCTCTTCCTACGTTGGCCAAATCTTCTTCGACCAGGACCTCATCACCGCCGTTGAGAAGGTTTCCCCCTACTCCACCAACACCCAGGAACTCACCACCAACGCCGAAGATTCCATCCTCTCCGAGGAAGCTGACACCATCGACCCCTTCATGGAATACGTCTACCTTGGTGATGATGTCTCCGACGGTATCTTTGCTTGGATCTCGCTCGGTATCGACCCTACCCAGGACAGCAGCGTCACCCCCGCTGCTTACTACACCGAGCAGGGTGGTGTTGAGAACGAGAACTCTGGCGGCATGGGCGGTGGTGGCAGCGGCGGTCCCGGCGGTGCTCCCCCCTCTTAAATGAGGAGCTTTTGAGTTGTACCGTGCTTTTTGGAAGCGCACTAGGATGTTGAAAGTGTCTTGATAGGCTATATTTTGTGTTTATTTATTTTTGCCCTCACCAAGCTCTGTTTGGTTTGACGGAGTATTACGCCAAACGGCACTTTAAATATGAATGCATAACATCTGAACAATTAATGGCCCCAGGGGCTGACCAAGGGTTCATGCCCTATGTTTGTTAAGATCAGACCGATTAGTATGGCTAGCATCTACCGAATGTCCACTCTCAGGTTCTGCGGATCTTGGACGCTGTCTTGGACCTCTCGTAATATCAATGATGTCTGGACTTCCGAAACACGATTCCATCGACCTCTCGACTTGGAGCTGCAACTAAGTAGATTCCAGAATTTCTTTTACCCTTTGCTGTGTTACCTTTGGCTCCCGTTACCTTGGACTTTAAGATATCCAATTTCACCATCTAGAACTGTGAGAATTACCATGAACATCGCTGCAAACACAAATTACATTGAGAGAGTAATATGAAAACTATGCTAGGTGAAGTGCTTGATCTCCGCGGGGCCCATGATATCATACAAGCTTCCAAGGCTGAGATGGATATCACGAATGATATTCAGCAAGCGCGTCTGAGGCATAGGCGAGATTCTGAATGACAGCAAGTCCGTACTGGGCGATGTCATTAGTTGCAAGCCAGGCCGCTTCGTCCACAGCCACCAAGACAGCACTTCCGTTCACATGAGTCGTATTCCATGGAGCATTAGGTGCTAGTCCATCACTATCATAGAAGTCCTCCCAGGCTCGCAGAGCGAGAGAAGTGTTCTTTGTCTCGTATGCTGCATATGCTGCAAGTCTGGAATGCGCCTGTAGCAGACTTATCTTGCTGAAACTCTGTCCGTAGCGTGTCTTCTGCTCGGCAGCCGAGGCATGGTAGTAAAAGCAGTAATCTAGCCAGTCTTGCTTGAAACCTTTTGGTAAATCGTCCGCAAAATAGGCGATCGCCTCAGAGACCACCTCGGGCAGACCGAAGACAGCATTCAGGTGTGAAATAGAGACATTGCCCAGGTTGCCTGGGTCGGCTGGGGGAGGGCCTAGCGTCCAAGTGGTGGGGTCGTACAATCCCGAACCGGTCACAAATCCGTTTGTAAGGTTTGCGATTCCCGAGATTGTGTTGTTCAGCTTAGTTTTGGCCTCTTCCCATCTGGAGCCGCGGCGTTCCCATTCAATCAACCAGCCAGCAGCGAGACCTGACCAATCTGTGCCAAGACCGAACGAGACTGTCGAGTTCGGGCTAGGTGTCCATCCGTCGGTGCGGACCTTTCGCTGTGGATCAAGAATTCCGTATGTCTTATCTGTATCGAGCAACTCTTCCAGCAATTCTCCGACGCGCTCGTCACCGCCTGAAAGGTAGAAAAAGTATTTCCGATACTGGGGTTGAGAGATTCGAGCCTGTTTGGCGCTATCGGCCCAGTGCTGCACGCCGTGACGTGTTCCCAGCCCCTTCCAGCCACCAATATGGTATACATCGACTTCACCCGTGTGTCGTGTCAGAGCCTCGGCAAACCGGTAGGCCTCTTCGTTGCCAGTGCGAAGGAAGTAAAGCCAGAAAAAGAGATCCGGGGAAAGCTCGGAGTTGTCCCAGGCATACCCGCCGACGTCGTAACGCCATGTGTGTCGGTCAGTGTCGTATGTATGCATAAAATCACCATAGTCCAAGAAGCCGTACCAGCGTCGCTGCTCAATTTGGTCACGATAGAACTCGAAGATGAAGTGAAGGTGATTTTCAAGAGTAGTTGCGGCTTCGCTGGTTGTGTCTGGTAGGTTCCAATACTCCCCTAGGGCTTTGGTCTCGTGGATATATTTGGGCTCGGCAACCAGCACCGGGGGATTGTTCACAAATGCAGCAAGTGATGATAACTTGTCACTTGTTGGTGTTTCATCGAAGGCAAACAGATACACTTCGCTGGTACGAGCGATTCCATATGGAGTATTGAACCCGGGTTCATAATCCTCATAGGTGATTTCCAAAGCGTCAAGTTCATCTGTGTATCCATTTTGCCCTAGTCCGTCATGGAAGGGTCGAAGGTCTAAAGGATCGGCAGCCGGACTATAGAGCCAGAGCGTCACCTCACCCGTGTCGGATGCCGCGTTAGAGATATCAAAACCAGAAGGATACCGCTTCCAAAAGTCGCGCAGGCTGACAGCAAGGCCTCCTTGAGTGGCACCTCCAAGGTACGCCAGACCTTCGGCACGCGTTCCACTAGGGATTTTGACCCAGGACTGTCCAGCCTTTGTTCTTTTCTTGATGCTGAATCCGTCGGCCGTCAGTTGGCTGAGACTGTAGTCTGCCCATGTGGGAATCCACTTCAGCCGGGAAGTGACGCGAGAATCCCATGTGTCTGTAGCAGGCAGCTTCCGACCTTCAAATTGGGCAGTTTTCACCTCTTGGCCGGGATCACGTCGCAGTCCCGTAATTCCTTGAACCGCTTCATTGAAAATACCACCATCCACACCGGCAAATCTGACGTGTCGGTCGTAGTATTCCTCGCCCTTCAGTGGAACATCGAATCGAATACCGAGCCCAGTGATGAAATCCTCCTCCTCCCCGTCAAAAACGAGACTGTGCACAACTTTGATCGTGGCAGAGTTGGCGTAGAGGTAAAACCTGACGACAAATGGGAGCCAAGGATCGTGGTCAGCGCCATCAGTCACAGTGTGGTTTCCGCGAACCGTGACAAGGGTACGAATAGAGGTCTGATTGATGGAGACCTCTTCGACATTGCTTTTGAAATTCGAATATTGAATGGAAGAGTTGGCTCGGCTGTCGAAATTATCTGGTACCGAGTCCTGGGAATGCAGAACAAGTCTTCCGTTCGTGCCAATGGATTTGCCACTGCTGGTCTTGATCTCGCTCACGATGATGTTCCCGTTTTTGGGGAAGGAAACGGCGACTTTGCCTGTGTTAATCTTGACTGCCTCGGAGCTGTCGGTGATAATGATGGAGCTGTTGGATGTGCTGGATACGGAAGGCGAAGAAGAATTCTTCCCACATCCGACGGACGATGCAACAACCGTGTATTGATCATAGATCTGATCCGATTCGGCAATTGCATGACCTGTCCACTTGAGGGACCCATCAGCCCAGTAGCCGGTGGCCCAAGACTGGAGCCCTTCAATCTTCTCATCATCACCGACAAGACTAAAGTCCGTCTTGCCTGGCTGATATTTGCCTTGTGGCCATGGCAAGCCGAATGTCACGCCAGAACTGTACGTTGGCTTTTCTCCAAGCCAGTGAACTGCCGCAGACGATGAGGTGCAGTTGGATGCTGAAGTTCGATGGCCCATGAGTCCAACGAAGGCCAACAAGCCAATGCCCAGTTTCGACATGGTATGCTGCCTAAATGATTGAGAGATTGGCGCATTTCTGCGTTTGCGAGGTGGAAACCCCCTCTTAAATGCCTATTGACGCAATTCACCCGAGCTATGAGCACGCCGAAAGTACTCTTGGCGATTTAGCAACAGGAAGAGGAGATTGCACCTTGGCATCAAATCTCCTGGTATGAGGTGCCCAGCGCTCGATCGCTTTTTAGTGGTAATGATTGGTGGTAAGTCGATCAAATTTCACCGAGGAAAGTGACATTGGGGTCAAGCTAACCCATGACCCGCGATGCCTGTCGTGACTTCTGAGGCATTGTGCTGTTGCCCCGCACCAAGTTGACCTGGCCTCGGGGATGTCGGCCTAAGGGCTTCCGAGTAGTGCAATTTCGGAACCGGATATTCAGTTATTCCGCGCAGTAGTTTTCCCAAAGGAGTAATTCTCCTTCGAGTTCGCTAAGCTTCATAAGAGAGAAATCAATCAGTCAAAGCACGCCTGAGATTCAAAATTATCTAGCCAGCAAGGGTCAAAGCTCCAGTCCCCCACACCCCTTTGTTCTCTTCTGCGAAAAATCATCCAATCCTGTAACCCCATTGGTTAAGAAACACTACCCCTTGAATAAAACTACGCCCACCATGTGATCGGCCAAAATATAGTCACTGTTTGAGATGGACCGATTCTGCTATACACTATCGCTGGCTCCCTCTGGGACCAGTTGATTCTTTTCCCTTTCAAGCTTTCCAAGGTTTTCACTTGAACATTAGCCTTCGATGTACAACATTGACGTCTCGTCGTTGCGTTCATGGATCCTTGTTGAATATTCTAACCTTTGGAAAGTTCAATTGCCGGAGCCCTAATTAGAAAAACACTTCAGGATATCTCCAATATCGAGCTCTCGGGTCATCCTACTCAACCTTACTTAAGTAGAAGTACGCTAAGGGCTCCACCTAAGCATACTTATCTCTTCAACTTGAGACCACCAGTTCTCAAGTTTACTTAACCAATTGCCAGAAACGGCTCCAGTAACCCTGATGCATATACTTAAGTATGGGTCTTCTAAGGGTGCAAAAACTGACTTCGATGGCTCGGAAGGGAGTACTTAAGTGTACATGTAGACAAAACATATTTGATTCCAAGACTTGATGTGATCACATCTATAGATGTTCCAACATTTATATACATCCAGGTATGAAGTGAACCAAGCTCCTTCCACGGATATCGTTGCTCGAATGGCACACCGTAGGCCGCCGGGACGATAGACAGGGGCCGAAGCGAAAAGCAGGAACTTTAGAAAAGCTCCATGGACCGAAATTCCAAGGCAAGAATCCACCTAGGAGGCTTGACTAGCCCAGGCGAGGGATGATCATTTCCCTGTAAATGGCCATTAAACATTCAGGCCAGCGGCAGCAAGTGATAATCCGGCAAGTAAAAGAATTTGAACTCCTTGGGCCCCGGCAGCGTTGTCTTTGTCCTCAGACGCCGCAGCGGAGCTTGAAGCTGCAGCACTAGATGTCTCAGCCGGTCCATCGCAGTGCCAGTGATCGCCATGGGGCTCGCAGCCGATAGACTCAGTGGGACTAGGCGCCGTTGGTGAGGCTGTAGCGGTTGTGGTTGCGGCGGATTCACCAGTGGTGGATGTAACAGATGATACAGCAGTGGATGCCGGGCCATCACAGTGCCTAGAGAGCATATGTTAGCTAGCCCGAACACATATACCAGGTGACACGGTCGAACAGGTTTGAGGGGGCAAGCATACCAATGATCACCGTGAGGCTCACAGCCGACTGAGGCTGTGGGGGATGGACCTGCACTCTGGCCAACAACAGCGGATGAGACCAGAGCAGTAATTGCGAGGAAACGGATGAAGAAACCCATTGTGTATACTTCGAGTCGAAAAGGTCAGCAAAGTGCTGCTAGGTTGAAGTGAATGGAATGTGAAAGAAAAATCCAAGGAGAGTGCGCACCGTTCTTATATCTGCATCCTCAGCAAGAACAGCCCCCAAGAAAAGCCCGTGTTCCTGTGGGAAGGTCATCGCGCCAAGACATCAGAAAGTCTTGGTGCCCCAAAGGTTCTCATATAACCTTGGCACAAAGGGTATCCCGCCCTCGGGTTGGTTCTCTCTGACTGAATGGCTAAGGGTGTTTCAGTAATATACTCCAGTGCCAGTTCTGATTTGTTGTGCCTGGTTGATCGTGCCCTGAGTCGGTCTTTGGAGGGACCGTGCTGTGAACTAGTAATCCTCGCCAGAGCAGGGAACAATCCATATTCTCCACCGAAGACCCTGCATTATCTCAGAGTCAGTACTATGTACTCTACCTATGCAATTTTAGCCGGGTATCTCGGGTCTGGTCCCTCTTTTGAAACCGAGATCGATTCTTTGAATAAAGCTGCAATGAATGAGACTATAATTCCCTGACAGCTTCATGAAGGTTGCTAGATGAATTTTGGTTTCCATAGTTTCTCACATAGTCTAAAATGCCTTGCGAATCTCTAGGCACAGAGCGATTTTGAATAAAAGTGCCTGAACTTGGTCAAATATCTATCATCAAATCTCCGTTCTAGTGCTTGATTGCCTCCCAGTACTGGGCCTGGAACGCATTTTTATTCAACCCAAGAGGATTGCGACCATAGCCAATCTCAGAGCCTTGTACCTTCAAGCCCGGTATTGTAACTTCACCAAAAACAACCTCTGGATCACGGAAGTCAAACCCAATTCGAGTACTCAAAGCCACAATCTCATCCAGCGATAACTGTACAAACGGACCCGTTCCGTACATCAAAGGGCCCAAATTAATCCACCTCCCTCCAGGGCGGAGTAAGCGATGGATATTCTCAAGATACGAGACCAAATTGCGGGCAGTGTCAATGAAGAACAGAGTGACGATGATATCGTATTGGCCTGTTCTGCCATTGAAGGCCGTAGTGAAGTCCCCTTCCACATGTAAAACAGATAATGGGTCAGCAGCCTGATCTGGGAAAGCAACAGCTCGCTGAAAATCGGAATTTGTTGCATGGTGAGACCACCAATCTATGTATGGGTGAAATGATACGCTGTTTCGCTCCGGTCGACTCGAAACGTATCGATAGGCAAGGTTCATGTAAGCAGACCATTCATTCATAGTGACCTCAAAGCCTGGTATGGAGTCAGCTATAGAGCAGTCGGATCGGTTCCATCGAATTGCACCCACCTCCTAGTTTTTGAATGTCATGGGCTAGTCTTCCCAGTCCCGCCCCGGGCAGCAACACGTGCAAGGGAGCATCGACCGTTCTGGGCTCGCGGTCAAGGGTTTTCAAAACACACTGAAAAGCTTGTAGTCGCTCTTCCTGGCCTTCCTCGCTCCAATCACGCACAAAGTGTTTCATGCCCTGTGTAACGCTTGTCTTATCAATCGGCCTCCCTTGGGCCTCGGCCTCCTTGATGAAATCATTTAGCTCCACCTGAGTGATGTTATAGAACTGTAGCCCATATTCAGCGATGGAGCTAGCAAGCTTGACATTCACTTCGAGTAAGGAATCGACGCTCTCCAATTTGCGGGGGTAGTCGACCGCAGACTCGAGCAGCTGAGGAGATTAGATTGGCCCACATGGGAAGCGCAGGTTGTGACTCGAGAGGCTTACCAGTCTTTGGCGTTTGGGAACCTTTTTGTAAAGATCCTTCCACCGATTGATATCCGACTGACTTCCATCCATGTATCTTGTAAAACCATACAGCGCAGTCAACAATCTATATCGGGGGTGAGAAGAATCCCACTTCCCGGTCGACCTTTCAAGCGTTTGTAACAGACGAGCATGCTCTTCTGGGTGCCCATAAACCACTGGAACTGTGTCCTGAGGAGTGGAGGATCTGTATAGGAGCACATCATGGGCGAATCTCTGTTCATGTTAGCATATGAGGTGATGTATGCATGGAGACATGAATAATACCTCAATTTGGAGCGAGAAGCGAATTGCAAACTCGATCCAGGCAACGCATGCCAGGATTAAAAACACCTGGCGCCGTGTACTATAGACCATTTTGATGAATGAGATGGATAGAATTTTGAAAACATCCATCTTCATGTGAAGCGGAATGCCAAGCCGTGCCAGTCTCAAGGTCCTCGATGCCAAGGTCGCTTGGCGCTTCCCGGGTGTTTTGCGGCATATACTTTGGATTGAGAATTGACATTTTGGCATGTAATCAGGAGCCCAGCAAGAGGGGTACCGCTGTCTCTCGGAATCTAGACCCCCGAACGCGGAGCCTTCGACAAATTCATACCAAGGCCCGGTGGGCTCCAAAGCGCAAAGAAGTGTCGTCAGAGCTTGATGTCTTGTCTTGCCGACCTATATCGGAAATCATCCGGGTCATGGTCTGAGCGCGGAGCCTTCCCGAGTACATCAGACCCTGTGGGTGTTTCCAACAGCACGGAGGTAAGCTAGACCAGCCACGGATGAAAATTGCATGAAGATATGAGCCCTTTACCTACTACCTTCCTCTTCGAACAATCCGTGTATTTGCATCTTACACATTAGCATCATGCTGAAGTTAGCGTGTTTGCATAAATAAGTCTGCCTGCCTTCTGTCTGAATTAGACTTCATGTTGCAAAGATCTGCAACACCAATCAGTCCGACCTGTCTATGTAGCAATGAGCAGCAGCAGGGTGAATGGAGGTAAGTCCATGAAAGAGATGAGAAAAAGAAGGCTGCATGATATTGAATAATGTAAAAGCAGGAATGTGCTTTCTGATATTTACAGATATAAGAAGTTTAGCAGGAGGGACCAAGTTTGGTCGCCTGCGCTGGTGACATCATGCGAAGAAGCACTATTTGTGAATCCCAACGTGGCAGTTGGATCCATCATCGGCCCCGTTCAGCGTTGGAGGCATCAAGTTGCGATGGTTCACCATAAAAGGTGAGCCGGGGAGAATATCGTGTTTTCGCCTTTCGGAAAACGTCTGCCATTTTTGCGGGCACAGGCTATGCTAGAGAGTCGTGAAATCGTTCACTGAAGACGGAATGTTGCTCCGCTACAGTCGGGATAGCTTCATGTGTCGGTTGACATCTTTGTAGAGCAGGTAACGGAACTTTCCAGGACCACCCGCGTAGCAGGCCTGAGGGCAGAAGGCACGCAACCACATGAAATCGCCTGCCTCCACCTCCACCCAGTCCTGGTTGAGTCTGTATACGGCCTTGCCCTCCAAAACGTACAAGCCATGCTCCATAACGTGAGTCTCAGCGAAGGGAATCACACCACCAGGCTCGAAAGTCACAATGGTGACATGCATGTCGTGGCGCAAATCGGTGGGGTCCACGAAGCGGGTGGTTGCCCAAGCACCGTCGGTGTTTGGCATGAAAGTAGGCGCGATCTCCTTTTCATTGAGGAAGAGAGGATCAGGTTGCGCAAGGCCCTCGACAGCTTCGTATGCCTTACGCACCCAGTGGAAACGGGCGGTTGTCTCGCCGTTGTTGCGGAGAGTCCAGCCACTCTTGGGTGGCAGATAGGCGTAGCCGCCCTCGGTCAAGGTGTGCTTCTCCCCCGCGAGGGTGATGGTCACTTCACCTTCGACCACAAAGACCACACCCTGCGCACCGTCGTCAAGTTCAGCGCGATCACTGCCACCGCCAGGTTGGACTTCCATAATGTATTGTGAGAAGGTTTCGGCGAAACCTGATAGTGGCCGTGCAATCACCCACAACCGCGTCTGATCCCAGAATGGCAGGAAACTCGTCACAATATCGCTGAATGTTCCTTTGGGAATAACGGCGTACGCTTCGGTGAACATGGCTCGGTCGGTGAGGATCTGTGTCTGTGGGGGCAAACCGCCCGTGGGTGCATAGTATGCACCCACCTTCTTATCGTTTCCCATGGCGTGTTGGTCGGCGTGTGGGGTGATAAGAGGATATAGTGACAGTATGAATTATCGGAGAAGAGGAGGATTGAGAGGATTGGGAGGGTTGAAGTGGAAAGAGGACTTGAAAAAGCAAACGGGTTCCCCGCAGATTAAAAGCAAAGTCCTTATCCGCCGTTCCACCAGCAGATTGCCGGCGTTGACCGCGCACTCGGCTCAAACCGACGGTGCCGGCCGATTGTGCAGTGGATCCAGATGTCCGACACATCCTTGTTATTAATCGCATTGCATCAATTCTCATTGTTGAAATCACCAAATGCGTGAGATTCTCGGCTTACCGTTCTCATCAATTGATGTTCGCACATGGGCCCTCACACAAGCATTTTGAATACGAGACGCGCCTTGACTCATCGCCCACGTGATGCATCGGGGAAAGGGACCTGGCAGCTCTGTCCTTCTGCAAAGAGACAACATTCGCAATGGATGAAATTCATGATGAAATCGCAAAGGAGCTTTCGCAAACCGAGTTCGCGTGCTCGACGCTCACTCGTTTATCTGGCGGCACAGCAAACTTCGTGTACCGAGGCACCCTTGCGTCTACGGGCGATTCAATCGTCATCAAACATGCCAAGGAGTATCTAGCCTCGAATGAGAATTTCAAACTCGAGATTACACGATGCGTTCGTTGGCAAGAAAGAAATACCCATGGCCGTGGAGCTAATTCGCCTTAGGACCATGAGATAGCCATCCTACAGGCCCTAGACAGCCTACCAGCCCTTTGGCAGGATAATGTGACAGTCAAAACACCGCGCATGCTGTATGCAAACCCAAAAACTCATACACAAGTATTAGAGGATCTCCCCAACTCCAGTGATCTCAAATCATTCCTCCTCTCGGGGGGTTCTGACTCCTTGTCGGAAGCTTCTGCGCTGGGTATCGGTCGCGCACTGGGCTCATGGCTGCGCTCACTTCATACTTGGTCTGCCGAGAAGAAGCAGGGTGCGTCCGAGAATTTCCGGCGCGAGAACATACCCATGCAGCAGCTCAAGTTCTATGCCAACTACACCCTGTTGATTGAAAGTGTCGACAACTTCCCCGCTCTTCTGGGGGATTGCCGCAGCTTGTTTGAGGAGATCCGTGATGTCGCCGCAGTGGAACTAGAGAAGGATGATCATACCAGTGAACATGGAGTTATCCATGGAGACTTTTGGACGGGAAAGTGCGTTTGAAAATATCTCTTCCGGAGTTTACACACTAATAGGCAATTCCAGCGTTCTTGTTCAGAACAACTCCAATGCAACAACGCTTTTCATTGTTGATTGGGAACTGTCGCAAGTTGGAGCTCGTGCATTAGATCTCGGCCAAATGATTGCTGAGCTATACGAGACCAAGCTATTCAAGAATCTTGACAATGGACTTCAGATTATACAGGGCTTCACAAAAGCCTATGGTCCGATCGATGACGGGATGGCTTACCGGACTGCGATTCATGTCGGTGTTCATTTGATTTGTTGGGGCAGCAGAGTTCCTGGGTGGGGAAGCCAAGAGCAGGTTGAGGAGGTGGTCAAGGTTGGCAGGGATATCATTATCCACGCGTGGAAGAAGGATAAGACCTGGTTTAGAGAGGGACAACTGGGCTCCTTGATCGCGATTTGAGCGAGACAATGAATCACATTTTGAACTCACAACACTCTTAAGAGTATACTGGTGCAATCCTTACTTACGAGAGAAATGGATCAGCTCATACCTTTCAAAATGGATGAACCCTCTCTGGCAATACGAGTTTCTTGGTTTCTATCAGGGTCTTTGCCTGGAATTGAGATCGTCGAATTTTCTGTGCGAGCACCATTCCGACAGAAATCTTGGAAGCGTGCTATGCTTACTCCTTCACCTGCAGCACTTCCGAAATTCGCCTTCACCCCGCAGGATTGGAAGACCGAAACAAATGCAGGATATCCCGTGTTACGACGTTTTCTCCGCGTTGACATCACATCGTTTCATACAAAGTGTTGCTGATTGGGACAACGCTCCGAATATCGTATTCAGCGTATTGCTATGTGACTTCTTTTGAGAGTAGTATATTCATTTTTCCGTGTTACACAATCCATAACCCGCGAACCCTGGAAGTATCAGATCTAGATCTCCCGCGTGTTCGTGTAATCAGAACCCCTGCTGCTTGGACGTCTCATATGTAGGGTCAAGTATCCCACCAGTGGCGATGTACTGACACCAAAACAGCGTAATTTCGGGCTTCTCCTCCGTTTACGCCCTGTTAAATAGTTCTTGGCTGTATACCCAAGTTGAGTCCGGAGTACTATGCATCAGACTAAGATTGTTGATGACCTGCATAGTACGTAGATCACAGCGAGCCTCTACAAGGAAATACACAATTATTATCCGCGCCACATGGTTAGCCAAATTCAGCATGGCATTTCCCTTCGCAATGGATGTTTCTAAAAAAAAGTGAGGAGGTCGTGATGATCTGTTCCTAAAACATATCAGACTGCTCAAGTGTGCGCAGCTTGCTCCATACAGTGTTGGAATTTTCGGGATATACAGAAATATTCGGCCAGGGATCTCTTTTAGTTAGGCTACAGCATTGAGGGCCCGATTCATTCACGATAAAGAACCGGTCGGGCGACGAAGCAGGGGGCCTAGACGCGCTGCACAGCCGACAGAAAAGGGCCGACGCAACGCATGCTCCATCTCAGCGGTAAACAGGAAAAACCTTGCTGGGCCAGATATAGACTGACGCGATGGCTTGGCGAGGAGCGTCATGGGTGTTGACTGCGGGGATAGAGGCACTAGGATTTTGGCAACGGCGGAGTCCACGGGATCCGCTGCGGGAATGATCGACGCCCACCCCACGCCGAGCATTCCTCTCGGAGTGGCGCAGTGGTGGTTATTGAAGTCAGAACAAAACAGATCGGGGTAAGATTGATTTCATGTCCGATGCATCGAGTTAGGATCATCCCTACTGATAAGCATTTGACACACAACGCTGACATTATCCGACCTCCTTTCACTTCTCCGGATCTTCACTTATCCTGAACTTCATCGCTGCAATGATTCTAGGATGACGAGCTTCCTTCGATTTTGACGGTTTCAACTTGCTTTGCTGTGCATTCAAGCGTTACATTGAATCGATCGAACCACCGATCTCACACGGAAAATCCCCTTAATTTGACCTCGTCACATGGTGATGTCACAAATTGCAGGCCAACCGCGGTTTCAAGCCAAGTCGATGAATCCCGCCAAGCTGGCTACCCGACGAATTGGAGCCGTATTGAATCCTTGCTGAGCAATAACTCAAAATGACCGGTCCTTGGCAATTTCGGCATCAGGAGCCTGGGAGGGGGTGCGTTTAGGCTCTGCCGAGTCTGAAGGTATCATGAACTCGAAAACTAACACGACTATCTTTCCTTGGCGCCGTATTGCTTTTTCCGGCTTGAAAGCAATTTCAGTGCCGAAACATAGTGCGGAGGGCTTTTCCTTGCTCGGCTGAGTTCCAGTCGCCAATCGACCGGCTATTCAACGAATGACCCTCTCTTACCCCAGACATGCCACAAAAGTGGACACACCAAACTCAATACCTGACTGCACTGAAGAATGCCAAGGTGAAACTGTCAGCATCAATCAGAGCAAAGCAGCCGTCTAGTCAACGCCAAGAATTGAAATTCGAGGCTGTGTGGTCGGAACTTAGCCGTTGGCACGCATAGATAAGACTACCTAGTGATGAACCATCGACCACGCTTCCGGAGATCATCTTGGCATCCAGTCTCACTACTTACAGATCTTGGGGCCCATGAACGGACTAGTATGGGTAGGCTAGTCGATCCCTTGGCAAATAAACTCTACCTTTCACAGTTTCAGGGGCCAGACCAGCCCATGTCTTCTTCGACACGTTTGCTGTAGCTGCACACATTTTTGCATCAAGGTGCTGGGATGAATGCATGCAAGCTTCGGATAAAATATCGACAGGTCAACTATTTCAAAATTTGGATTCAGTCTGTCGCTGTCTATATCGCAAGTGAGCACCAATCACGATTGGAAAGCGTAATCCCGCCGCCAAGATAGTTTGTTCGCAATGCTGCCAATTCCAATACTGATAACACGGAAGCCTAACAATCGGCTCTTGACGTATATGCCCCACCGACCCATCGTAATTACCGTACTCTCAGTTGGCGGAGTCGAGCTGCACTTTAATGTTTGGTAGATTCCCGCGGATGGAAAACGCTTGCAGCGAAGATGATCGTCGCGCCAAGATTAGGCTGAGATTCCGCCAAGTTGGAGTGTGAGATCAATCCATTTGCCGGTGTTCAACCGTACCAGAGTGTTCTATTCGTCACGAAAAAGAAAAGAAAAAAGTGTTGATATAGGCTTTCAGAGAGAACTCGCGAGTTGATGTTCTTCACGTAATGGCTGGGCCGGGAGGCCAGATCTGTCCTGGATAGAGATTTTGTCTGACATATATGCCCCCGGCTGTGTTACAACGCTCAACAGCGGTAGGGATGGAGTAGGTATCATTGTTTCATGTCACCGGGGTATTTTCTTATCTCGCGCTTGGCGCTGATCCAGTGTTTTCCTTGCATGGGGGATGTCGGAATAATGGCGAAATCTGGGTCACTATTAAAGAAGACCAAGCCTGCCAGGTCGGATCTATCAGCTTGTTCCACTCCGCCAACAGTTCTTCCAAGGTTGATTAGATCGGTGGATTTGTCTATAAATTCGCCTTCGGAACTTTATATATCCACATATATCATCATGCACAATCAACCTCCCTCCCCTTCGGACACGATAGCGCCGATCAAGACTATTACATATGACACCCCTGACAGCCCTCAAATTAATCCAAATGATTTGACGGCAGCCAATTTCCGCCTGGAGACAACAAACGATGAGACGAAATATACCCCTGGACTGTGGTCCTCTGGTGGTAGCACTGCAGTTTCCCTTTCCGGAAATCAAACGCAGGATGAGAACTCGATGCCGGCAACCCTCTCACGCCACTTCCGAGCCAATATAGATACCACACATACGGATATCATTCTAGTAGTATGTGGCTTTGTTGGAGGATTGGTCGACGGTTTATCATTTAATGCATGGGGAAGTTTCTCCAGTATGCAAACAGGTATGTACTATTCCCAACGTCGGGAGTCGGGTTCAAAGCATCTTCACACCGGGACTTCAGGAACTTCGGAAGGCAGAGGACTAACACCACCCAATAGGAAATACTGTCTTTCTAGCCCTCGGTGTCTCCGGTCAACCTGCCTACCCCGCATATCTGTGGGCCAAATCCTTGATTGCCATCACCGTCTTCATCGTCAGCAACATCTTCTTCATACATATGCATCGATTCCTCAACCCACGACGCCGCTCAACAATGATTATATCATTTGGCATTCAGACAATTGCCATTCTTATCGCCGCCATACTTGTTCAACTCGGCGTTATTCTCCCAAAGCCGGAGGACCCTCGTGCCCCGATAGAGTGGATGCAGATTTTACCAATCTCCCTTCTATCGTTCCAAGCCGGTGGCCAGATCTGTGCATCCAGAATCCTTGGGTTTGATGAGATTCCCACGGTTGTTGTCACTACACTCCTATGTGACCTGCTCGTCGACCCAAAGTTGACTGCCAAGGGTAACCCAAGGCGAAACCGTCGGATAGGTGCATTCCTTGCCTTGTTCTTTGGTGCTATGACAGCTGGTGGACTTTCCAAGGCTACCGGTATGGCATCCAGTCTTTGGTTTGCCATGGGGCTGAAGCTCACAATCACTTTGGGGTGGTTTGTCTGGAAACGCGAGGGTAGGAGAAAGAGCGATGTTGATGTGTGATCTTACGAACCCCTTGGATTTTGAATTTCGCTTGTTTTACTTTCTCTGATTTGATATATCGCATTATTAGCGGGCATATTTTGGGTGGCTTATTGTGTATGATGATGCGACGAATCATGGAATTGATATTGTTAAATTATCCCAGCATTTCATCTGCGGATCTACTCCAGGGCTTGGAGGACATTTTGTGGTGGACAAATGATCACCTTGTTTTGAGCAAAGTTTAATGTATCAACGAAAATCAAAATTGAAATGTTTGATAGTTTATCCTCATCGCCCATTGGTTATTTAAAATGCTCAACTGAGAGGCTGTGACACCATTCGGTGGCCGACTTCTCGGGATTCTCACAACCCTAACAGAACCGCACGTGGTGCATTCGAGTAACCCCCAAGGTTATCTCCAGGGCTTGAATATGGCAATTTTCAACCCATCAACGAGAACTCAAATCACACATCCGACGAGTCAGCCACATATCAGCCTAAAGGGGTTCAAGTGTGCCCAACTCAGCTGACCTTGTGAGGCGCCGAGGCGCCGCAACGCCCGCTTTACATTTTTTTTTAATCACCCCAGTTCGATATTAAATTTTCTTTCAAGGCACGTGGGTAATGTTTCAGTTCATCTCAATCGATGTGTCCAATTCTTCGGAAGTCAAGAAGGATCACTCGGCTATTCTAGCCACCCGGCTTCTGCCCCTGCAGCGGCGGTGAAGTACTCCTGAAATCCACAGTGCTTGATCTATAACCACAGAGTACGGAGTACTTGCGGAGTATAATGGCATATAATTATTTACAAGGTTCTAAAGTTACACATTTATCTAAACCTTAACTTGCGGATTACTGCCCATGAGGAACATTCCAAGCCAGATGTTGAAGCCTGAGTGCCGGTGAATGCCCTGATGGGTGTTAGATGGAATTCTCATCAAGCCTAAAAACGTTTGTGCAAAACGAGCTACATTTGATATCGAGTTCCAAGATCTTCTTCTTTAATCTATTCTATAAATCTATAAGTCGCCATTTTAATATTCTAGTCGGGTATTACCGATCATTTGCCCTCCTCGCCCAAGACAAAGTGGAGGACACCTGGCTGTGCGCCAGGACGGTTACTCTCAGAGACATAAATGCACTTGCGGAATGTCATCATCAAAGAATAGAGGAAGCTCTCCTCTTTCTCCTCGTGGTAGTTTTCACCAAGCAATGGCTGGATTGCCTTGGTGGCCCGCTCAGCGTTGTAGAAAGGAATGCGGCTGAACAGGTGGTGGACGACATGGTAATCGATGATTTCGTGGAAGAAGTGGCGGCCAATGAAGCCAGTTGTGCGATCGATAGTAGCCAGTGCGCCCTTAGTGTAGGTCCAGGCCTCGGCAGTATAGTGGGGAACAGCGGGGTGGGTGTGCTGAAGATAGGTGATAGCAACTGCGGATCGGGTTAGATGAAGTTCAAGGGTAAAGAGAATGAAAGGGTGTTCAAGACGTACTCAACCAGTGGTGAACCCAGAGGTAGGGAATGACATAGAGCAGCACCATGTTCCATGCGCCAATGATAGTGCCGAAGTAGTACACAATGGAGCCCATGATCAACAGACCGAGGTCGGAATAGGCAATAAGAATCCACTGAGAAGGTGTGAAGAGAGCGCTGGATGGGTTGTAGTGGCTTGCAAATGCGATTTTGCCCTTATCCTCGGGTCCGCTCTGAATACCAGCGGTGACATTGAGGAAGAGGTACAGCTGCCATCCCATCAGTTGGTGGCCAATGAGTTGAATGAAGGAAACAATTGGAGTCTCCTCAGCAAGGTGCTTCAGCTGCTCGATCTTCAGGTTCTTCTTGGAGGCCAAGTCCTTATCAGTCCAAGGGACAAAGACGGTGTCCTTCTCCATGTGGCCAGTGTAGCGGTGGTGGCGAGCATGGGTGATCTGCCATGAGAAGTATGGGACCATAAGGAAAGAGTGGGCAGCCCAACCAATGAAGTTGTTCACGGTCTGGTGCTTGGAGAAAGCTCCATGGCCGCACTCATGGGCAAGGATCCAGAGTCCGGTTCCGACACATCCCTGGAAGAAGCCATATGTAATCCAGGCCACAGTGCGCAAAAGCAGAGAAGGGATGAGATGGATGTGCAGCGCGGCGTAGATCAGAGTTGCGCAGTATAAAATATCCCGAGCGAGGTAGAGGAGCGAGATAGGAAGTGAGGATTCAAAGCAATCTTTTGGGATCGCATCCTTGAGCTCCTTGAGGGTAGGAACTTCGTCCTGTCGCGAGAATGACAAGTCAACATTGGCTCAATTGTGGGTTTAGATCACGATATTCACTGAATTCTTACCTTGTGTACCCGCTCGACAGGCTTGATGTCCACCGCGGCCATTTTGTGGGAATGCTCTATACTGACAGAGATGAGAAGAGGTGCAAGTTCAGAGCATTGGGGGAATTTTTTTTTTAGCCTCAATTTTTCGGCCCCGTTTGCCCCCGTGAAATGATCCCTTCGCGGGAGCTCTACTCCGTACAGCGGAAAGCGAAAACATTGGCCAATCTGATTTCTACGAAAATTGTTCCAGAAGACTGTCAGGCTCGGGGCACAGACAGGGGATTTGCAATGTGATTGGTCCATCGCTTCTCGGGTGGACGTTTGATCCATGGATTAGCCTTGCACTAGCCTCTTTTTCTTTTCTTTTTTTCTTTCAACGTTTCTGGGGCCCAACGGATTCCCCTAGCTATTTGACTTATCTCTCCTCAATTGATTTCTCCTCGAACTCCCGGTGACCAGAATGGTGGTATGTTGCCAGATTCAATCAATGCCTCCAATCGTTCCCATCTATACCACGGGACGAGGGTGTTGGCCACCCATGCGAGTACTTTATCTACGGCGCGGGAAGCTCCCTACAGCCCCTTTTTAAGATGATCCGGGTCCACCAATGGGCAACGGTTGGGAAAAAACTTAAAATGGATGGCTTGGCGGCTAAAATTATCGCCCTCCCCTGGTGCGCTAGCAAGGGGAACCTCCGAGGCGCATGTCGATTGAGTTTACTCCGTACTTTGGTATTGCTGTCGCTACGGCAAACACTTACACGTGCTATTCCCACCCGAACACCAGTTGCGTGGCAATTCCAGTCGACGGTATTTGCGTTCAATGCAATGCAACTGCGGAAAAGCCATGTGCAAGTATCCGTTGGAGCAGTTCTGTTCCGACAGATCAAAATCTGTTGAGAGCGTCCCCTACGAATTGATCATCGTCCTATAACGGGGCACCATCAAACATGTCCCCACTAGTCATGCGACGCGAGCGATCTCGGTGATCTCGAACAGATCTCGAACAGAAAAAAAGGGGGCGTCGCGAAGTCGTAGGAAGTTCACGAAAGGCGGCAAGGGGTCTTGGGCTCTAACACCCAATAGTGTATGGAGCACTCCCCAATATCTATTTTCCAATGGCTATATATTCCGTAAATATTTCAATGATGCGGATGAGGATTTTGAAATCTCCTAACAAGCACAAATCAAATGGACAATGCCATGAATCTCCACCTCAAGTATTCCGCAGGATTTCTTTGTGCAGAAGAGTACATATTAGACCAGCGGACGAAGAGGATGCATGTGAGAGAGGTGACACTCCCCGGGGGTCAAACAACCCCGTATTCCGTAGGGAGTACTCTGAGCGGAGTGCCACATCGATTGCCCCTTCCCGAGTCCAGCCTCTATCGCTCCCGCGCCTTACCTTTTACTCCAGGTCAAATCCCGACCAGTTCTGGAGATGTTATCTTTGCCGCCTGGGCAGGGATGTGCGGCAAATTATCAACTCGCCTCGACCTACGGCGTACTCCGTGTTCCGTTCATACATTCAACTTGAATAATTCTCACACTCAATTGAATCCACCAAGAGGTACTGAGTATAACAAGTGTGCACTGTAAGTACTTCCTTAAGAGCACGCAATATTGTGTCGCAGTACGATTTTGGTGTAACTTCACCGGGACTTTCTACCCCGTACGGCCTGATCAGTGTTATGATATCGATGAAGGCAAATTCCAGGGATCTCCCATCAGTGCATATAGTCAATCTATGAAGTACATACTCCGTACCTTGGCATTTGAACTCACGAAAATTGTCCGACCCATGTGCCACGTGACCATGTGTAAAATATCCGGGGAAGGTTCCAGCCATTCTGACACGTTGTCTGAATCCTTGTTTCTCCACGCCAGAACAACATGAAACCCGAGATGGAGAACTCTATCAAGCCATTCGTCATTGTCACGCCTAGATTGATCATCATTCCCACGCCCACGGCGGTCTCCATCAGCTCATACCGGTCGCTGTATTCGTCTCTTCACGCTAATGTTGCGTTTTGTGAGATGGCGTTTGGTCACCATTTCCCTCCTAGAACGTGGACTGATGAAGAGACTCGGGATGTGATCCAAACGCGTGACATTCAACGTTGCTGGGGAAGACGCGACTTGGGGGATTTCGCTGTAGCCTTGCTGCCCTCAGCATTCCAGACCGACTCGTGCATGGAACTCAGCATAGTTAAGGGTGAAATCTGTGAGCGATTGTTCAATCAGATCGGTCTGGATGATTTGCAATGGGTGGGCTATGCAGGGGTCCGTGATGCGACGACGACTTCCCTACCGCCAAGAGAAGCTGCGGACCCGGCTCTCCCACCGTGGCAGGAAATGATTGAAGTGCGTTATGGCATTTCGCCACAATTCTGGGGACAAGGTCTTGCCAAAGAAGCAGCAAGAGCTATCATGCAGTGGTCTGTGGACGAAAAAGGAGTTAGGAGGTTTATCGCCGAAATAGAGAGGGGAAATAGCAGAAGTGGGAAATTGTTGCAAAAGCTCGGCTTTACCCCGAGTGGCACGGATTATTGGAAAGAGCCCAGTGAGATTGAGTGGGAATGCCCGAAATCGCAGCTGCACTGAATCGGTCTGGCGATCATTTGCAATATTTAAAGGACGTGCTGAATCTAAGAGTCCCTGGGTACTCCGTACCGGCGCATATATCACTTGATGTTTTTTTCTTTGTTTGTTTCCTTCTTCTCCTTTGCATCTCTCAAGATCAAAAGGTGTCGCCGTAAAATGGGGAAAACTTTGGACATCGGTGGCTTGGATTAAACTATCCGAACCGCATATGGCGTCAGCTTCATCCCACCTCACTTTTTGCAATCTGTCTCCAATCAAAACACGGCCTTTGGTTTGGACTTTTGAAGCTGTCACCAACTCGCCTTAGTTTATATTCCGACAACGCGGAGTATACTGACACCATAGCTTAGATGTCGCACACGAATCTTGGGCATTTTAAAGGCCACCGTCTCTCATGAACAGATCTGACTTCAGGAATAGAACGTCAACCCGTGAAGCCCAAATTTCCAAAAGGCCCCGGCAGCTTTGAATTCCGAAACTATGGCTCCTCGATACCAAAGCATCGCTGTTATCGGTGCAGGTCCATCTGGCATTTCCGCCGTGAAGGCCCTGAAAGACGAAAACATCTTCCAGACCATTCGCCTCTTTGAGCGACGTGATAAGGTGGGCGGGATATGGCATCTTGATGAGAAACCCGATCAATTTCCGTCCCAAGTTCCTTCAAACCAGCAGAAGGAGACGATCCCGGCTCGCCTTCCATCTCTGGAGCCACCTGCCCCCGAAGACTTGACAGCGCGCACTGCCATTTACGAAGGTCTCGACAGCAATGTGGGCGCCAAAGCCATGTCATTCACTCATACTCCTTTCCCAGAAAGAAACTCAGCCTCATCAGCTAGAAACTTTGGCCGATTGAATCCTACTCGGCCCTTCCGCGTTGTCAGGAAATATTTGGAAGATTTATTTCAGGACTACCTTCACTTGGCTTCTCTCAACACCACGGTTGAAAAGGTGGAAAAGCTAGACCAAAAGTGGCACCTGACACTTCGTCAAACTGGGCATTCAGATGGAGGTAGCCCGAGAGATTACTGGTGGCAGGAACAGTTCGACGCAGTGGTCGTTGCTTCCGGTCATTATAGTGTGCCGTTTGTCCCTCTGGTCCCCGGGCTAGGAGCGGCCGCTCAACGCTACCCGACCGTGTTTGAACATTCCAAGGAATTCCGAAAGGCGGACGACTATGTCGACAAACGCGTCGTTGTCGTTGGTGGTAGCGTCTCGTCCGCAGATCTTGTCGCCGACTTGCATGCAATTGTCCGAGGGTCTCTTGAGCTCTCACAGCGAGGCAAAAACGAAGCCCTTCAATCCGCTTGGAATCTACCGAATGTCAAAGCAAGACCAACTATCAAAGAATTTCAAGCTACCGAAGAGGGCATCAATGTCATTTTCTCTGACAATTCTGTTGTGGAGAAAGTGGACAAAGTCATATTCGCGACCGGGTACAAGCTCTCCTACCCCTTCATTGTTCCCAACCCAGTGACGGCCAACAATCGGATTTCCGGATTTTACCAACACATCTTCAAGATTGGAGACCCATCTTTGGCCCTTGTCGGTCAAGTACGCGCTGGAATCAGCTTCCGCGTGTATGAATACCAGGCCGTGGCGGTGGCGCGATACTTCGCCGGAAGAAACGCTGTTCCTTTGCCAACCCCACAAGAGCAAGATCTTTGGGAGGTGAAGAGGCTTCAATACAAGGGTCCTACCGCCTTGTTTCATGAGATCAAGCCTGATTTCTCAGAGTACTTTGCTTTCCTGACTGAATTGGCCGGTCCACCTGCATCCGGAACAGATGGCTATGAACTTCCCCCTTGGGAAGATCGCTGGGCAGAGCAGGCGTTTGAAATTCTTCAAAGTAAAGATAGATACTGGAAGTCTCTGCGCAGAGCGGCTGACGATGAACGCCCACTTGCGGCCAAATTGTGATTCACCACAACATAGCTTTGGTGAGATCACATGGTAGTTCACATATTCTTCTTTTTGCACAAAATCCCTCTATCCGTCCAACCATCTTTGTTCAAATGCTTCATGATAGAACGAATTGAATAGATGACTCTCAATCAGTCCAGGAGAACAGGCTACAGGCTCCCCGTGCCTTTTGAATATTGTTTGTTGTTCCCAGGCTTCAGTTTCATCTTCAAGGCTCAGAGGACTAGATGAATCACTGAGATCAATGATATTCTCAGCTTTAGCATGAAATTCAAAGTTCGAGAAGTCCATGTAATCGAGATTGACGTTTTTCAGTGGGCGAGAAGCTTGATTTGTTTTTCCTTCAGAATATTCTGATTGATCATCAATTGGGAACGTCGCTGCGGTAGATGAAATGGGAGGGATGGCAGGCGAATGTGGATGTGTTTGGGTAATCCGTTTGAATATTTCACTGCTTTCCGGGTAAGGCCTTGACGGCGTAAATACCCAGTTGCCAGAGTCATCATGGCCGGGAAACTGGACACTGCCATCGTAAAGAGACGGTGGAATATCAGATGTCCATGGAAATCGAGGAATCATGCCCAAAGCTGGAAGATCACGAACAATATCAGGTAAATCACGCGCGGAAGGAAGTCTACCAACTGCTAGGCTGTAATCAACAGACGTGGATACCAAAAGATACGCCCTGGGACAACGGACAAAAGCCTCCCGCCAGCTCCCAGGTCGCTGGAGTTTCAGGGAAGTTGTTGAGCTGGACCTTACATCCCGGCTCGGGCACCTGGACACTTCTCGCTCTGTTAGGGCTCCATCGATAGGCGTGTCGGGTGAATATCTGTCAAAGAACAGATTTTGCGTGATAGCGTATGCAAGCTCTAGGATGTGGTTGGTTCCCACTGCCACAAAATCGGTAACATCATACAAAGTTTCCGAGTGTTTGATGATCAAGCTAAGCGATTTCAACCGCTTTTCTCTTGCCTTCATCGCAGAATGAGAGGGCGAAAGTTTGAGGTCAATAGCTGCCAGTACCAAGGGCATGCTAACGTATCCGAGTCTGTAGCATATCTTAGCGGGTGACTTGTGGACCGAGGCAGGAAATAACCCGGAGGCTGAAAGAGCTTACACACTCAGTGGGAAGCTCACTGCTTGGCCATGCATGCTGAAGTGTTCCATGACCTTGCTTAGCCCTTCAATCGCGTCCCGAAGGTCTTCGCTCACGTTGATAATCGATTGTTGGTATGTGTTGGCGGCGTAGAATTTGTTGTCTTCCAACATGAATGCTTCAAATTGAGCAAGATCTACTCTAGCTGCACTGATAATGGATAACCTTAAGTCAGTCCTAGTGGCTTTCCCCAGGATGACTTTTACTTACTGATAATACATGTGTGTCAAGTAATTTAGAGTCGCAATTGCTTCGGGGCGTTCATTCTTTGGGGTGTCTGGAACAAGTTGGGGACTCTGCCAGTTGTCTAAGGATTCTTTGATACTCGTGATGCTTGATATAAGCTTTTCAAAATCGGCCATTGACAAATGAAGTCTTGAGTGCCGTGGGTGAGTGAACACCAGGAATGCTAAATCGGTGACAAGGACTGCCAATTCACATTGTTGCTGTAGAGCTACTATCAGCTGCATTTTGGCTTCGTATGAATATACCTCAGAGTGATGCATTTCCTCCGCAAAGTCTTCCACGGTCAGCCAGCCGCACCATCCATGAGAGACGACTGAAGTCACTTGGGGTTGGCGACGTAGGCCAATACATAGGCTACGGTCGCGTAGAAGAATTGACCACCAAAGCCGCTTTTTCAGTGGGATTGAAATGTCTTCCAGCGGTGAAGACAGCTGGGTGCCGATTAGCATAGCATTCTCGATGGCTATGGACACCCATAGGCTTCCACAGCGCGGATCATCTGCAGATGTGTAGTGTGTGAGCATCACAGCTCCTTGAGATTTGGCATGGAATTTCTTTTCAGTTCCGAGCTCAAACAACAGCTTAGCGAAAAATTATTAGCATTGAGCTAAAAGGTCAGAAAAAAGAAGAGTGGTTGGTACTTTGGCCCGGTTGTATAGTTTTCTTCTTGCGTCCCTTCTGTCTGCGAATCCACATTGTTTGAGCGTCATCTTAGATACGAACTTGGATAAAGTTAGCATAGATTGGCCGTTGTCAACATGTTTCAATCACTATACCCACACTGCTGCTTGCAAAAAGCATAGATTGTAACACAAACAATGATATGGTGTAATCGGTTGGTGCCTTTTTTCGATAGAGCGTCCAGAACTCCACCTCATCTATGACTGGCACGAGTGGGTGAACCCGTGTGAAATACTGTTGTAAAAATTCGTCCATAGCAGCAGAATTCGGTAGGTCAAAGCATCCCTCCGATGCTAGAAATGATGTATCTTCCCCAGGCAGGGAACTCAATTGAATCGTATCAACAAAGTCGCATTCGGTATATGCAGCATGGTCAGATGCCGGGTGTTTGCTGACAGCCTTGCTGGCCAGAGTAAAATCAGCGGTGTCTTCACCGGAGCTTGAATTGTACGACCCATCAGTCTGTACTGGGCAAGAGGTAAGGATTGTTGAGCTGTGTGACCTAGAAAGCAATAATAGATTAGACATCAAACGGAAATCAGTACTTTTCAGACTTGGCAACATAGGACTCACCGTCGAGGGTTCTTACAGCGTAAAATGCACTCCTTGCGACCATCTTGCCGGCACCGAGTACATGGTGAGCCGAGGATCGATGCATCACAACGCACCTTGCGATGCTGGCACCATGAACAGGCCGTCGGAGCTCGTCTGGTTCGTCGTAGCATTTTGTGACTTCGGGCGCCTGCTAAAACTGACAATGTGAAGCAATAATTCTAGGTGGAAAGAAGAATGGCGGGGTTCGTCATAATAGGCTTCTTTGTGGGAATGATCAGCAGCCGGATGATCCAGAAGCCGACTTGCATGGTGCGGTCCAGCGAGCTGACCAAACTTGATTTTGGGTGGACGATTGGCTGAAAAGTCCTGGAAGTTTCACTTCACTCTGAGTCTTGAGACGCCCATTCTCACTGTGCTGCAACTAAAAGCGAAAGCATAACAACTGGCAAAATGAAGATTTCAATGCGCATGTATATTCTATGTATCAAATTTTCAAGTGGAGGATAACACATAAGACTCCTGTAGAGTTACGTATGGCGTAAAGAAAGCACTGCAACCTTGGAAGATTCAGTATTTTGAAAAAATTGACACCTATAGCTCATACATAATGTTCCAGTTAGGCTCATTACTTTCTTCGTGGCTATATGAACTAAATCGAGTCCTAGCCTACTTCATTTTTCAAATGCAATCATTGAGTCTTGCATGGTCCTCGATTCCCCGCACACCGCACACCCTCAGCCGCGGAACTCGGCTTCTCCACATACTCCACCTTGGCTTCAACTCTTACTTGTTGGTTGAATTAGTGATACCCAAAGCAACCTTGGAAATCAAAGTGCTTTCTCAAGGTATTAATGGTAAATTACTATGTTCCAAGGTTATGTCTTCGAGATTCAGCGTGAAAGCGAATCTATGTCGGCAGCAACATTGGAGAGCTTGTTGACTGTGGCTTGGAAATCTACAAATCCCGAGTGAACAGACTGTGATGTGCGAAGGCATGTAGAATTGACTTGGTACTCCTAAGATCCAATTCTAAAGCCTGGGCTTAACCAGGCCAGATTCAATCTCCCGTTTGGCATCTTCACGCAAGACCCTCTTCAATATCTTGCCGCTCGGGTTGCGTGAAATTGCACCAACGAATTTCACACCTCCCGTAAGTGCTTTGTATCTCGCCAGACGCGTGAGAATCAATCTTTGAATTGCATCCTCTGTCAGTTCAGAGCCCGAGGCTCCTGGTCGACGAACCACATAGGCACGCGGGAACTCAGTGTCAGTGTTGGGGAAAGTAACTCCAATGACCGCTGCATCCACGATCTGAGGATGTGACAGAAGCACTGCTTCTAACTCTGGTGGCGCTACCTGGAAGCCACGCACTTTGATTAATTCCTTTCTACGATCCACAATGTACCATTTCCGAGTGCTCTGGTCACAGTATGCTATATCTCCCGTTTTGAACCAACCATCGGAGTCAAATGATTCGGCATTTGCTGCAGCGTTGTTGAAATAACCGGGTGTCACCGTGGGACCTCGGATGCATAGCTCACCGCGAACACCGTAGGCCGAAATGTTGTTTCCGTCCTCGTCGATTAATCTGTAGTGGATGTGTGAGTTCAAGAACACTGAGAGTGTGATGATGGCTAGTCAACGCACTTAGCTTCAAGATTTGCAATGAGACGTCCGACGGAGCCTGTGTCATCATGCTCAGGGTAGGGGAAATTAGTAGCAATGCACGATGACTCAGTCATCCCCCAGACTTGGGTAAAAGGGGCATTGTCGCCCATTAGTGAGCGGAAACGCGCCTGAATGCCCTTGTCCAGGGGAGCCGCCCCGCAACTTGCGACTCTTGTCTTTTTGAGGAAAGGTCTCCTTTTGGAGATAGGTGACATCAAGATTGCTATCACGATTGGGGGCACCATAGCAAGATCCGTGACGTTGTACTTTTCAACGGTCTGCAGAAACTTCTCAAGGTCGAATCGGCGCATCATATAGACCACATTTCCTGCTTTCAGTGTCGAGGTATGCGTAACCGGTGCGGCAGATGCATGAAATACTGGCACTGCTATGACTCGAGAGATCTGGAATTTTTGAAAGTCAGTCGTTTGGAGTACTTCACTCATCATACTTTGGCTGGTTCGAGGCTCGGACTGACAGGATAAGGACGAGAGTTTAAGCCATAAACAAGCTCATGCTGGGCAATGAGATTGAGATGCGTGATCGTCACAGCTTTTGGTAGGCCGGTAGTACCACTACTGAACAAACGTGCTGCAGTGGTTTGACGGGCGATGTCTGGGTGGTCGAATCGCACCCAATCCTCCTCACCAGCTTCGAGTAAGCGCTTCCATGATCGCATGCCTGTTGGTATAGACTGTCCTAGATTGTCAAATATCCAGATACGTTCTTCGGGTATGTTTGTCTGTTCCGCTGCTTGGAGCAGGGAACCCAAAATCTCGGGCTCCGAAATCAAAAACTTGGTCTGGGAGGCATTGATGTGATGTGCAAGCTCATGTGAGGTGTATGAAGGGTTTGATCCCGTGAATATACCTCCGGCTCCGATGATTGCCAAAACCAGTATGCTGTAGTTTATCTAAATCACTGTTAGCTTCTGTCGGCGTGTACTATCCCGGATTCATACGTCGTTGAAAGAATGGATGAGAACACAATCGCCTTTTTGTAGACCAGCTGCCCGCAGACCAGCAATAATTTGACGAATTAACTTGCGAGCCTGGTTACATGAGATTGAGCGTGTAGGATTATGAGCGTCAATATAGATCTGCCAAAGATGGTTAGCTGTAAATGATAATAAGTCAAGTTGGTTACGCATCGTACCGGCTTGTCCTGGTCATACGGAGGATCGTCGAAGATGTACGATAAAAGGTCCTTTGCTGGAAGCACAGTCCTCTGTGCTGGTTCGAAAATCATTGTTTGCTGGCCCGAAGGCGCGTATGATTGGAAGGTTGGTTTGCGGTAAGAAAGCTGCAAGTCACAGCTTCATCCAGAGTCTCAAGGGGAATGGAAGAAAGGGAGGTGTAGATGTCAAAACAATCAATTGTTATTTGATTGAACATCCGTAGCTCCGACTGAGCCCCTCTCGTCTTTAGCTCGGAACTCGGTCGCTTATGAGCTGATGTCCACGGATGATCAGCCTCAAGCGGTGGGGGGGTTTTTGTTGCATAAAATGACCAAGCATTGCGGTAAAGAAGCGGCATAAACCTGCTTGTGTCTTGATCGCAACTAGGGTCTTCCTGCATAAAGAGACCAAGGTGTCAAGGGCAGAGCGTTTAAGGCGCCCCGACCGCATTCCCCGCTCCCCCAGCTTCTTTCGCGTGGGGTTGGAGGTTTAAGGCCTGATCACCAAGTTCGATCTTCTTTCCTCTACAGGGTTGGTATCTGCTCAAGTGTGACATTGCCGCTCGGTACGTTTTTCACCAGGTTCACTTCATGTTGAAAATGGGGGAAATGCAAGGGCCGAGAAACACCGCGAATGCCGAGTTATCTCCGGTATTCCCTGCATAACAAAGCTAAACAAGCTGTAGAACGTGTGATTTTCTTCCACAACAATGAACCGAGGTCACACTATTCCTTCAAGTTCTCAAGTTCTCCTCAGATAGCGGCCACACTGGAACCTGTAACACATCGTGAGAAACAGATCCTACAATAATTTACTAGTACACCTGGGCAACTTTAGAGGCACAAGGCTCTGAAGGGGATTCGTACGGTAGTCAATTCAATTGTGTTCCTAATTCTTCCTGCAACACGAGCCGAAGCACATGTCAGCCGCTACAAGATACCCACTCGTTAGCCGTTTCCGACATCGCAATTTCGGGTTGATCCCAAGGGCGACACTTACGATTGAAGTTTTGAGGGACTTGACGTTTCTTTTGGGGTGCAGCAAAAGTCTGACTTTTTTTTTTATTAGCATGCTAATCTTTGATATTCGTATTTTGGGGGAGTCTCTTACCCTGAAACAAGTGTGATTTCTGACCTCGAATCATCCTTCATCCCAGAATCGGAATCTTGACTGGGACGTCGGGAGAAAATAGCCTTGAGGTGGTCGTATCGGCTCAAGTTGTGGTTTTCGGGCATTCTGAGGGATAGCAAAGCCGAGATTCTAGACCGTGTAGGGTTCAAACCTTGATTAAGTTTTGAATATCGAGGATGTCAAGTTGGTGCTCAAGTGTTCACGAATATATACTGTGGAAGCCAAGTTGCTGTCTTTGCTGTTCCCCCACTGCTCAAGTGGATTTCAAGTGATTTATACTTAGATACACTGATAGAAATTTAATTCCAAGGATCTAACAAGCAGAATTTTCCTGAAGCCATTCGCCGACAGCAGAAAGTGGTCCAGCGTTGGGCAGATTGGGCAGTTCGCCGGTCGCCGTACTTTTCGGCGGATGACATCATGACACCAACGCAACTGTTCTGTGGTTCACGTCGGCCATCTTGGCCGCCACTTCGCCGCTTCCCCCCCATCGGCGTGGCCTGATAAATTGCGTGTCAACCTGCATTCTTTGCTTTCGCCGATTCGAAACGATGTCCTCTCCCAATGCTCGGCCCTATCGGTCAAAACGTCAGCGCCCGTGTGATCAATGTCGCGCACGCAAGCTAGGCTGTCAAACAGTAGGCGGAGCCCCATGTCAACGATGCCGATCGGCCAAATTGGAGTGTACCTTCGATAATCCTCCACCCAAAAGGGCCCGACTATCCGAGTCTCTTCCTTTCGCCCAAAACGTCGGCGAGGAGCTCATCACACAGACCTGTGAAAGCAACATCACGCGTGAATCCAGCGTCGCAGGAAGTGGGACCCAGAGCGCCGTACCGCGATTTCCCTCGCTCGGCTTGGATCAAAGCAATCATGGGCTGTCTCCGGCCTCCGGGATCTTAGCCCCCGGAAGACCCCCGACGCAATTTGTCCAGAGTATTGATCAACTAGACCACGGCCATGCCCAGCTTTTCGGCGCATCAGCTGAATCAGACCCGTGGTTACTACGACACTGCTGCTTTGATGACCAGGGAATGAAGTACTTCTATAAGGTGCATTTTCGCAACGCCGGAGGCGTCCCAACTGCCCAACGAATCCCCGTGCACTTCATGATATCGTCAGAGGAGCTCACCACCAGCGTCAAGAATGAGACTCGGGCTGGAACGGGCGAAGCCACACGAGAACGTCTGAACTACCTGGTCCCGCCGGAATATGGAAGGAGACTTGTTGCCTTGTGAGTCTTTCACTTATACCTAGAATGGGCTGAGCTATGACTAACATGTATATAGGTTTGTCAAGTATGTGTTCCCTGCCTTGCCAATCATTTCTCGCTCGCAGCTGGGGTTGACTGCCCCATCATATCAGCTACCCGAGGCGTCGGTTTTAGAAAAGGTGCCCGTGCATCTTCTTGCAGCCATCTACGCGTCGGCGTTCCCTTTTGTCGCCCACGACGACTATCTGTGCGTACTGAGCACCTATCATGCGTCCCCGGTTGAAACGCTATGGCGCATGGTCTATGAGCTTGTGACTGAGGAGATCCACAGTCCTCGGCTCGCGGTCTTGCAGGCAGCCCTACTATACGTCCACCAACAGCCGAGAGAGGAGGCCCGCCATACGACTGCCGATACTCCATTCTTGTGGTCCTTTGTCGGCCAGATCGTCGGGCTGGCCTGTTCTCTCGGCCTCCATATCGAATGCCGCATGTGGGGCATTCCGGCATGGGAAAAGCGCCTTCGCCGGCGGCTGTGGTGGGCCGTGTATGCCGAAGATAAATGGCGCAGTTTGCTGATGGGTCGCCCGCCCTATATCCACCCTGCAGAGTGGGACGTCAGTGAATTGGACGAAGGGGATTTCCTGGTAGGCCCGCGTCAGGGATTCTCAACAAGTTCCTGTGATACCGAGATCCCTTTCCGATATCTCATCAATCTTACACGAATCGGCGAAGAGATCCATGACACCTTTTAGTAAGTTCGACGTTTCTAGCCCCTCCCTTCGTCCAAGATTAATTCTATGCTAATGACTCATGGCAGTACGTTGCGAGCATCGCAGCTATTGAATGCCGATTTTACTGCCTCTTCTGAGCTTGGTCGCGATCTACTTGAAAGGTTAAATGGATGGTATTCCTCTCTTCCGGAGACTTTCAGGCTCCCAAACTGGAGCAAGTCTGTCAATGGCCTTGCTCCATATCCTACATCTATTCACTTTGCGTACCTGTTGTTGGTGGTCTACGTCTATCGCGCCATGCTCAGACCGATGGCACGGTCATCGGAGCCACCTCTGATCTTCGACCTGGAAGATATGACTACCACATCTCCATTGCCGGTAGATGAGTCAATACTCGACTTCTCAGATCTCCCCGAGATTGAATCATTACCAGAAATATCAATATCAGATGAGTTCGGCACCGGCGAGGCCACATTACATGCGGCAGAGAAGTGTGCATCAATACTTGTTAACTTTACAAGACGGCTGACGTCTAGTGATTTCACAGCATTCTGGTACTCCTGTAAGCTGTTCTCCGAATCCCATATTCCGCATTTGAGAAAACTAACAAAGTCAGGGTCTCGAATCGGGTTTGCCACAATATCTAATTACCTCATGCTGCTACTGGTACAGGCGCCTAATATTTCCCACGCGATCCGAGGGCGACACTTAGTAGACTCGTGGTTGCAGGTCTTGCGGTGTCAAAGCCAAAGCTTCCCTCTTGTGAAACTCGGTCTCGCACGTCTTGATGCACTTCATTGGGCTGGACTGGGAAATACCTTCGTCTTGCCGCTGCATGTCCAAGAGGCCATAGTAAGCCCGGATGTACCTGCAGTTTGATCGAACACTTTGATGACAGCAGTATGTTATGTAAACATTGACCCTCATCGTGGGCTGTATAGAATTATCCAGACGGCAACTCTTCTTCATTGACAAAATTTTAGACTTAACAGTCGTCCCAGGGTCACTTTTGATCGTGTTTTGCAGAATACAATCGGATGTACATTTCTTTTCGTAAATTCGATGGCTACAGAAATTCGAGAGGATTATAGAAGCGTAGCAGAAGGTTAACGGTACAATACAACCTTTGAGTGTCACCTCAGGCACCGCGCGGCAAGGGGTAAGCGGTAACCGCCTAGCCGAATTGCCCAAAGTGGAGAGAGAGCTGTCTCTTCCCCCGCAGAACTCTTTTTCCTCCCGCGATTTATCATCCCACGCCCCCACGCCTATCTTGCCTTGCGTTTCGAGCAAGGAACGTCACAATGTAACACTACCATCGGGTTGTGCTCTTAAATGAAGCACCTCAAGCACTTTCCGAATGAGCAGATATGAAGTGGATTCTCACGCTCGCAGCGGCCGCGTCGGCCCTGCAGACTCTGCCCCCAGTACAATTCGATCACACTGGCTCTCACAGCTTTTCCTTGGAGAAAGCCAACCGAACAATCTTTTTGGAAGCCAGCTTCGCATCTTGGAGGGACCAGAATGGGATAACCTTGATTCCGCCCTCAGCACACGAATTTGCAAACACCTTTCGTGACGATTTGGAGGTGTTGACGAACAGCTCTTGGGAGCTCCGGACGGTAAATCGATTTCCCAAACGTGCGTCGGGAATTTTTCTCGGTCGTGTGGATAACGCAACGCGTTTCACCTACGAGAACGGCCGCGAAACCGAAGAGGGATATGAGTTGGAGGTAGATAATGATAGTGTGTCTATCAGGGGCTCCGGGGCACGAGGCATGTGGTGGGGTACACGAAGTCTCCTGCAACAGCTCGCACTTACGCCGTCCTCCATTCAACCGGGGAGAGTGGAGGATGCACCCGCATACGCCACTCGTGGGTTCTTGCTTGATGCCGGCCGCAAGTGGTATTCTCTGGACTTCTTGAAGGATCTTTGTACCTATGCTTCGTACTTCAAGATGTCTGAGTTTCACTACCATGCGGCCGACAACTACCCACTGAGCCGTGGTCCAAATGTGACCTGGGACAAGGTTTACTCCCAGTTTGCTTTGCATCCTGAGAACCCGGATCTCCGACCTCTTGTTCAGCGTCCGAATGAAACTCTTTCGCGAGCTGACTTCGATGACTTTCAACACCACTGTGCTCAGCGGGGAGTTACGGTGATGCCGGAAATCGAAAGCCCTGGCCATTGTCTCACAGTCACAAAGTGGAAACCTGAGCTAGCTTTGGACTCGAAGGACCTGCTCAATATCTCTCACCCCGAGACGATCCCACTAGTCAAGTCTATCTGGGCTGAATTCCTCCCCTGGTTCCACACAAAGGAGGTCCATATTGGTGCCGATGAGTATGATGCCGATTTTGCGGACGACTACGTCAGATTCGTGAATGAAATTTCCCGATTCGTTTATCAGACCTCGGGCAAGACCGTCCGCATCTGGGGAACATATGAACCGTCAGATATTGTCATTGATAAAAATGTGACCATTCAGCACTGGCAGTATGGGCAATCAGACCCAGTGGACCTAGCTCGGACCGGCTACAAAGTCATCAATTCTGATGATGAGTGGGCATACATGTCGCTGAAGAGCGATCATGTGCCTATTACCCCAGCGCCGTATCCGCAGTTCTTCAACAATACCCGGGTGCTCAACTTCGCCGGCCGTGCCGGATGGCAATGGACACCGCAGCTTTTCAACCCCGTGAATATAACTGAACAACCAGAGGCGGATACAGTGCCAGGTGCTCTATTGGCTGCCTGGAATGACAGTGGACCTGATGCCACCACGCAGCTCGAAGCGTTCTATGCCATCCGTGAGGGAATACCGGTTGTCGCGTCACGCGCGTGGTCTGGTTCTCGAGGGCCCGGTCTAAATGTGCAGACCTTGGACAAATCGATTTCCCAGTTGGCTGCCCTTGCAGTGGGCCAAAATCTCGACCGGACGCTCCCGGGGGAAACTGACCGAGTTACCTCTCTGGTATGGAACAAGCCAGAGCAGGCACAAGAAATCTATGATATTGGCCACGGTAGTAAGGGCATGGATCACACCCTCCGCCTGGACGCTTCGGGTCCCTTCTCCTTGAAGTCTTCCGATGCAACTCTCACGCTCTCATCGAATGGTGAACTGACATTTGTATCTGACGGATGGCCTTATCCACTTCGATCCGTTGGTGAGGCCGACGGCTTCGACTCAAACCAGTTCGGGCGCATATGGGCCAACCAGACCACTTCCACTCACGAAGTTGTGAACGTCCCCCGCAAATCAAATATCACTATATCCACAACCGCGAAGTTCGGCAGTCGTGTGTGGATTGATGGTACGTTTGCCGGAAGATTCGAGGTTTTTATTTACGGTGGAAAGAACAAGGTCTTCTCTTGGGCTCCAATGGCTTTTGTTGCACCCTTGGATGCACTGGAAGGCTCTGGCTTACAACGAGTAGAAGTCATCGCAGGTGACATCCACACTCGATCTTGACAGGACCTTCCGCATGACCCATGATGTTATCTTCTGGTTGCTGGCATATTTAACTTTTTTTTTTTTTTCTGGCGCCCCAATGAATATAGAAATATCCGATTGGCATGTATTGGTTCTCTGGATATTACAGGCTTTTGTCTATTGATTTCTAGTTTGATGCTTCCAATCAGTATTCCATCTACCTAGTAAGTGCAACAACGAAGTAGACCTACGCTGTAGCGTTGGGGTCATAGTGACGGAACTGAGAGGAACAGCAGATCAAAGATGGGCCAGGGGACCCCACGATTGTAATACGGAGGCCTAATCATACCCTCTATGGATTGTAAAAGCTCTTTTTTTTTCTTCAATAGCAACTTTAGAAATCGATAAGCAATGGCATGAACATCCCCGGATGGCAGCAAGAATGTTTGTATGACACCGTTGGAGTGGACTTAATACCGAGACCGTACCATGCCATAAGAGACACCGTTAAAATGCAACTCAAATATTAGAGATGCCGAGGCAGGAATCAGCACCAAGTCGTAACTGATGTTAAAATACATTTCACCTTTCGAGTTTTGCCTTTTGTCAAACAGAGCAACTGGAATGTTGGTCAGATCCGCTTCCAGCTGACAGAGGGTTGAGATGCCTTAATTTGTTAATAGTTTGACAAATTGGGAATTCAAGTTGAGGTTGACATACTTTGATCAAAGGTTTTGGGAGCTGTGGGGCTTTGGTTAAACCTCAACTTTTCAAAAAACACAATCGGCTTGTGGATTTGGGATTCGGGAATTATGCGATAGAATGGAAACGATATCGGTTTTTTGCTGCTTAATGACATTCCCTTGTAAAGAGTGAGTTAATCTGTACATGTACAGGCGAATCTTGTGCCTTTTAGGGTCGTAATACGAACCTTTGTGATATACCAATTCATGTAGTCATCGCGCTTCCATGTTTCCTCGTATGGGCACCACCGTGAAGGTCCGGTTTTTGGTTTGTGACAACCCAGGGTGTGCGAGTGGTTAATACCATAATTGCATCGAGCCATACGATTGTCAACTTGGTTCCCTTCCTGGCCACAATTGACCGCACCACTATTACCATTAGCTGAAGGCCTATTGAAATAGATGATATGAAGGCCATACCGGACAACTGCAGACCATCTATTCAAGAATTAGCACTTGAACAGCCACAAAATCATCATACTAGGTAAACATACGCATTTTTGGGCTGCATGACTTCAATCCCATCGAATGTGGTGCGAAGGCATTGGTAAAGATACTCTGACGAGCCTAGTCCCCCGACCAATATGATGCCTATGCCAATCTCAGCGATTCAACGTAACTTTAGAAAGAGACATGTTAAAGACTCTGACCGACCTTGACGGATAGTTTTTTGCCCTTAACTTGCACCACCTGGTCGGCAATGAGGGCTTCAATTTGCTTGACGATGGGATCAAAGATTTCCTTCACTTGCTCACTAGAATCAAGTTAGAATTCTTCCCACGGAATAGTGGGACTAGGAAATAACGAATATACCGCTCCATGTACCAAAATCCCCCATCAAACCCAAGGGTTCCCGATTTGATCGTAGATTCCTTGGACCAAAATCTCCGATTAAACCCAGAGGGTGCAGACTTGATTGCTGCTCCTGGAAGTGACACACGATAGGGCATCTCTGCAAATTCTGTCTCGTCAACCGGTCCCCTGTATGTGGGCTTGATGTAATCCTGCCAGTATCGGCACGCAACATTTAGTGCACCCTGGGGGATTTCATGGGAATACTCGTCTTGGTAGATACGCCGCAGTAGTTCTTCGAAGCGCACATCCAACATGACGGATCCACATACGGCACCTATAGGAGAGCTTTCGTAAGTGTGATACACGTCAGACATCAGCAATGTTACATACCAGTGCCTTCGGTAACCTCCGAAAATCTCAACGGCTCGGTTTGAGTGATCCGGTAGGTGATGATATCCTATAATAGATTGTCATCTATCAGGGTTCGTGGTAGCTACCAACCTCCAAAATATCCAACTTACAACAGTTCCTCCACCGCAATCGCAGACAACCAGACAGTCGTTCAGCTGACAGTATCAGTAAACTAGCGGTACACAAATTGCAATAACACCGCCTACCTTGATTGAATTTGGCTGAATAGTTTGTATGGCATAAACCGCAGCTGCTTCTGGCTCAGCCAGCAATGTCAAGGCGGATGCTGGGATTTTGGCCATATGCGCAGCTCTCAGTGTGGCATCTTTCGCTTTGTCAGACCAGACAGCTGGAACTGTCAGAATATACCGAAGCTCCATGGTTTGTAGCGCAGTCGAGAATCGGCGGTTCAAAACCTCCATCAAATGCGCCACGAGCCGTTCCAAGTAGTCTGCGACAACATCAACCGGTGTTTTGTTCATTTTTTTAATGATTTGCTTTGAATGGCTGGCTGGTTCGAATCGATAAATCTGCTTCTCATCGAGAAGAAGCTTGACGCCTTCGATCGTATCATCCAGTCGATTTCCAGGATGATCTACCTGATGACCCCAAGCGAGCTTTGAGTCACGGTATGCCAGAAGAGTGGGCACTTTCTCGGTCGTTTCTGTGACACTTCAGTCTGAGTTTCCAATCTTTTCATATAGGTGAAGAATCAGGAGCAAACGCACTGTTCCCATCACCAGGCCATGACTGGATAACCTCTACATCGCCTGGGCAGCTCTCTAAACCCCATGCAATACTGTAAGAATCAGAAAAGTGAGCCTATTGGGAAAAGCAATTAAGGCCAGCAAACCCGCTCCATGTGGTTCCGAAGTCCAAACCGATGATCAGACGCGGTCGGGTGTCATGAGTTGTCGAAATCGACATTTTCTTCTTCAGTGAGGCCTTTTTCTCTGTCATCGTGAAAATTAAAAACTTTGGAAGTTCACGAGTAGATGTCAATGTTAACAGGAATTCTGATGGTTACGTTGGAAATCAAAAGAAAGTTGGAAGAACGTGGAAATCTCTTCTATTTAGATCATGCCAGTGCAGTCTTTCTAAAGTTCTCCATTTGCCTGCAATTGCAGTTTGACAGGTCATACTTGTTGATCAACGACTCGTTGTGGTGTCATCAAACATATCCAGACGTTTGATCCATGGACGACTTAATAGGCAAACATCCGGGAAAACTGAGACTTCTCTTCTTTCATACATCAATAAAAAAAGAATGTGGACCACCATATTCAGATTCCAAATGAGGAAAGCAAGGCCCGTGGAGTCTGGAGATGACGGTAAGGCCACAACATCTCTGTTGAGCAAGGTAGCTGACCTTTATGAGTTCCCTCAAACACAGCATTGCAAAATGAAGTTGCTGAATTGAACGAGGCTTGTCTCAACGTAAACCATTTGACATGATGCCTCCAACCTGACTGATTCGATAGAAATTACATGATTATCGAGAGAAAGCAAATTCTCTGGAGAGGGAGAAGTCACTTGCACAGAAAAATGCCAAAGGTTACTGCAGTGCCCTGATGAAGATAGAGAAGCAGCTCCAAGCCTCTCAAAGAGCTGAGTTGTTTGCAGGCGAGAAAATCCGACGGCTCTCCGAGCTTTTGGATTCCGCTCGGGAAACAGAAATCATCGCTAGGAAGGAAAACAATATTCTCACTTCTAATATCGCAACACTCCAAACCGGGATACAGACTCTCACAGATGACGACATCAAGAAGGAGATGACTGTGCTTTATCATGAGCTAGAGCAGTGGGTCGTCAAATACTGTGAGACTCATTTTCCTCATCAACCCGAAGACGGTTCTGCTAGATGCAAAAGTCAACAGGTGGCAGCGATCCAGTCTGAAATCTCCATTTTGATACTACGAAACTTCTGGACTGCCACGTTCGTCGGCTGTGGGGTACAAGGTGACCAATATGTGGCCCAAATGACTGAGGTGATAATGGACCAATGTAAGTTTCGAATGGAATGTCGCAGGTTGGTTTTCATGTCCACAACTGAGGGACCCGACAGGCCCAAATCACGTTGCACAGCATTGGCGGTATGCTATGAGCATCGGTGCGATCGATTTGGGGAGATCAAATTTGCAGTCCCAGTGCCATAATATAACCCGCTGGGTCGGAGATACTGCAGGTTTTCCTTTAGCTGAAAGGGAACGGCAGATAACTCAACTTGACAGTCTTCTGGGAAGATGTATCACTCTCAAACACAGAATCGAATACCAGATGGACAGCTACCTATTTTGGGTCAGTGTTTCGGGTGTTCCTTTCCGAGAGGAGAGTATGAGTGACCCCTTGAAGGACAGCCCTGTTGACCAAGTCGTTGAATGCAGCCTATGGCCAGCGATTCGGAAGGTCTTGGGCCCTGGGAACTGGGAAATAATCGCGAAGGAAGTTGTCAGGACGATTCCTCTGGAACCTCCACGGGTTGCAATTGAAAGCCAGAACTCAGAATGGGAGAGTAGCTGCACTATCTAGGTGTCAGTCTAGGCTTTGGGGGGAAGGGGGATCCGGATAGGAAATTACTCAAGTAATAACTTCATAATGATTTCATTGCAATTTGGATATCTAAGTGGTTGACCGAGAGTCTTGCCTATCTGATAATTGATCAATGGATGCATATGCGCTCCGTACACTCCTACTAGACGCCATCAACAAAGCCATCACCTCCAGATTCCGTGTCTACCTTCATGGCATCCATTAGCCCGCAGACATCAAAGATTGTCTTCGGTCCTAGGCCTTCGGGCGTACCAACAACTCCGTCCGTCTTAAGCCGTTGCAGGGTTGTCTTGATACCTTGGTATGCCGGGGTGATTGTGGCAAAGGAGAATATCATGATTCTGAAGCCCATTTCTTCTGCTTCCTTTGTAGTGATGAGAGGGCTGGCTCCATTCTCTACCATGTTGAGGAGAAGAGGCCAAGGCGCCAGATCCTGCACTGCCTGTCGAGCTTGCTCTTTGGATGTGAATCCCTCAAGTAGTCCAACGTCCGCACCAATTTCCCGTGCAGCCTTCAGTCGGCGGATGCATTCCTCGTAGCCATGTTGTTGAAGTGCATCGGTGCGTGCAATCAAAACGATGTCAGAGTGCAACCGATCCTTCGTTAACTTAGCTGCGCGAATGCGAGTCAGATACTCGTCCAAACCAACGACCTTTTTGCCAGCAAGATGACCGCAGCGCTTGTTCTGGATCTGGTCTTCAATGTGGAAGCCAGCTACACCAGCCTGGATGTACTGCTGAACAGCCTTGGAGACCATCAGGGGACCTAGAGAACAATGGTCAATGGGAGCTCACTTTCTCGCATGTGTATGTATGCTGGCCTCTTACCTCCGTAACCAGTGTCCATGTCCGCGATCAAGGGTGGCCCGAATGGATCGAGATTCGCGATCATTTCAGCATTGGTCTTCATGTCATGAAGCTGTGCAAGGGCAAGGTCTGCCATTCCCAAGCGTGATGCAGTGGTTCCAGCTCCAGTCTACATATCTGATTAGCAGTTGGACGCGTCACGTCTTTGCTTTTACTCACCATGTAGAGTCCCTTGAAGCCAACCTCCATGGCAATGCGAGCGGAAAGTCCATCATACACTCCAGGGCACACGATCAGATCTTTGGTGTCTTTCAGCATCCGGCGCAGCTTGGATGCTGCAGGAATGACATAGAGAGACACGGTGGGCTCTTGCCTGGCACCATTGACCTCGTAGTATCCATCCTTCTCGACAGTGATGGTGATAGTCATTTTCAAGGTATGATCAAGGAATTGTCTTGTTTGAGTGTTTGTGTTCTGAAGTTCTTGTGCTACGTTCCAATGCTTGATGGCGAGCCGACTCTTTATAGTTTTCAGGTCTGCCTGAATCGTCGACTCGCTAGCCTTGAAGTCCTAGAGACTAAGCGCTGAATGTTGACTTCCGTTGAACCGTAAAGCTCGAAAAACTCACACCGAAGCATGCAGAGGTCTTGGTATCTTGGGAATGCAACCTTCCACCCCTTGCCAAGTACACGCGATGATCCTCTCACTTTCGCGTCGTACCGATTCTGCGTCAGGCTTCCCAATGACCTCAGCCCCGACCATTCCACGAGGAGACATTACGCGACATCAACGCTAATCCACCGGAGAGAATTCTCGGACTTTTCCCATCAATCGGTAGGGTCAATGGCGCTGGGAATACATCATCATATGCGCGTGCCGGGGTGTAGATAACGCATGTCTGAGGTGCATCTTTCGGGGGAATCATCGATGTGTGCTCGCGATTGGACCGATGATGTTGCAAACCCCCAGAGCTCAATCTAATAGGCTTCGGGTATATGACTATAAATTGCGCATGCTGCGCCTCCTGCAGAGAGATCTGCGAGACGATAATCTGCAGAGAGGGGGGACCTTGGCCAAATGCACCGTTTCACAAGAGAACCCTAGTTCGCCAAGCTCTTCACGGGAGATCAGCAAGGTCGAGAGCGCCCAGAGCGCCATTGATAGCGAAAGCAAAATGTGGATGTGAAAGAAGGGTCTCCTGCAGCCCTGGAAGGCTGAAACATTTGGAAAATCATTATTTCTTAGTCAGCAGGATTTTTCCCCCCGCGGCCGCGAGAATCGACGATTCCCACCTCCGAGACTCCTCACCAACCACGTCCTTTCGGCCCCCTGTTCGGAACACGTGTATTCCGGCTCTAATATTGCGCCATGGGTTCCGCAGACAGCGCCAATGCCGAGTTTCCCTACTCTCTGTATGGACCCTCATCGAGTCCCCAAACGGCCACAAAGAACGACACACTAACTACGGAAACCTTAGTACCATCTCTCTTCCCCTGCCAACGAATCGACTCGCGTCATCCGCCATGCGCGCATTAGACGTTGACGCCGAATTATCTCCTTTTGTGCGACGGACTTTCTCCCTCGAGACCCCAATCACTGAAGCCCCATCCGAGCCACTCGAAAAGAAGCAAAAACAAGACCCCGAGGAGTCTAAGACCGTGCTGAAAACTACATACTCGGCAACAACCAACCGGATGCTGCGCGTCTCCGTAAACGGGTTCATGGAAAGTCTGGGCGTGGTGCTTGGGGTCATGTCCGAATTGGACGTTGATGTGCTCAGGGCCGAAATGGAGGGATGAACTCCGGGATTGTTTGACAGGACCCTGCGTTATTGATCCTAAATCTTGGCTCCCCGCGCCTTCTTCCAATGCGCAAACCAGGTCTTGCGAAAAGACTCTTGGCTGCCACAAGGCTATGTGATCATGCACAGCGGGTAGTACACCAACCCCTCCATCAGAACCCATTGTAACACGGGCTATGTCGACAGGTGGAGTTCGGGAGGAGAAGTGTACCGCCAAGTTTCTCGGCAACCTCGATTCCACCGACGTATTTCTTGGCACTCTACAGCGCGCATCGGGGAGTTAGCAACTCGGGCTTGGTCTACGGCCCAACAGAAACATATCAGAAACACATTGGAGATCATGCGCGACATGTGATAATGGCTTTCTTCTTTTGTCCCTAAGTCTGCAGATCTTGACATTTCCACGGAGATACGGGATTTTGTCCATGTCTTGGCTCCGTCTTGGGGCGCATTTGTTCGTAGAGATGACTGCGATGCGATCGGCCGGGAAGCCCGAGAGGAGGCGGTGGTCAGACTCACAGTTTACCGAGAGTTTCTTCAGTCGCTGCAGAATATATTGCCTTTGCTATTATCCTGTTCCTTTGGGCTTGTGTTTTCGTCTTTTAGATCATTTTAACCGACATTCAACATGGATCACGAAAAGGGTACTTTTGGCGCACTTTCTACGTCCTTCCAGGCAGAGCTAGAGCCACAGTATGCCGATCTTCTGCTTTTCGCCTGCTGTTTGATTTCAGGATTGATGGACAGCACGATATACAGCGGTAGGAAAATATCCAATTCCTTCTCAGATTACATTGCTGACCTCGGGACATTCGAAGCCTACAACACTTTTGTGTCTATGCAAACCGGTATGATTACAGCCATCCCAGCCATGCCAATCTTCTAGTCTGAAGGCTGATCACCGTGTCTGTTTAGGAAACACCATTTTCGTCGGACTAGGTGCATCATCACAAAATCTCCGGCCCTATGGCTGGGCTCGGTCCCTGACCTCAATCGGCTCGTTCATCTTGGGATCTTTTCTTTTCGCGCAATTGCATCGATGGCTAGGTGCCCGGCGGCGAGGAAGTTTGATGCTGTCCTTCCTCCTGCAGGCGTGCTTAATCCTGCTGACGGCCGCTCTGGTTCAAGGAGGGGCTATATCAAGTGCTCTTGATGGCAAGCTCTCAAAGAAGGTCCCCCCATGGGATCAGGAGGTTCCGATTGTACTTCTCAGTATCCAATCCGCAGGCCAGATCGTGGCAAGTCGTGCCCTGGGGTTCAATGAGATCCCGACCGTGGTGATCACCAGTCTTCTTTGTGATTTGATGTCGGATCCGAAACTTTTTCTACTGAGAAATGAGAAGCGTGACCGTCGTATTATCGCCTTTGTGTTGACGCTTGTGGGTGCGATCATTGGCGGATGGGTCACTAAGGCTACCGGGGCGATTTCTCCCGTTTTGTGGCTGACTGCTGGAATCAAAGGCCTGCTCGCCTTAGCTTGGGCCTTTTGGAAGGCAAAGTAAAGCTGAGAAGGTCGATTCTTCTCAGGTTGCGGTTCCAATGAGCTGTGTTCATTGGCTACGTATAATCGCAGCAAAAGTTCGGCCCGATACAACAAAGTCGAACGCTCTCTTTGTCTGCCGGCTCATACATCTAAATCCGTCAGGCTGCACGAATGATACCTTATCTAGATATACCATCCATACCCCATGATTGATGAGGAGGCAGTTTTACGATAGTTCCAGGGCTCCAATTCATATCTTAAGACTCAATTTATTTGGCTTTTATCCAGTTCACGGTCCTGCTATTCGCCCAGAAGGTCGAAGGACGCCCAACAAGAGTAGTTGAGAAATTTCCCAAGTAATCCATGGATATATGACCAAGATCATGGCTATTCGTTCTGAGTTACTCATTTATTTCGTCGTAATATACTACACTTCGTTTATAATATTGGAACCGATGACAATTGAAAATCGGAACAAACAGTACTTAGCTCAGCGAAGCCAGACACCCCCTCTCTTGACGATCGGCCCCCACAACCTTGTAATCTACGATTGACGGGTGTGTCAGGGCCAGTTCCGCGCGACGGAATGCTTTCCGAACCAAGATACAAAAGTCATCGGAATGCGTGTTAATCTAGGGGTAAGATCTTACTTTCAACTCCAAAATGTCTTCAACTCTAACTCTTTCCGGCTTCCAAGGCCGTCAGATCGAAGGTAACACTGACTCAGATACCCGGTTGGCGATTTTGTTCAATGTTGACGTTTCACAGTTCCGACGGGATTGTTTATCAACAATCAATTTGTTCCCTCATCCACCGGCCAAGTCCTTGCAGTAGAAAATCCCTCAACGGGCGAGAGGCTTGGCACAATCTCTGCCGCTGGGCTAGATGATATTAACCAAGCCGTCGAATCTGCCAAGGCCGGATTCAGGAGGTGGAAGGCTGTGTCGGGTCCAAACAAAGGTCAGCTCCTGCTTAAGCTGGCTGACTTGATTGAACGCGATGCACAAGACCTAGCTTCCCTCGAAGCAATTGATGCCGGTGTCCTCTATACCGATTCGATCGGGATGAACATCCCTCAGGCAGTCGGTTGTCTTCGTTATTATGCAGGCTGGGCTGGCAAAATTGACGGTAAGACGCTGGACATGGATGGCGGAATCGCCTACACCCATCGGGAGCCTTTGGGCGTCTGCGCTGCCATTGTTCCTTGGAATGCGCCTCTGTAAGTTCTTGTTGGACTTGGGTTGCACAACTTTCCAGTAAGCTGATCAAGCTCCTAGCATGATCACTATTTGGAAACTCGCTCCAGCATTAGTAACAGGCAATGTTTTGATCATCAAATCCTCTGAGCTGTCGCCACTATATGCCCTCAAGCTTGCGAAATTGGTGAAAGAAGCCGGGTTCCCTCCTGGTGCTGTCACTGTGGTCACAGGCGAGGGTGCCACCGCTGGCCAAGCACTCTCTGAGCATATGGAAGTGCGCAAGGTTGCCTTCACCGGAAGCGCACTTGCAGGACGTAAGATCCTGCAAGCTGCATCACGAACAAACCTCAAGAAAGTTAGCCTTGAGCTCGGTGGAAAGGGGCCATCCATTGTCTTTGATGATTGCGATCTTGAAAACGCTTTGCTGTGGACTCGTATTGGAATTACGGCCAACAATGGCCAAATCTGTGCCGCAGGATCGCGCATCTATGTCCAGGCTTCCATCTATGATCGGTTCGTCGAGGCGTACAAGAAGGCGTCGGCCGATGCCCCCACGGTTGCGGGAAATCCTTTGGAAGCTTCCACCACAAAGGGACCGGTGGTGAGTCAGGTACAGCACGAGAAAATTCTCGAGTTCATTCGGCAAGGGAAGGAATCTGGAGCCAAGCTTCTGTTTGGTGGAGAGCGAATCGGGAAAAAGGGATACTTTGTTCAAAACACCGCGTTTGCGGATGTTGGTGACGACGCGACAATCATGCGGGAGGAAATCTTTGGTCCAGTCGCGGTAAGAATCACTTCCCTTCTTTTCACTCTGGTATTAATTGCTGATGGATCTTTTTGCTCAAGAGCATTGCCAAGTTCTCCACCGAAGATGAAGTGATCTTCAAGGCCAATGACTCGCATCACGGCCTCAGTGCAGCAATTTTCACCAATGATGTTAGTCGTGCTCATCGCGTGACCAAGGCTTTGGAATCAGGCCAGGTGACCGTGAACGCATGGGCAATGCTCAGTCCCAACGTTCCATTCGGCGGAGTGAAGGAGAGTGGGTTCGGACGAGACATGGGCGAAGAGGCTCTAGAGGGATGGACCACGGTAAAGGCCGTCAAGTACAACATTTTACCACGGCTCTGATTATTATGGGTCTTCCAATGTTCTCATTGCATAATTGCAAAACCCAGTGCTCACTCAGATACAGAATTTGTTCGCTATGGTTCAACCTGGTACTTTGTTCACAACAGTTTTCACTGGGGAAGCCAATCAACGCTATTGAAAAGGGAATAGCAATTTAGTGTCCACATCAGAACATATAACCAAGGAAAGTTTCATATTCGATTTAACCCCTCAACAACTCACGCATTCGTAGAGATTGGGTGCATTTTGTGGAACACGTTGTTGGGGTCGTATTTGATCTTGACCTCTCGTAGACGGCCGATGTTCCCGCCATAGATGTTGGACACGATCGAGTCGCCAGCTAGAATGCGTCAGTATTGAATGCTTCCGTCATTGTAGGTTGAAACTCACGCTCTGCATAGTTAATGTATTGCGGGACACTTGATTGGTCGCCCTGGTCCGGGGTCGCAGCATCCAACTCAGCTTTCCACTTAGCTTGAGCTTCCCGTGCCCATGCTCGGTGTTCTTGATCCTTTGCCGGATCAGTCCATCTGAGGTAAACGATCCCATTCTGAGTGGTGTTGCGACTGGCAAGCGACGTAGAGGCGAGGGGTACTTCGCAAATTTCCCGCATATCGGTGAACTCGAGGATAATGGCCGAAGCTGCAAGATCAGGTTCAGACTGAATCTTCGTCATGAAATCGTTGAAAATCGTCCTTGCGAACAGTGGATCTAACGGTGGTTGGAAGAAAATACCCTTGAAAGATTTGCGATCGCCATACGTGGCCTGTGGGTTCTGCAGCGTGTTGGCCACGGAGTATGGAATCATATCAAGGGTGTTGAGGACAGGATCAAGGGCTGTGAAGCCAGCAAACTTACTCTGTCCCTCCTCTCGAGAGCCGTTAAAGAACCCGATCAGAATGATCATGGGTCCAGAGCCGTCAGGGGCAAGTGTAAGGATGCACATGGCCCCGAACCGTGAGTCAGGGTGCGCCAAAGCTTCATTCAGGGCACCCACCACCCCCTCAAGCTTGTCGGGCGTGTATCCAAGGATACCAGAGAACACAGGGTCTTTCTGGTCATAGGCTTGGTAGGTGAAATCGACGACGACGCCAAAGTTGTACCCAGCACCCCGCAATCCCCAAAATAGGTCTTCATTTTCGGAATTGGAGGCTGTGACGGTACGGCCATCTGCTAAAACCACGGTCGCGGAAAGCAAATTGTCAATTGTGAGGCCATACTGCCCGCTCAGCCAACCGTATCCACCTCCAAGTGTCAGTCCCCCAACGCCAGTGTGGTTGACCGTGCCGCCCACAGCAGCCAATCCGTGAGCCGCACCAGCCTCATCAACTTCCTTCCATGTCGCTCCACCTTGAGCAGTAATGGACTTTCGGGTGGTATCGACCGATACCCCGTTCATTCGCGACAGATCGATTACCAGACCGCCGTCGCTTGAGCTCGTCCCGGCAATTGAATGGCCTCCGCCTTTGACGGCGACTTCAATATCATTTTCCTGTGCCCAAAGAAGTGCAATGGAGATCTCAGGCGCTTGAGTGGGTTGGACTACCACTCCCTAGAAAGTGTCAGTCAAAGGCGTCTTTTTTGGCGGGTTGCATCGCATACCGCATGTCTCATGCCGGTATCAGACCAGCGGATCAGACTCTGTTTGTAATTTTCCGAATCTGGCGTGTAGATGGTCGCGTTGTTGAGGCGGCTCCGAAGAGCCTCCAGGGCTGCGGGATGGATAGACATTCTGTGATGATCAAGAACAAGTTCAACTGTTACCCCGCGGGTTTTGTTGACCTCGGCACTTTTGGGGTATCTCCAACTCTCCACCTGTCTACTCCGGACTTCCACATCGTTCGCATTGTGATATTCCCAACAACTTTGGGACTGCATTTTATTTACCTCAATATGATTTAGGGCTCGCTAAATGATGAAGTAGACATTTCTCTGATTTTCTTTCGTCTGTTCTACGTCGAAATTTTCAAACTGCGGTCTACCTCCACCGGCGTAGCGATATACATATCTCAGCTCACCCTCTGTCTAGCCGAATCCATCCCCAGGGCTAGCCAAGATAAAAACTATTTCAAGTTCTGCTTCGAATAGGTCGCGTACAACTCGGGATACCAGCGACGCCCAACATCAGAATGGCTCAAGATACGATTTCTCAAGTGTGCCTCACCAAACTGCGGCTAGTTAGTCAAAATCGTTGGCTCTGCAACAAAACAACTCACACAGGAGTACAGAGGCGAAAGGAATTCACTTGGTACATCCACAGCGCGCTTCTTTTTGTCATCGGAAACTGGAATACGTTGGACAATATGGGCCGCTGACTCCTGGAGCTGATCAAGTGTCAAGTCCAGCCTGACTCCGAGGAAGAACGGGATGCTATAGCGGGTTCTAGTGGTAGGGGCCTAGTGAGAATTGACGTTAGAATTTCGGAAAGCTGATTCCCAACAAAGCTGGTTAGCGTACAATGACTCGGTGGGTTGTGGCTGCACAGATGCCCCCTGTGATAGCCTCGAAGCCCTGTTGGATGTTGACCACTAGGCTCCCCTCTATGGGAGGAACGTCAATCCATTCCCCATTTTTGTTCAGTGCCTGCAGACCACCGGTGTTATCTTGGGACAAAAAAGTGAAGAGACCTGCCGAGTCTTTGTGGGGGCCAACGCCTTGCGAGTTCTTCGCGGCGGGCGGGTACTTGACAAATTTCAATCTGCTCATGTTTCCTTTGAAACCGTCGAATGTGTCTACCGGAAGGGAAAGGCATTCTGCCACAAGGCGCACAAAGGTTTGGGCTAGATCATCGATCCTTGTGAGATAGCCTTCAACGATGTCTTGGGCACCAGGATAGTCCGGGTACTAAGGAGTACTGGGAATGAGTAACAGGTAACAATCTGGAAGAGAGGGCAAGCACCTGGTTTGGTCCTTCCAGCCTCTGCCAAAAGGGGTCTTCCTCCGTCCAAGGTTTTACTCCTGGGGTACCAAAGTCAAATTGCTGGAAGGGTTAGATTGAAATCTGAACCAAAACTGCTCAAACGGAATCGGTCGCACCTCGCGAAGATCTGTTTGTGCTGCGGTGGTCTCGGCACCCAGACGGGTATAGCCGAGGAACGAAGGCGAGTTGAGCATGTTGCATCTCTCCTTAATCTCATCGGGCAAGGAAAAGAGCTTTGGAATATCTTCATGGGTTTGTTGAATGAGACCCTGCTCCACGCAGTCAATATGTGAGGTCGTGATCGCCGTATCTCCGCACCTCTAATCCCGTGTTGGTCAAGTACAGGAACCCGACGATAAAAATCGCATCACGCAGTTTGGAGAGTTCCTCCTGCTTCGTTGCAGGGTCGCTTAAGCGAGCGACATCCACAATAGGCACGGATGAAAAATTTCCTGCCATTGCGCGTATGGAGAAGTGACCGAGCTGGTTTGAGTATTCCCCGCGAATTCACCCCGCAGAGGAAGGGTACACGGATACGGATATGCACAAGAAGTGACCAGGAACAGGGATCACTCTTCAACAGCACTGGTGCTGAAGATCGGCAGGTATTCGGGTCTTTTTTGGTGTCAGTTCGTCTCGATTGTCCGAGGGAGATGGTCCGCTATGAGTCGCGTACTCGTATAACCCATGGGAAACGAGGGGAACGCTCTATCACGTCATTCGACCAGTGAATTCTGCGACTCATCAATGATCATGTCCACTGATATAACGTGTGATACAAACTGATGCATTTGGTTAAAGTGAGCTATCAAATTATCTGGCTATTTTTCCAAACGTGCCCGTCGATGTCGCGGGATGAAACATTGACAACTCGATGAACTGAGACCGAAGTTCAGCCGATGACTGACTCAGGTGTCTCATTTGACCCAGGACTCTCATTTCCGTCCTCTTGTCCGCAAATCGATCGATTGATGGAAAATACTCGGCGTGACGCTTTTCACAAAGCGCCAAGATCGGTAAAAAGTGTCCAAACTCCCGCTTTCTTGGCGGCATTCGTCACCTCCACAATGTGTTTCATGTGGCCAAGCTCTTCCCATGCAGCACAACTATGGGCATTAGACTTCCCGTCGGTCCCAATGATCGCTCCATTCAGAGGCCTCCATCTTGGGCCATCCACACGAAGGAGCCTTTAACTTCCGGAAGGACTTTTCGCGTGGCTGTATTGGAAGCCGTCAACATGCCAAGCTCAAGAGGACTTCCGAGGAGAAGTATGGGCTTATGCTTGGCATTGCTCGGAACGACCCCTGAAATATCATTTTGAGACCAGCTATGTCGGAGACATAGTACTGTTTATCCACCTGTGGGATAGTTGCTCGGACTAGCCCTCCGGATGATTATCCACGACGGACATTCTATCACAGCCAAGATGACGGTCTGTGGCTATGCTGGAATACAGGTGGGCTCACTTGACGAGAGGATATCTATATAAAGCCCTCGAACGCAACGTGGGAATGATTTGAATTTTGAAATACAACGACCTCTACTACATCACACAAACCAACTCTATTCTATCCTTCGAAATCTCACATTTGTGATCGTGATGGCTCCTATTAGCAAGATCGCAGTCGCGGTCGTCGGATGTCTCTCCAGCCTGGCGCTGGGAGCTCCCACCGCTACCAGCAACAACGCGCAGCTTCTGGGAAAGCGCGCAAGCATCAGTGATGTACGCATTGACGAACTCCACGGAATTTCGTCAAATCATGTGCTAACATAGACTCTCTAGGCTGCTACTGGCTATGCTAGCCAGAACGGTGGCACCACGGGAGGTGCTGGTGGAACCACCACCACTGTTTCCTCCTACGCTGCCTTTACCTCGGCCGTGTCCGGCGATTCCGCCAAGGTAGTTGTCGTGGATGGCCCTATCTCTAAGACAGCGGATCAGGTGCGCGTTGGCAGCAACACCAGCATCATCGGAAAGGACTACAAGGCAGTCCTCACTGGATTTGGAATGTAAGTTTGGTCTCAGCGAATATCACCATTGGTCAATACTAAACCGATACAGCCTGGTCAAGGGTGAGTCCAACGTCATCATCCGCAACCTGGGTGTCAAGAAGGTTCTTGCCGACAATGGAGATGCCATTGGTGTCCGTGAGTACACATCATATCCCGAAACAATAGTAACGGAGGCTAACCTCTCCCAGAAAAATCCACCAACGTGTGGATTGACCACTGCGATGTCTCTTCTGACATGGATCACGGCAAGGACTACTACGATGGTCTGATTGATGTAAGTACACTTGATTGAAGCTTGAAAGAGCAAGTTAAGACACCCAAAACTGACGCAAACCAGCTCACCCACGCTGCTGACTACGTCACTGTCTCCAACACCTTCATCCACGACCACTACAAGGCCTCCCTTGTCGGTCACTCCGACAGCAACAGCGACGAGGACACTGGTCACCTGCGTGTCACCTACAGCAACAACTACTGGTACAACATCAACTCTCGCGCTCCTTCTCTCCGCTTCGGCACCGGTCACATCTACAACAGCTACTACCTTGACGTTTCCGATGGCATCAACACTCGCCAGGGTGCTCAGGTCCTGGTTGAGTCTAACGTTTTCTCTGGAAGCAAGAAGCCCCTCTACTCCACTGACGGCGGCTATGCTGTTGCCAATGACAACGATTTCGGTTCTGGATCCAACGCTGCCAACGCGGGTACCCTGAAGTCTGTGCCTTACAGCTACAGCCTGCTCGGCTCCTCCAAGGTGCAGAGCGCTGTTGTTGGAACCGCCGGTCAGACCCTTACCTTCTAAGTGAATATGTGAGGAGTGATGGGGAGCAGCCAGGAAATGGTGAATGCGTATTGTGGTGTTTTCTGTCGGCGAGACGAGTTGCAGTCAATCGTTTTGAATAGTGGGGCAAATTAAAGTGTTCCTGGTTGCATAAATTTCCAACAAGTACGAGTAGATTAATTTGGTCCATCCGAGTAGGAGCTTAGACCAACAGCTCGAACTGCAGCTCAATTTTAAAACCAACCCCCTTTCAACCGACGCGATAGAAGGGGCATATTAATTTGAATGAACTCGGAACTGCCAGTCCAAAATCTGGCTTCGGGATCTTTGAAATTATGAACTTCAAGTCTCCCCAGTTTTATTTTTATTTTTTGCCACCAGATGTAGACAGCACTTAGGCACCTGGGCATACTGACCGGGTAATTCTGATTTTCTGATCCTTCTGTTGTAAGCTTCTTCTCTTAAAACGAGAACATTCATTTTTCCGGCACTTATAATTACTTGGTACTAGGATTTTTCTGAACAGGACGAAGTCTTATGAATCATGCATTTGGGTTCATCTAATAGGGTAAGATAGCATTGACTTTTACAACTTTGTAGTGCTCTCCTCGCGGCCAACAAGGTTGGGATGGCCGTCGTTCATTGGTCGGGTGACAGCGTAGAAAGCAACACCCTCAGTCTTCGTTGAAAACTATAAATAGAGTCAGCAAATATATACAGTTGATTGGGGTGCAGAGAACTAACCTGAGCCTTGGAACCAACATGGAAGAAGGCCCAGTCTCCAGCAACGAGGTGGTGGGTCTTGCCAGTGGCCTCATCCTGTATGTCATCAGTATCATTCGTAATACCGATTTCGAAATTGAGTAGGATCTTACTGTGATATCGATTTGACCCTTGAGTACATATTTGGTCTCCTCGTAGTCGTATGCGCCGTATCGTGTAGGTCCGGGCACAACACGGTAGAACCCAGTGGTCAGGTAGGGGGTAGAGTGTGTGCTTTGGGATTTGATTGAGTGGAAGTCGGCGATAATGGCGCACTCGCCTTCGGGGATAGGGATGAGTTCATTGCCGGCACCCTTAATGATGGTAAGAGGAACGATCTTGTTGTTAGACACTATAGATGTTAGCACCACCTTGGAAAATTTTAGACGATGTCTGAGTATATCTTACTGTTGCAGTGTATAGATAACAGAGATATAGACAAGTTGTTGCGAGACAAGCTATTAGGACCTGTTTATATACCCATTGAAGCGGAGCATTCTCGGTATAGACTGTGTGAACCGACCTTGAGATACGGGGTTCGGCTCCGGGGCCGTAGCTCCGTGCTACCCCTCAAGCTTATTCCGCTGCCACTAAGCCACAAAGAGGGTTGGTGTCAGTGAACTACAAGTGGAGTGGAGCGAGACATAACGTGATCGGAACCTCATGCCCTTTGGCCGGATTATCTTGGAGGTAAACCTATCTTCCATTACCTGGTCGGTTTTTTGTTAGAAGATCTGAGTACCGAGTGGCTCATCTGGTTGGCTCGGTCATCAAGGGGCCGCCGGGCCACGGTCGCTTCTTTCCGCGCCTCTGTGGCCACAGCCAATGAACACAATTTTTGATACTTGTGACTTGCGGCTTTATTCACTCCAACTCAAGTACTATGTATTCATGGTCAAATGAAGATGGAGGCCCCTGGGAAGCAAATGATGCCTCGAATATAGCCTCCAGCTATGATCCCATTGCGAATATGGGCGCAAAATGAGATTGATCAGGCCGGTTAGGTACCAAAAATTTAGAAAGCGCTCTCCAAATACTCCATACCTACTCATTGTACGGAGTACCCAAAGCGTAAATGGCCAAAATGAGTTGTTTGTCATGTACTCTATACACTAATATCAGATCAATAGACGACGTTGAAATACGACTTTAGCAAAGCGCGAAATCTTGTTCTCTATGGTCCCCTTCACTAGAGACACTAAGCTAGGGAGTGAAGGGTTTTACGTGACAAATTCACGATTATTCTGGCCAATTGGAGCGAAGCAGGGGTCCGTCAAAATAGAATGAAAAGTCCGATGGATTATTACAGGATTCGCCATCGGCGAAACGCCATCCACCCTGTCTCTGGGTTAAAACCGAACGACAGGATGTTTCCCGGACAGTTAATTTTAACCAACAGAAAAATTAACATAGTGCTAAAATTCAATAGTCGAGAATTTTCTAGCGTTGAACTATTCCCTAGGAGCTTATGTTCCCCCCTCTCGGATTTTCCAACCTGGCTAATATTTAATCTCCCTGATTTCCCCCCCTCTCCTATGATCTATCGTCTACAAAGACATGCAAGAAAAGTAAATCATCCTTGTCAGCCGATTGACGGGAAGCTCCTTCCCCAGACTGGTATATTCACACACAACGCGAATCGATCGATGAAGGCTAGGAAGAGGGAAGATTTGGCTAAGGAATAAAAAAGGAAGCTACAAGTTCAAAAGGTTGTACGGATACGAACCCACACAACGGCCAGAGGAATCCTTTCAGCGGGCAATTACAAATGGGGAAGCGGCTAGTTGGGCGTGCGAGCCTTTTGACTTTGTTAAGAGTTAGCTAGTTGCGTGGCAAATTTCACGGTTGAATTACAGCAAGTTCAGGAACGCGGGCGCACCCAAAGAGGGAGTGTGTTTGGATGGGCAGTAAGGCACGGAATAGCGTCACCAACGGCTTTTAATACAGAACTCATTTAATCTCCTCGCAAGCACTAGTGTTAAGCCACACAAGATTGGTATCAGGAGTTATCAGCGCAAGGCCAAGCACCAGACGTTTCATCGGCTTTCAAAGAGTCAATGATACCAACCACTGCACCGTACGTGCCGCCAACCATCAGGAAGGTGCCAATCACGATCATAGCAACACTATAGCATACCATCAAGATCCATAGAAGCGACTGCTGTTCCTTGCCTTTGCTCCAATTATCGTATAGCCACATACAACCTGCCGGCTGGAAACACTGTAATGTTCCTAAAAGAGCCCCAACCAAAGATATGAGGCTGCCGAAAATAGGAATTCCGCTTGCAATAATATACGCGACGACAATCACACCGAATACACAAGCCAGCCACGTCGCCCAGTGTACAAGTGTATTTGCAGCAAGATGCTTAGAACCTCGCATGAAACGGAGAAAAATGTACTTGCTCGCCATCTGTCTATTTGTTAGGGGACAGCTTTGTCAAGGGATAGAGAGATGACCTTACATGAGTGCTGATTGTTGAGGTGACTAATAAACCCGGAAGAGAAACCCCGTAGGCAATTCGTTTGATTAATCTTCCAGCCGAACCAAGGGCGGGCGATGAGACATAGGATCCGCAAAAATAGTAAACGACGGTTCCAATCGTTATGTAGGTAACAGTCACGACAGTTTGGCAGACCGTCAGTGACTTTGTGTAGTGGCGAGGATCGCGCATCTCAGATACGATTGGGAAAAAGAAAGGCGTGCCAGCGTAGGCGAAAATTAACTGTGAAATAGCTGAGATACCATCAGTGAAACTTGAGGAGTTCACTATCTTGTAGTCTGAAACCCAGGGACCGGGAGGGGCGGCGTCAGGGTGGTCTTGAATTCCCACGGCAATCGTCACAATCAAGACTGTAGTACTTTGGTTAGAACTCATTTGGACTTATAATCCCTTAGAAATTGACTTACTAGAAGTAAGCATACATGCCAGACCCGCCCACGCTAGCACACTTATTCGGTCCAGGGTTCGAATACTAGCGAGGCCAAGAACCCCGACAGCAGCGACTGCAACAAAGACAGCAGTGCATGCCCCTTGGTTTGAGACAGCATTTAAAGCGATAGAGAGACCTAGAATACCGGAAGCACCACAAAAAATCAAGACTAGTCACACATGACCTGTTAGCATGCCCTTCCACTAGGCTTTCCTGGTGAATCTCTTACAAAGGGTTAATCCTATTCCCAGAATCTCTCGACCAACCGGACCAAACATTAGCCCAGTCGCGTCATCTATACCATACACCTCGCGGTGGTTCAGCTTGAAGACACCGACCATATAACCGGACCAGCTCATGGTAGCCGCGATGACGATTAAGCAGATTACCCCTGGAACGAGGCCTAACGCGTCGAAAGCGGATGGGATGGATAACACGCCGAGTCCAATTTGCGTTTTCATCATAAGGATAGACGTTCCCATCCAGCCCAACTGAGTGGTAGTCAGACTATGTGAAGGTTTCACTGACCCTGAGGTATACATACGTTGCGATAGTTAGGTCAATCCTCCGAGATGATTCCGAAGACAGCATCGTCAGTCAGAGTAGGTGCGTGTTGCACCCCTCCAGTTAGCGAAGAGGATAAGGTCAAATCTTCTTTTTCATTCTTCACATCCATGTTGTTATATCGTGCCGAGCAAGTGTATTGTTTAGTAGAGAGTGGAAGGAGGATCCTTGGAGGGGGAGTCGAGTCTTATTTATGCACTTTTTTCAGCTTTTGTTTCCTCCGGGGTAAGGAATATTTCTACTCCAGTATCAATGCATAAGCGACAAGCCAATACTGTGGCAAATTTTACCTTTAACTTTCCATATTGCACGCATAATTACACTAAAAGTCTCATACGGCATCCTGAAGGACTTTTACTTTGTCGCCCATGAAGCGAAGCGACCACAACGATCTCCGAGAGGCGAAAATCTCCGATTCATATCACAAAATGGAGGGAATAACCAGAAAGCAAACGTTTCGATTTGGAATTTTGATCTGCCCCCTCAGCCAGCGTATGCTTTCAGCATTGTTATCCACTACAGCGCCGTTACGGACATTCTCCGCCTCTAACCCCAGATACCCCACAGTTTGATACTCGGTATTTGAGATGTTCATCACGTAAGAGAAATCACCTATTGATAAGGTAGGTCATTCAATCAAAAAATCTCCTCGTATTGTCAATACGCAAACGAAGGCTGCTCAGCAGCATCATGACAAGGTTCATGCGGCATACCTCCACCAAGCCGGAAGTTCCGTGATTTCCGGGCCGGAGGTAGCCTTGATGGGAAACGAAATCATATTCATGTTTACGTACAACATGCGTTGATTTGACTGGTTATCTCCGATGGTCGCCGTTATAAAGGTCCCTGCGCGTGGGTGGAACATGTATTCAAGAACCATATCTTAGGCTCGATTGGTCTTGCTCCAAGCATCGATATTATTGTTTCAAGCCAGTGTAATGCTCACGATCTTGCAGACTATTCAAGGATATGTAATGACTTGTATTTCGCCCTTATAATTGAAAGGGGCTCGCAGCCTACTCTGATAGTAGGGTATCAACTTTAGAATCATTAATGTTTCCCTTTCGTGCGTGTAGTAGCCACCAGCATAATTTGTTTCCTTAACCAACATAAGTCAATCTATAATTAAGTTTTGCTACCACGCAAGAGCTAGAGGTACTTGAGTATGAAATTTCCATTCGCATCTTGTATCTAGTAAGCGTGGGCGATGATAATTCTTTTGTGGAACAAAGGCTATTTCATTAACGCTATCACCGATTATACCTAAGTAAACATCAGAACATTTCATGCATGAGGTTACGCGAAGAGAAACATTAGCATCATTCTGTTCAGCCACATCGCGTACAAAAGGATTTCGTTCCATACTTAAGTAGTTGTGATATAGGGGGGCATACTTACGCTGGAACAATTTCTCGTTCCACGGTTGTTGCAATGACAGAAGTATGGAAGAGGATAGAAAAATAAGTACGCGCCTAAACCTCGACACAGCGTACCCGCTGGCAGCAAGAACCCAACCTTATACTTAAGTACAATGCTATACACAATTTCTTCATAGGTTTATATATTGATAACGAAGTACTTAAGTACGCTGCTACGCACGGCAAGCTAGAAGGGAAGAAGGAATTGATCCCCAGTCACTATCTAGACTAATGTCTACTGAACTAGAAGAAGAGAAATCAGGAGATTACCTCAGGCCTAATCACCTAGGCAGTCCATCGAAGAAAACAATCTAGAAGAAAGAATCCAGGACCCATCTGCAAAATGCAGGTGGGAAACCTGCCTGCGGGCAATCCTCAATTTCTGGTCCCTCGCCAATCCATCAAGTCTAGGGGAGAAAGGGATTCCGTGATATATAAACATGTCCATCACGGTGCATTTCTTCGTAAATTCTCCTCCTATGAGCGCTTCTCTCTGACTATAGATTTCAAATAGAAATGACAGAATGTATGAATCTTTTGCTGAGTGGAGGATGATTTCACCGTAGACGAGCAACGCCTGGTTCCTGACGAGTGATTCGAATCAATAGGTTGGTTGGTTTAACATCTTCATGGGTCACGTGATAACATGCTACTCACGTGCCCAGGATTTCCCGGTCCACTCGCCTCTCCCCCTCATGTTGACCTCACAGTAGATAAGCACACTATCCAAGACAATTAGTGATGGTCATTTGAAATGTGGGGATCATAATGTCTCGGGCCAGCGCTGTGTCGCAGCCGTTAACACGGCAGGCTTGTGAAGCATGCCGGTCTGCTTATGTCCCCTTGATCCGTCCTCCAACCCGCTAAGCATAATATAATCTGACTTGTGGAATAGCCGAAAGAAGACTAAATGCCCGGCTGAGTGACCGAATTGCTCGTTCTGCCTGCGTCTCAATATCCCGTGTGTGTATTTGCCCAGAGGCTCCTCGCCTGCTAATGGCGTTGAAAAGAAAGTTCATGTGGATGCAAGGTAATCTTATCCCCAAAAAGATTACCTGCTCATGATATGTTTGCTTATCAGATGAGAACAGAAGAATACCCACCTCAGATCGGGTCCAGATGATAGAACGTCACATAGATCACATTACGGTCTTCTAGGGTATGTTGGTCCCTCCTCCAGTTCCTCTGGGTCTGCACTCAGATTTTGCTAGATCCTCGGACAATCGCCAAATGGGACTCTCACCCGAAGCCACGGTTTCAGGTATTGAGCCTGCGATTGAATCTCCCGGGCAGCGCATGATTGAATTCGTGGATGTACCGGATCTCACACAGTCTCCAAATCAATACTGCATATTCACGCTTGAAAGGTAAAGTGAATTCTCCCAGTATGGTCTTTCAATGAAACTGCCACTGGGTTAGATAGAAGTTCCACCTTTACTGACATGATCGTGCTATGAAGGCCCCGGCCCCCTGTTGAGGTAGTTGCACACTTTGTCGACGTGTATCGGACAAAAGTACATCTTCAACCTATACCTCTCTTTCGCCTCGAAGAACTGACCGATCAATTACTCTCGGGACCCCAATTCGTCTTGTGGAGCTTTATGTCTCTTATGTTGACCATATCGACACATGAGTTCTTCCAAGGTCAAGAAGATATTGCCGAGGATTTCTATTCTCGTTCTTCCGAGGAAATCATTACGAGACTTTCTTCTGGTGGTGACTCAAGGCCAGATGTTACGAGATCCTTATGCCTTATTGCATTGAGACACATTAAATGTAAGAACTATCACATCCTTGCTTCCTTACTATCTGCAGTATGACTGACAAAACTGACCAGCCTCCCGACTCGCGCAGGCCTGGATGGCCATTGGAAGTGCGTCACGACTTAATGCTATGCGCAACCTATTTTGCAGAAACGCTACATCAGCTCCTGAAGATGACTCTGAAGTTAGAGCCTATTGGAGTGTCTTTGTTCTTGAACGACTCTTTCTCCCCCACACATCGGAACTATCCGCCATCCATGTTCCTGATTATCCCCAAAGTGCCTCTTTACCACCACCACCGCCTGCCTCCTCAAATTCTACAGGCCCCGAGATGACCGATGAGCCCCCAGGAAAAGACATTGGAATCAATGGGTATTGCTTGCGCATCATCTCCATATGGGGTAAAATCAGAGTATACCTACATCGCTTGTCGCGGGGCGAGGTTGAAAAACCATGGTTGGCGGACTCAAATCACACTAGGCTCGGTATAGAGCTCATAGACTTTGAGGCTCAACATGGCAAGTATCATTTGCTTCTTAATGTCGCATTTTCGCATCGGTCTGCGACGGAGGTCAACCACCAAAGCGAGTATTGGAATCCTTGGATGATGACGGAGATATTATGGCATGCTTCGCAGGCCATTTTGAATCATCCGTTCCTGCACCTTGTTGTCTTGCGATCGCCAACGGACATACCTCAGTCCTGTGTCTTTCTTCAGCAAAAGGTCGACATGGCACTGTACCATGTGAGCTGGCTGTTCCGGATCCTTCAACTCAGTGAAAGGCTGATGGTGATTTCCAATCCCATAATTGGGGACGCTATTGCCGCCTGTGCAACTGTTCTATGGCTATTCCAATTTACTAGAGATGCAAAGGTTGCCCAGCGAACACGCGATAGCCTGGACACATGTGAGATGTTTATGGGTACAATGGCACGGATGTGGCCACATATTTCGCATAAGGTGAGGAATGAGGACTCAATCCCTTGTCTTGGAACTTTTATCCCGATAATTGGGCATTGTCTCGAAAACAGTCAATTGCAAGGGGCGAGTCCCAAGGCTAACATGCTGTGCAGCTTATGACCTTGAAAAAATTACGAATCCTCGCAGATCAGAACCGCGCGCAAGCTACCCATCAGGATATGACCATTAGTTTCAAGCCAGAGTGGTTTTGGGACCTCCTTGTCCCCAGCATACACGAGACGAAGGATGCTGAATCAGGAGGTGGCAGCACCTCGAAGATGAGGCTAAAATCGCACTTTATTGACCGTCTCCCTGAAGAGCTTGACTCTGACCGAGAAGAAGATCATCCAGAGTCCGCCCCCTTTTCACTGGACTCGTTTCCCAACGGCCTGGACGACCTCGAGCAATTTCAAATCGAGGGATTATCGCGTGATTTCTTAGATAGCGATTTTTGGGATATGGTCCATTAATCTTAACGCCCGATTTTTCTGCTAGAAGATAGTGCTGGGTTGCTTCCTGAAATCTGGTCTCTCTTTTTGAGCCAGCGACGCATATGAGCGTGCCAAGTCTTGCTGTACAAATTGATTGAATAAGGTCGGAAAAAGGGAGAGAATTCCGCTACCCTGCTCTGTCCTTCAATATTTTTTCCACAGTCTACGTGGATCTACTCAGTGGCACTAGTAATAAGAACTCGTTTCGCCGGTTCCTCGGCACGCGAAACCTTGACAGAAAGGCTTGGTAGAAACTCCGCAAGCATACACTTAGGGGGTTCAAGTCGGCAAAAGCAAACTCACAAGGCGACTGGAGAAGGGGTGGCCATGGACAATCTGCTATTGGAACCTGACCGAGTGGCTGGAACGGTGGGCCCGGAAGTGGAAAGTGGACCCGGAGGTTCAAAGTGGCCCGGAGACTCCGGGGTAGTAAGCATCTCAGTGCAGAAGATCTCTTGCCTTTCTCTCACCCGCATACTCCGTACTTCGTCGGAAATTCCGGGGGTCCACACAATGAACTGGAAAGGAGATACATATATCAGTTACTGGAGTGCTATATACCTGCATGGCATACCTTTCAATATTTACTTCGATATCGCAGATTCATCGAAATGTCCTGGGAGGCACTATCCAAACAGGCGCAGGCGGACTTATTAAACTCCATTCCTGCCAAGTGGAGGATTGACGCTGAAGCTTTTACAGCGGTAACGGATGTCTCCCAAATACCAAAGACATGCGGAATCTTGAGTTCCCGCCAGATTCAAATTACAGAGCTCACTGCGACAGAGTTGGCGAAACATATCGCATCTCGCCAGTTGAGAGCGGTGGAAGTTTTGGATGCATTTGCCGCCCGTGCAGCGATTTCCCATCAATTGGTAGGCTGGCCCTGATATGACCGAGCGATATTTACTGAAACATCAAAAAAGGTCAACTGTCTTACGTCATGGTTCCTCGAAGAGGGAATGCGACAAGCCCAGCGCTTGGATAAGATACTTGACGCTGGAGGAAAACCCCTGGGGCCCTTACACGGCGTTCCGGTTGCACTGAAGGTAACAATTACCTTATTTCACCTTCTCTACTAATTGAACTGGTGCTTTCCTCTACCAACCAGGTTTCTCTGACTTCGTGTAGGATTCTTACAGTATGAAAGGTCACCCAACTACTCGCGGGTATGTCGTCAATAAAGACGATGTGCAGCATCATGACGATACCATTGTGGCAACGCTACGCGCTGCGGGTGCGGTATTTTTTTGTAGAACCACAATGCCTCAGACAGGCATGGCGCTGGAAACAGTCAGCAACTTATGGGGCCGCACTTTGAATCCTTTCTACACCAAGCTCGTTGCGGGAGGGAGCTCTGGTGGAGATGGTGCTGGTGGCCATGAGAGGTTGTCCAATTGCACCGTCGACAGATATCGGTGGTTCCATTCGTGTTCCTGCTGCTTTCAATGGTCTCTATGCCATCCGGCCCACCTCGCTTCGAATTCCCAAAGCGGGATGGGGAGGATCGAAGACAGGTCAGACCTCAATTCGCGATTCGATTGGTCCTGTCTGTCACTCAGTTGAAGACGTGCGGATGTTCACGCAATTCTTACTGGGAACCCGTCAAACAGATATGACGTCTGCAGTGTCCCTATTCCCTGGAGAGATGTGTCACTGCCAAAGGGAAAGTTGGTAGTGGGTATAATGAACTGGGATGGCGCAGTCATGCCTCAGCCACCTGTTCTTAGAGTCATGGCTCATACAAGACAGGCTCTCCAAAAAGCTGGATTTGAACAAGACACTTTGTTTAACTCCAATACAGTAATTGAATTCCAGCCACCATTCGATTGCTGGGAGCTCGCCAAATGCACGGTAGGAGCTGCTACTCTCCAACATTTTCAAGGTTAATTGGCTTACAGTGGGCTTAGTTTGACATCTACTTCCAAGAAGCTGGTGAAGAGACCCTTGCAAAGCTCAAACCTACCGGGGAGCCACTTATTCCAGCGTTTGCAAATCTGCTTAAGGTCTATAATGCGCGCCATCTTACCGCGCTAAAGCTTTACCATGTATGGTTGTTTCATCTCCTTTCAAGAAATCACACTAACGGTTTATATTGCAGCTCAATATGAGAATGAGGGGGTTCAAGGAGCAATTCGCAGATGCCTGGATGCAGACAAACCGGATCACTTCATCCGGACGCCCGATGGATGCTTTGATTTGCCCTGCTGCACCCTCAGCGGGCGCACCGCACGACTTCAATGCATACTGGGGCTACACATCGATGTTCAACTTCCTGGACTACCCATCTACAATCTTGCCCGTTAAAAAATTTAAGATTGATCCTCGAATTGATCGTCTCGACGCAACCTATCAACCATTGACGTCAAATCCTTACGACAAGGCATACCATGCTATGTGTAATGTCACCTTCTCATTCCGTTGACCCATATGGCACTAACGTATCTTCACGATAGATAATGCGGAGCTCTTCGCCAACCAACCGTCTAGCATACAAATTGTTGGACGCCCATTTGATGATGAGGAAATTATCGAGGTTACTTCTGAGATTGACAATCTTCTTAAGACGACCGGGGAAGTTAAATCAAATCTCTAGACGGGCAGAGAGAAACAACCAAGCCTGACCTGTCTGATTGATTGCGCTGTTTATATCAAATCAGGTTCTACAGACGATAGGAAGTCTCGAGGAAATCGGGAAAGGAGAGATAAGCATCTTACGTCGTCGCTGTTCGATAGTCACCGTGACCTGGCTATGCCTACTTTGACCCTCTAGCCTCTTGGTAGGTAGATTTTAGCTTCTTCGAGTATCAACAATCAACAATCAACGCGCCATCTTCTTTCTTACATTCTTTTCTAACAGTCGCCGCGTCTGACGCACGATTTCCGATAGTAAACTAAGATATTAGCTTCCGACAAAGCAACTTAGCATAGGAGGGAAAAAATGAGAGAGTGCGAGAGAACGAGGGACGACCTAAGTACAAGCGGGATGTATGACAAACATGTCTTCAACACTTACAACATCGAGATATGGCCCATTTAGTATCTAAGAGATCTAAACTGGGGAGGGAAAGAGAGAGAGAGAAAGTCTAGCTTTGGGGGAATTGACGGGATTTGATGCCTGACACCTCAGGCACCAACCCACCGATTCTCACAAATTGCAAATAATGTGCAAATATACCTAGGTTCTAAACGGCGTATAGCATGAGGAGCTGTTAGAATGAGAATATTCTACATAGAAACAGTTCAAATGGTCCTTGAAATAATTCATTATATAGTTTTCGACTGTGGAGGTCATACTTAAGTATCTGTCATAAGAAGAATCCGGAACACCACACCAAGAGAACAGCCCAGGGTAAACAACCAAGAAAGAAAAGTAGACATGGTAAAGTAAGACTCAATTACTACTGAATCACACACTTCTTGGGTAATCCACAAGGCCCCTCATTGCTCTTTTCCTTCTTGGGTGGTTCCTGGGAACCCTGTTGCTGAGGAGCTTCCTCGGTCTTTTTGGTAGGCTCAGCGACAGGGGTCGAGCTCTCCGGCTTCGACTCGGCACTGCCATGCAGTCACTGGACCTTGGAGACGGTCTCGTAGAAAGCCTTACCCTGGGCAGTAGCAATCTCGAGCTCCAGAGCACTGGGCTTGCGGGAACCGTCGGCACCCTATAATCTGTTAGAACGGAATGTCTTCAAATGAGGGCTTGTGTCAACTCACGGCAAAGGTTCCAGCTCCCCAGGCGCTTCCACCGTGCACCTCGTCAAGGTTGGAGAGCTGAGCAAAGACAGTCTTGTATCCGAGGGGTACATAGATGAAGCCGTGGTGGGCCAAAGTGCTCATGGAGGCCAGTGCAGTAGACTCTTGGCCACCTCCCTGCGTTCCTGTCGAAATGAAGAGTCCGGCATGCTTTCCCCAATAGCCACCGGAGGCCCAGATGCCACCGGACTTGTCCCAGAAGGTCTTCCACTGGGCAGGGAAGTTACCGTAACGGGTGGGGATACCGAACAGGACGGCATCGTAGGCGAGAAGGTCAGCAGGCTCAGCCACGGGGTAGCTGGCCTTGGCGGGAGCGTACATCTTGCCAAGGACCTCTTCGCTGAGGGTCTCGGCAATCCTAGGAAGCTCATTGTTAGCCAATGGGCAGGAAGCGGATATGGAGGGACATACTGGAAGATATCAGCCTGACCACCGGCAGACTCGATACCCTTCTTCTCGGCCTCGGCCAGGGTCTGAATGTGACCGTACATGGAGTACTGGTTGGTGGTTAGTCAAGGGTGGCAACCCATTGCAATTGGGCGACATACGTAGACGATAGCGACCTTGGGAGCCATTGTGAAAGTATTAAGAGTAAATGATACTGATTGGGAAAAGAAAGGGAGAATGATGGGAGCTCGAAGGGCGGGGGAGGGGACTCTTAGTTATAATCTTTTCCTCTCCCCGCCGAGAACGTTTTCGGTACATGTCTCAACATAGTGGCCAGTATGGGGACCGAAGTACCATTCGCGATTACCAAGATCCATAAAGCTTCGCAAAGCAAATCAGTCATCGATGACAGAGCAGATGGGCTATATGATTGGCTAATGGCTCCCCACTCGGATATAGCTTTCTTAGGCAATTCTTACTGAGAATGACAAATGACAATTTCTGCACTAAGTGGGCGGAAGTGTTGGTTTCTGCAGGTCAGATCACCGGATCCCTTGGAGATCAGCTCTGCTTGGGCCAACCTAGCGGAATTAACAGGATATAGAAATTTCACAGCAGTTTCTAATGACTTATTGATCATGATGTCATGGATTTGGAATGCACATCCTTACTGAGATCTTTATTCTCTCTGTTCCTATTATTTCCCACTTCATTAAGCGCTAACGCCATATGTATTGCCCAGGGTCTAGCTCGTTCGGTAAGCTGACCTCGGCGTGTACAGCTCCGGTGGCTGAAAATTGACCACCAAAAATGGACTTTGGTTCTACGATTCCGGCAAAACGAAGTACCTACGCTAGGGGACCATTTTCCGGAAAGGCTATAGTGGGACATGGGAGGGGTATAATGGATAATAGAAAAGCGGTGTCCTGTTCTGAAACGGGGCTGTTGAGATTCGGAAAAATTCACCAATTTTATGTCTTGAATGCTGTCTACATCGTAATTGTAGTCGTGTTCAATGGGGTATCTTGGGATGATCCCAGCAGGAACCATAAAAGGAAACAATAACAGACCCCTTGCTGAGTCCCCCCGCTCCATGCCATGCAAATGTCGCCAAAGAGAAAGAAAAAGACTCGGTGTAAGGAGGTTATCCCCTCCCACGCCCGCGGAAGCGACCGCGTCCAAACCCACCGCCTCGTCCACGCTCGTTCCTCCATTCTCTCTCACGCTCCTTTTCTCTTTCTTGTTCCTCCCGAATGAGGGTACGCTCGTGCTCCAACTCTTCCTCGGTCTTCTCAGTGCGCATTGTAGGCCGCGGTAGGTTTTCCGTCCACCGGGGGTGAGCATTTGCGCAACCTTTTCCATCCGGACAGAAACCAGCTAGATAGAAGACACACAGGCGTCGACGCACATGGCGCTTCGCGCAAAGAGGCCCAAGCTCACAGTATCCGCGGTCGTAGTGTTCACATGGTGGCAAGCGTGCCTCCTCGCGGACATGTTGGTATAGACAGTCGTCGCCGTTGGTGCAGTATCCAGATCGCGAGAAAGATTGACATTCCGGCATCCGTCGCAAGTTGTATTCGTGAAGATATTCGCATTTCAGGCCTTTCTTACACAGGCCCTTCAGGAAATGTTTGCAAACCAGTGACCCATGTGTTGTTGACGGTGCCATTCCGGATGCTGTGGTGGTAGAGGTCGTGACGCGTGACGGGGTAGGATGGCGATCTGGGCACGCAGGCCCCAAGGGGCAGTGTCCCTCGCTGTAGGCTTTGCAGACGGGTACATCGCTGGCGAGTCCGAAGCCGAAACTCTTGCGTAGGAAAGGCATGAATGTGAAGTCATCGTAGCTGGAGTCACGCGTCGGTTCTGCGGATAGAAGGTGAGCAGCTGCACCTTCGGGAATGGTAGCCATGATTGATGAAGCTCGAGTGGAGAATCTCAGGTGCGAAGGGTCGATTGTCGTGTCGATTGTGGCAGACGGTTCGGACTAGGAGTCGCCTCTATTTAGAGGTGGGAGTATCCAAGAGGAAAGTGAGTATGTGGTTATGTCTGCTTTGTTTCCAATCTCGACCGAGTGGAAGATATGAAAGAATTGATTTGTCTTGGAAGGCTGGAGCTGTCTGGGATGTTCTCCGGGAATTAATTCCTTAGAAATCAGGCACGATATGTTTGACTTGTTTGCACTACTGTTTACACCAGTCCGGAGATACTCCGTACAGAAGCCTCCATTGTCGATAATTTACGAAAAACTGATATCATTCCCAAATCATGTGCAGCTAATAATTACAGGAAGGCAAGCTGTTGGTCCATGACTTCACGCACTATCTGCTCATACGAGCGCCACTGAATCCCAAGCTCCGTCTCAGCCTTGGTAGTATCGGTTGGCATAGAAATCCCCCGAGACTTTTCGTTGATCAAAGCACCCGAGTTGGGGTAGTACTGCTGCACAATGCTTGCAATCTCTGCCACTGTTGCCTTCGGTCCGGCTAGAAGATACTTCGAGCCATCCACGATGTGAGGATCAAGTGCTTTGACCTGAGCTTCCGCAACATCCTGAATGTGAACCCCAGTCAGAGAAGAAGGCTTATCTTGCATGATAAGAGTCCACAGATTGGCGTTGGAGCCTGTATAGACCCCGTCGGCAGAGGTCTGTACAAGATTGTGTCCATATACAAATGCAGGGTGGAGTGATACTAATGCAAAGTGTGGCTTGACGTTTGCCCAGAAGTCCCAAGTCGCATTGTTTGCCAGGAGCTTTGAGGCCACGTACAATCTCATCGGCGTTCCAGCAGGGTTCTGCGGATCCTCAAAGGACCCATTCTCGTCGACTGAGAAATCCCAATCATTATCCTCTGCGACCCTCCAAATTAGCACAAAATTCCATGTGGAGAAACAGTGTGTGAAAATACCTTTGATAACCCCACCCTCGGGAATACCAGTCAAAGGAATCAAAGCAGCGATGGACGAGGTGACTACCACTTTCTTGATGGACGACACATTCGCCGCCGCTTTCAGCAAGGCCGTTGTTCCCGTAACAGCTGGAGTGAAATATGTCTCTTTGTCGGTTCCGTGAACCAGAGGCGATGCAAGATGGAACACGTAATCCACACCCTCTAACTTGCCTTTGAAGGCTGTTTCATCGGTAAAGTCCCGGACTATAACAAATTCAAGTTGCTCGCTATATGCCGACAGCAAGGTCTCCAGCTGCTGAGAAGGCTTGCGTAGGCAGATTCTTAGTCTGTATCCAGACTTCAAGGCTTCAACAGCTGTAGCACTGCCGATAAAGCCAGTGGCTCCGGTAATAAAGATTAATCCCTTCGACATTGTGAATCTGTGATGGCTTCCAAAATTGTTGATCTACCAGGGACAGCGCATCCACAGGTGCTTTTATACGAATCCTCTATGTTATGGATTTGTCATGTATTGTACACAAATCAAGTCCATCGATCTAACAAAGATTGTTCAGATTATCCCTATAACCCGTATGAACATTTTGTCGATATGGTCATCACGTTTGGCACCGAGGTTGATGAAATGATCAAAAAATCCCAAGTTCCGCCTGCGGGCGATCCAGAGCATTTCGTATTACACTATCTTTCCGACTGCACCCACTGTTTCGATAACTACATCTGAGGATCGTCGTAATGGTTAACATCACTTCTAAAGTTGATGTTCCCTAAGCCAGCCAACAGCAACAATCTAGGGTGATCGGGGCTCCATTAATCAGCATCAAAAGGCCTCTAAGCTCCCAATGCCCAGCGACCTTAGGAGATTGGCATCACAAGTGACATATTCAGAATCAGCCGAGCTGCATATAGATATCTTACACTTTTTTTTTTATATATCAAACACAATAGAACTCCAGGAAGAATGGGACATTTATTATTGTATCTCATTATTTCCATCAGTATATCTTGAGGGTAAGAAGAGTATGTGGCGGCAGGGATTCTAGTCTCTGGATTTTTGATAAGATCATCACTCTAGTGCGGGAGCTATGGCGCTTATTCATGTTAATTTTTCACCCGCAGATCGGGTATCTCTAAAGTTCTTTCAACCTACAGCCTAGAGCGACTCTTGCTGAGAAAACCAAGTTGAACGTCGTCGATAATACCATCTATCGAAGAGACTCTAGGGCTGCTTTCAGGGTTGCATGAAAAGATCCACAAAGCAAACACTTGCCCAGTGGACTTTTAGATCTTATAGCCAGAAGTATTAGTGAAAATGCCTTTCCTAATACATCGCAGGTCCTCCTCAGTCACATCTATAGATCATGGTTGGGAGATCAATCTCTAGATTGGGGGCACTTTGTTGGCCGTGATCTTGTGACAGACTGGTCAGTGGTTTAATGGGCGCTATCCTAATCCAATGCCTGCTCAAGTGGGTGTAGTATTCTTCAATTGCTTTCCAAGCCCTGGAAGTTGAAAGAGATTGGTCCTTCAAATTGTGATCGGTGTGTTTTCCCTCATCCTCACCGATATTATGGAGGACTCCAAACTTTAGAATGTTGAAACCCACACTCCTACTGGATCCGACAAACAAATTTGCGTAGTCTTCGAATTGCAGACTTTTACTTATGTATAAAATAGGGGACAGATAATTCCATGGACATATGTGTAAGGTGCAGGTGTGAGTTCCAAGTTTGAATATGAGCCGACATCTATAGATCGTTGCGACACAGGCGGCAAAGCCAATTGGTGTGACAGGCTGCTCAGTCGGAAGGAACTCTGGTTTGTCCTATTAGAGATGTTGGTCCCTCCTCAAAAGATTACATAGTGCAATATATTTTGATGCTTTCACGCTTGATCCCCGATTTGGAGAAAAGGACCCGCAGAGCAAGCAATATTTGAACCGTTCATACAGCCACCTTGGTCAGGAGCAACAGAACATTATTAGGCTTTGGGCACAACTAGCTTAAAAGCACCAACCTTGGAAATCTTGGAAGTTAATTGGGTACTTGCTTGATCAATTCTTTTACAGCTTTCCCAAATCGCTGACTAGATTTTGTGATCTTCTCTCAATTATACCATGTGGGACAAGCATGCGAAACAAATATCCCAGAAGTACTCAAGAAATAGCAAACGGCAGGCCTCAGGGGGCTTGAGTAGACTAAAGAGATTTCGTTCACCGCAGGACAGCCCTTGAAAGCAAAGATATTTGTAACAAGTTCGACGTGGTTGGGCACTGAGTGTTGCTAATATGTCGCCTGTGATAGGCGCTCTGGACGGCTCAGAAGGCAGACTTTCGAACTTGGATTTATTCCCTCGTACTTTTGCTTTGTTTACTCTGTAATCTGAAATTCATTCAAGAATGTGTCGTGTATTAATGGAGTCAAACACAGCTTTTGCTATGTCTCCGGCAAAGCAAAGATCCCATCCCTACCTATAGTCTTCCAGCCTCAACATATAAGCTCCAATGTGACGAATCAGCAGCTAGGCACAAGCGATTTGATCAGCAAACAAAGAAAAAAGCAAACATTAGCGGAAAAGCCAAGCTTGCATCGCCACTCTTCTAGCCTGGTCTATGGCTCCGCAACATCAGATCCTATTGCGCTAGATGCGAAATTAACGCTGCAACCGCACCATGAGTCTCCATCCGATCTCCTTGTATACCTTGCCGTCGAGGGTCTGGCATTGCGAGTCAATCATCAAACATGGGGTGCATGCTTATGCAGGTTGATCCACACTAGAGCTCTAGCTGCATGTGTCGTCTAATCGGATTCGCTCGCTAGTGCATTTAATAACATTCCCTGTTCAGATCTCACCGCGCGTCATATGAGGATAACTCGTGTCTTGGTCGTGTTCTTTTAGGTATTAAGCAGCCGAGAACGAGAGGTTGGAAAGCAATGTTTTACGAGGACAGCTGAGCTCTTGGAGGCCAGTGTCCTCCACGCAGTGAACTGTGGCTGAGCAAACATGAGCCGTTTTGTACTTTTGAGGGAAATGTGCTGCATATGCTTGACGCGGCATCCCCGCATCCCAAGTGCCCTGAGGTTTACGCTAAAGGAAATGAAGTGACCTCAGATTTGCATCTGCAGCTGATCAGTTAGTGTTTGGCGCTGTCCAATCAGTGTATGCAAAAAGGCAATGGTCAGGACAGGCGAGAAAGGCCTCTACGAAGGGCCCCCACGTGACGTCTAAAAAAGGAAACACATTGTCTGAGCGAAGTTGGTCTTCGATCTTATTCCCTACAGTTCCCAGAGCTATACCTCTTCTTTCTTCCCTACTATTTTTCTCTTTGTTTGATGCCAAAGTGACTCAGTGGATTATTCCGCGCAACTTCAATGTTTTCAGCCGCCAGCTCGCTCTTCCGCCGGCGTGCGGGTCGTGACCCCGCCACCGAGTCTCACTATGAAGTCCCGCTGTACACAAATGCAGCTTACTACCCGAATTGGCGGATCTATCGAAAAGAGCCACCTTCATCTTTGAGACTAGGATTCATTTCACATGTGTTCTACGCATTTGCCTGGTATTTCTAATTGGTCCTGTGTAGATGGCTGATGCGCTAACCTCGAATCGGATTCTTGCAGGGTCAAAGAAGACGGCACTGTCTATGTATGCTCTAGTTGAATGCAAACTCTTCATTCTTTTACTGATCTATCACAGTTGAGTGATGAGTGGGCCGATACTCAGATGCCCGTGGATGGCACCGAGGGTTGTCTACGGGCCTTTGTCCAGCTGAAACAGCAATACTCCAAGATGCGCGTCATTCTTTCCGTTGGTGGAGGCGGCAAGGGCAGTGAAAACTTCGCCGCCGTTGCTCACAGCCGCTCAAAAACAGACACCTTCGTACGCACCGCTCGAGGATTGGTGGACCAGTTTGGAATCGATGGCATCGATAGTAAGGCCCTAATACTCCAGCCTGAAAAGTCCGACTCGTGCCAGAATATGCGCTAACTTCATCTGTAGTCGACTGGGAGCATCCTTCGGACTCTAAGCAGGGCAAGGATTACGTTCGTTTGCTCGCGCGCCTACGTGAGGTCCTGCCCGCTCCACGATACGTCCTTACCACTGCACTCCCTGCTGGTCAGTGGGCATTGAAAAACATTGATCTCTCTGCGGCTGCAAAGTACTTGGACATGATCAACCTCATGACGTACGATTTCGCTGGACCCTGGGCACCCGAGACAGGCCACCAAGCGCAGCTCTATGGCTCGGCAGTATCGGGTGATTCATCCGTGTCATATGTGGTGTCGCAAGGCGTTGCTCGTCGCAAGGTCATTCTGGGCGTTCCAGTATATGGACGCTCATTCTTAGGCAGCAATGGGCCTGGCCAGCGGTACACTGGAAATGGCGGGGAAGAAGGTGTCTTTGACTATCGTGATTTGCCCCGACCGGGCACCCAGGAGTATCATGATCAAAGGATAGGTGCAGGATCTTGCGTGGGAGCTGATGGTGGATTCGTTACATATGATACCCCTGATACCGTGAAGCAAAAGGCCGAATTTGTTTGTGATGAGAAACTGGGAGGCTTGTTCTACTGGCACGTCTGTTCCGATGCGCGAGGCCCCCGCAGTCTTATTGAGACTGGTTACAACACTCTTCATGAGATGTGAGGCCGTCTCACCTGGTATCCATGGATGGATGAACTAAAACAAAATTGCTTTTCTGTCGTGGTGTTTGAGATCTATGTTCTTAGGGAAGGGATATTTACGCTTATACTCCAGTGGGAGCCAGGATCTTACTCTGTTCAGGATTTTTTGCTTCAAGGGACTCTGCTTTGCCAAGTGGTTCATTCTCAACGGCTATCTCGGATAGAATCCATAAATCGTGTGTTTCTATTCACTAGAATCAAGAAATTGTATTGTATAAGTGTAACAAAGATACATCGGTGTTTTTGCGGAGCTTCCAAGGTTAATGTAATCCATCATGCTCGGGACAGCCGAACGCCGAGGCACATTTGAGTTAACCTGCACCCCGCATTATTATAAATTCGAGCACTTTCAGCCTGGATGCCCAGGTGAATCTATACAGATAGTATATTTTGGCGTATAATGTCGCCCGCTCAACCAGCAACAGCCGACAGCGGTTCCATCACTGAGCCGCTGCCTCTGGAAAACACTTACACTTCGGATCTCAGTCTACAAAGGGCTTTGGGATGTGAGTGGTTTTCCAATTTTGATAGCCAGTGATTGAGTTTTTTTTTGACCTCCTTGCAGGGTATCTTCCTTCTACCACCTTGCAGTCTGTAAAACCACACCTCACCCGGCTGGGTGCCGAGGCTATCTCTGAGCAGGTCCGCGAGTGGAGTGGCGATGCTGAACGTAACGTCCCCTACGTGAAAAGTCACAACGTGTGGGGTAAAAGATATGATTATGATCGATTAATTACCACCGAGGGTTGGAAACAACTCGGTAAATGGGGTGCTCGAAACAAGTATGCTCTCGACTTTGTTTTGCGAAGGACCTCATCTGACCCAAACCAGCTTAGTCTCGGCCGGTTATGACCGGACACTGGGAGTAGACCGGAGATTAGTTCAATATGCGCTGTGAGTGTGCCGATATGTACTCGTGTTTGGGACAAGTACTCATTGTGAATGGAGAAATTATCTTTATTCGCCTTCCTCTGCACTTTACTCCTGTCCAATCAGCATGACAGACGGAGCTGCTTTCATTCTTTCGTCCAGAATTAAAGGCTTGCCCTCGGATCATCCATTTTACACAGCATTCCAAGGATTGATCTCGGAAACCGATGACCACTGGAGTTCAGGGCAATGGATGACTGAAAGAGCTGGTGGAAGCGATGTCCAAAACACGGAAACCTGGGCCACATACTCGCCATTAGCTAACCCGGGACCAGACCCTTTGGGTGATGGTGATTACCTGATTAGCGGATTCAAGTTCTTCTCTTCGGCAACCGATGCAAACATTGCACTTTTACTTGCGAAAACCCCATCCGGAAAACTGAGCACTTTCCTCGCACCGCTCCGACGCACGGTGGTAGGTACCGACGGTGTTTCCAGGGTCGTCTCTAATGGCGTGAGAATTCATCGCCTGAAGAACAAACTTGGCACTAAGGAGCTTCCCACCGCAGAGCTGGAATTGAAAGATATGCGGGCCCATCTCATCGGCGAACTTGACCAGGGTATTGTCACAATCGCGCCTTTGCTCAATGTCACTCGCGCTCACACTTTTGTTGGCTCCCTGGCTGGCTGGCGCCGTGCTATGAGTATTACCAAAAGTTTTGCGAAGGCAAGAACGACAGTCGGCGAGCCTCTTTGGCTGATCCCAATGCATCTTCGATTGTTGGCAGACTTGGAAGTCAAACATCGGGGTGCAATGAACCTTGCCTGGTTCACGGTCACACTTTTTGGGGTTGTTGAGGATAACAGTTCATCAAATCTTGCCCATATTCCACGACCAGGCAAAGAGGCCAATGTGGTTTTCCGTACCTTGACAGCCACTGCCAAGGCTGTCATCAGTAAGATGTCCATTTTGGGAATTCAAGAATGCCAGGAATCGATGGGTGGAGTCGGCTATATGGATGAGGCTGACGAGCCTGAATTCAACATCTCTCGGATTCTACGCAACACAGCTGTGAACTCTATCTGGGAGGGCACTACTAATGTGCTGGCCAGTGAAGTCGTTCGATTCCTCCTCAAGAACGACAATCTCCAGATATTATCAGCTTGGCTCGAGCGAATTCTGTCTCTTATTCCTTCAAAGCACCTTGGAGACTCGAGTCTCCAAGGTGCTTTGAAGACTGCATGGTCTACACTCCAAGCTCGATTCACATCTCAAGACCCGGCCTCGACTGTTGCCGATGGTCGCCGCTTCATGTTCTCTCTGGCTTGGATAATATCCGGAACTCTTTTGGCACTTGATGCTGAGCGTGATCAGGACCCGACGACTACCGAGATTGCCCGTCGCTGGGTTCTGAGTGCTGAAGGTGGTGTAGGAGACCAAGGTTTCCCCGATATTGTTGCGAACAAGGGTCCTGAAGGAGCTTCCAGTGGGGAAGAACACCTGCAATGGGACTGCCGCATTGCATGGGGAATTGATTTGCCAGCGGGACGTGCATCGGGCCATAGATCGTTACAAAAGGCGAACTCTAAGCTTTGATCAGGATCCACGAGACATTTTGACTGTCAGGCTCATCTCAATATGTCTTAGCGAGTCCTGAAGTCTTTAACCAGCCAAAGCAGATATAAAAATACACCATCTGGAAATTATATTCAGGAATAGTTCCTCTTACGCCAATTGGATCCTTTCTATCATACATTGAGCAGCCAAGAACTACTCCAATCAAGCCCAGCCCCTTCCCAGTTATTACTAAACGGGTCTAGACTAACATCAAGGGACGCAAAGTCATAATTATCCTGTTGCCCGGCGGTTGCATCAAGAGACTGGAGCACCTCACTTGGGTCTTGAATGTCCGCCAAATTACACGTCGGTGCAATACCAGAGTTCCCACTGATAGGCTCCAACGAGTGTCCAAGAACCTGCCACTGTTTGCACAAGGTTGTTTCAAACCCTTCAAAGAAAGAAGCGGCGTCCGCATCAAGCTTGGGTGGTGTACCCTCGAACGGGCCCTGTTCTCGGACCTTCTCGGTCAATTTGTTCAAGGCGCGCAAAGGTCCGACTGCCGAGAGCCATCTTTCAGAAAGTTTTTGGAGACACAGTTTCAAGACGGTTAATTCGTGCTCGGCTGTGCTCTGTAAATGCGTGTACCGACTGCTGGACAGTAGAGATAGACCGGCACATAATGGGTAGAATGCGAAGACAGGGCCTAGATATCGCAACTCGTCGCGGAGCAGGAACTCTTCATAAATCCCGGCAATGAATGATGATGCGACTAGTGCTGCGGCAGGTGGTGAGCCTCCCGGTGTGGTAGAGCGATGAAGAATGGTGAGAACCACAAAGTACATGACTAGAAGCTGTTGAACTTCCAGATTGCAAATGACTGCATCTTCCTGGGATGCGACGGCTGATTGCAATTTCGGAATGACCTGTTTGGCCCATCTGTAGACAGCGTTTTCAAGATCTATCTGCCGTTGGCGAGAGATTTCTTGTCGCAAGTGGGACTCGACGGTATCGCCTAGAAGTCGGGCTATTGTACAGTACCCGAGGAACAGCTGGGACTTGAAGTTGTTCGAGGGGAAGTCGTTGAGCGATGGTGGCAACACATCGCTGTCGCGCAGGTTGATAGTTCGTGGTCGGCCAACACCAACGGAAATAATATTATCACGCACCTAACACTGTCAGTCAATGCTTTCCACGTTGGGAGTTGGAAACGCTTACCACTAGAGACCACCACAGCCTCCGCCGTAAACCCCGATCGCGCGAGTTCGGAGGCGGCTCTTTATGAAGCCCAATCTGAAAAGCCATCGCCCCAGCCGTTCGAATCCAAAACCCACTCGTATCGGTAGAGACATCTTCCGGTCCAACGGGATTATACCAATGCAAGAGGCAGGCAGCGACGATGGAGATAAGAGGATCGTCACATCCGCCAAAGAAGAAGAGCAGTTTTGCTCGCCGATAGAACACCTCACTGGATCCGTAGTCCAGATGAGCTTTGGAGACTCGACTCCCGGCTAGAAATATGGCTTGCAAGAGTAGCATTGAGGGCGCGCTGTCTTCCACCCACCTGGGGTCGACGACCGGCGTCCAAGGCGCACAATGCGTGTTAAAACTCGCCATCAACTCCTTCTGAACGGAAGCCGGTGGAAGTTCAAAGGCATTCTGGTCGCGAAGCATCTGTAAATCGATCGTTGATGCCTTGGGGTTGGTGTATGTGGTCTCGCGACCGGGTTTCACCATATTTTCATCAAACGGCACGCTGCCGCCGAGGTATTCGCTGCGCCCGCGATAGCTCTCTTGCTTGATGGATGGTTCACCATGATTAGTTACATTTGGCGCGACCCGATCATCTGCATCTCGTTGAGGCCTGCTCAACGAGCTCAATGGCGCGTCTCCATCTGAGTCGGCGGGTATTTGAGATCCCCGTGGCTGACTTGAGGGGGCAGAGCTTGACTCAAGCCTTGACAGATTGCGGCCCGGCGACAGACTGTTGGTAAATCTCTTGCGTTTCCGCGTATAAGGCCTTTGAAAGGTCAATATACAGTTTCAGGAGGTTAGGGGGTCTACTTACCTGCACTCCACATCGGACTTTTTGCAATTGGTGCACGGGTCTTGCGTTGCAAAATCACACCTCACCTGTGAACTCATCAGCCACCAACCATGCACGGCCAGAAGAACTAGACTACCTTTCTTTTATGACATATTATACACGCGGAAGACATATTGCCGATCCCCGTGGATGGTTGGAGGAGATCAAGTGGGGGTTTACCGAGGTAGTTGAGGAAATAATGAAACCCTCACCGGCGCCCTGTTGACATTTCCATGATTTACTACTACGTACACCATGACAGAACCAACTCAAGTTACCATCGATACTTCACTTGAAGGCATCTCAGTGATCACTATCAATCGTCCAGAGAGGAAGAATGCCGTTGATACCCTAACAGCAGAAGCTCTCTACCAGGCCATTCTCAACTTCGAAGATGATCCCAAACAGAAGGTCTGCGTTCTAACCGGTGCTGGGGGTACATTTTGCGCAGGAGCCGATCTACACGGCGTGGCCCAAGCAAACCATGACAAGCCCGCGGCGAATCTCCAGCCTGTCAATGGCCGGAACTTAGGTCCCATGGGGCCCTCCCGAATGATGGTGAAAAAGCCTGTCATCTGTGCTGTCTCTGGATACGCCGTTGCAGGAGGCCTAGAGTTGAGTCTACTTGCAGATATGCGCGTGGTTGAGGAAGATGCCGTCTTTGGTGTCTTCTGCCGACGGTGGGACCGTTCGTTTGCAAGCCATTGTTGGACTCGGTCGTGCCCTGGATATGACCTTGACTGGGCGTGCCATTGGGGTTCAGGAAGCTTTGGCTATGGGACTGGCAAGTCGGGTGGTTTCTAAAGGGGAATCTTTGAAGGAGGCAATTGCGCTGGCAAAGCAGCTGATTGCATTTCCCGACCTATGTCTCAACACGGACCGCCAGTCCTGCTACTACAGTGCCTACAATGCGTCATCTTTCCAGGATGCCATGGTACAGGAGTTCAATGCCGGAGAGAAGGTGATTTCGAAGGAAGCTATTGCAGGGGCTGCTAGATTTAGCAAAGGCCTGGGAAGACATGGCAATTTCCAAGACCACAGCAAGCTTTAGACAATATGTTTGTCCCAAAGGAAACTGCATTAACAGATTATTTAGTAGGATATCCAATACAGCCGGTAGCTGCTCATGAGATAGCTTTCGATAATAATACAATCCACTCGAATATCCTGTGATATCCCCGTGGTGTGAAAATATAGGGCTCCACCACGCCAAATCTCTAGTTCGACTTCTTTTCAGTATCATCCACGTCCTCTGCCGCAAAGATAACGCGCTTGCCAAAAACGAAAGGCGTGCGGGCAACAAAAGATCCCACAGCGTAGCCAATGTAGGCACCCGTAAGGATTGTGATTGGGAATGCTTGCCAAGGTCGATCCCTAAACATACAGTTAGTTTTCCAGAAACAGCTGACCGTGCAATTGTACGACTCACCAATCGAGAGGGATAGGGATGGCACCGAACCATGCACCCAGACCTGTACCTAATGCGCTACCCCATACCGCATCGGCGGGACGAGCAATACCCCAGACTTCGTTCCAAACAGATCGGTCCAGGCCATGCGTGTAGATGAGCGCGGTAGCGGATAGAACAGCCAAATGGGCAGCACCAAGGATAGTTTCGGTATTATGAGTTGTGAGAGGAGCACCGAAGAGGACGAGGAGAACCGCCAGGGCTGGAGTAGCCAGCGCGAATGTCAAAGCGAGCGCGAGGAAAGCGGGCTAGATGGAGGGTCAGTTTTCAGGGCATGGGTTCGTGATTGAGGGAAGTCGTACTAGTAGTCGCGACCAGATGCACGTCCAGCTATTGACGTGCTGCTTGCGCTTTCCGTGCTTTCCATGGCGCGAGGCGGGCCCGGGTGATCGGGAGCTCGACTTTCCATCCGCGGGCGCAGTCGTCTCTGTTGACCCGGCGGGGGGTAGGCAGATGACCACGTAGAGGATTTGAGTAAGGGTGAGCCATGGCAAACTGTTCAGCAGCCCTTTGGTGGGATTTGCGACTAATGTCTCGAAATGAGCCGCGCCCAAAGCCAGAAGAAGTACTGGGTGGATGATCGAGTACACGCGGGACACGGGCGATGAGAGGATGTTGACGGGGGGAGTAGATGGCTTTTCGGTGGGGGTTTGGGGCGTTGAATGCCCTGGCGAAGAGGGGTCCGAGGCCATTGTGCTGTGGAAGGTGAAGGGAAACCCTGGAGAGCTTCGGTTGAGCCGGGACGAGGATTCTCGTAGTTTTGACGAGAGAGTGATTGTTGGCCTGAGCGCCTTGATGCCTTAGATCTCGGGTGTCATTTAAATAATGTGAACCCAGGTCCACAGGTTAACTTCACAAAAGGTACGATCTGTACATTGCTCTTGTTGCTGCGGCTTAAGTTATTCCGGCAAAGAAAATGGAAGTGATTGTACAAGTATGATCACTCTTTGGGATAGTAGTCAAATGAAGTAACTAATGTATTCTCCAGGGCTCATGACCCGACACGGTGCATAATCTACAAGCCTATATATAACTAGGGGAAGCGGAAACAGGAATAAAAACCACCCTATTCTTGTTATTTTATTGGATATGAGATCAAAGATATCGCAAGCAAGAATAAGAAAATCCAATTGCGTAAGGCTCAAGACAGACCGGCTGCAATCGCAGAGAAAACGTACACTCATATCACATAGCAACATGATCAACAGGAATCTGAAAACAAGGGCTCAGGGCATGGGGGGCATGGGAGGAAGGGAGGTGAACAGAATACAACGTCAGGGCAGTCGGATGACACTGTCAATTGACTGGACTGGACATGAGAGGGTACGATCGTGAGCCTATATCTGGGGGAAAGAGACCCCAACGCCTTTTGTGACCCGGCACAGGCGCACCAAAACCATTCGCCTCACAAATCAGAAATTTTTGTATGATTCGCAAGAGAGAACAGATGTTCGTTCCATATAGGAGGGGATGTCGCATTCTTGAGAAATTTTAATCCGCCTTGGAAGATTGAGCACGTTCCTTTGAGGGCTCACTAGAGACCATTGGGTCCGAAACTGGAGCCGACTCGTTGGGTGGAGCAGCTTCAGCACTTGGGGCTGAATCGATGGGCTCGACTGGCGCAGGAACTGGATCTGCGACTGGTGCAGGGACAGGCTCCTTCTGTTGGAGGACGGGTGCAGCAGTAGTGAGGACTGGGCTATGTGGCTCTTCCGGTATAGGTGGAGGGAGGCCAGCACCCGGGAATGGCGATACAGGTGAACGAACTGAGTCTTCCTTGGTTTGGTCGCGGAGGGCCTCAGTAGAAGTGTTCCCATTTGTGGAATCGGTGATAATGGGAGAGAGAGGTTGACTGGCAAGAGAAACGTCGGTGTCTGAGCGTGTTGGGCTTTTTGTGCGATCACGCTCATCCCTCACACCCTCCCGGACTTGAGCGACCTTCGCCTTGAATTTGCCGAAGAGGCTCTTCTTTTCCGGCTCTAGGGCAATCGATGAGGTGCTTTGAACTCCAGCATCCAAACTGAGTGGGTGATTTGAGAGTTCGGAGCTTTGATGATGCCCACTACCGATCGAACTTGTGCTTTGCTCCGCCCGGGGATTCGTCGCTACCAAAGGTGGAGATGAGAGTCCAAGGCCGAGTTGTTCGCTGGTGCGTTTAGATGAGCGGTGGAAGCGCCAACTGCGACGGTGCTCATGACGATCGTTATGGGAAGCATCTTCGGGCTGATCCAAGTCGGACTGATCAGTGAAAGATGATCTCGAGTTCATAGAAGGTGTGCGGGACTTATTAGGTCGCAGGGAGTGGTCTTGGTGTGATTGCGAGGTACCCTCGGTAAGGGCAGAGGTGGACTCCGAAGCACTCTCGCGGCGGTTGCCGAGTGTTGCGGTGTTCGGAGGCCTCGGTGTGGTGTCACCAACCACTTCTGCATGGTGCTCGTTGGTGGGCTGCAATTCCGCACCAGTATCAGCACCATAGGCGTGAAGAGAGTTTGTTGAGCTTTGCGCGCTCATGCTTGCACTACCTGGAATGCGCTTCTTTCTCAGCCGATTAGGCTGCCGGGGCTCTCGAAGTTCACCATCAGGAGGCGGTGACTTGGTGAAAAAGTTGGAAAGCTTGCGTTCACGAGAGGGGGTGACAACCTGCGGGGGTGAAGCAATGGGTGTGCTCAGATTCTCATGCGGTCTTGGTGCTTCAGTAATGCTGAGGCGCTCGGCAGCTGCTGGGGGCAATGGGCCGTGTGTTGATGTATGCACATACGCACTGCCTTGAGTTGCCGAGAACGAAGTTGATGGGCGGTTCTTTGATTGATCAGGACGCTCAACTAATTTTTCGTGTGAAGCCTGAGGGTTTTGTTGAGTGGCAGGCTCACTTGGGGGAATCGCGAGGTCGACCGGCTGCGCGACGGGCTCGACTGATGGTTGAACAGCTGGCTGAACAACCGGTTGAGCGACTGGCTCAGTGGTAGGCTCGGTGACAGGTTGAGCGACAGGTTGGACGACTGGCTGAGCGAGCGGCTGAGCAACTGGCTGAGCGAGCGGCTGAGCAACTGGCTGAGCGACAGGCCGAGGAACCGGTTCAAGGACCGGCTGAACAGCAGGCTCAAGCGTCTGTCGAGATCCTGGACGAGAGGTGGGGCGAGGGGCGTGATGAGAAGCCTGCTGAACAACAGGCTCATGATCGACCAGCGTAGACGATTCCTCCGGCTCTTCACGCACCGATGGTGTCCGACTAGTAGATCGCGACCCCTCATGCGAAACCGCCAGGCCAGCAAGGTTTGTGGTAGCCGGGTCGTTCGCACGAGCATAGCGAGCCGAAGTCAGGACGGGGCCCATCTTGGAAGGCAGAGTATTACTCCTGTGGACACCACCGCCGGTCATGGAAGTAGGGGTTCCCGGGCTCTGGGCGGTGTTTGAATGACGAGAGTTGCGGGAGGAGACCGAAACGTTTCGACGAATGCTACCGATCTTGCGGTGGCTTTCTGTGTTCGCGCTGGCGTTGGATACGGATCTTCGGATGCTGGTGTGAGCAGGGCGGGGGATTCCGGCTTCGACTTCCTTCATGGTTTCCTCGTCGGCGGCTGTTCCGCTCATACCGAACAGGAAATGGTCTTGGTTCTCGATCAGGAATATCAATACATCTTGGCTAAGCTTGTACTCGTCCGGCGACATGTCATGGTTGGGATGGGAAAGCATGCCCGGCTGGAAGATTGCGGCAAGGTTGTTCGACGGCATGCGATTTTGGTCTGACTTGGAAGCAAAAACGGCGAGTAGGTCGAGGATGTAGAGGAGCAGTTGCTTGTTCAAAGGCGGCAACTCGATGATGAGGCGCTGATAGGTATCCACAGCCTTTGCGTGGTCGAATCTGTCGGCCTCGCTAGGCTCCTTGCCTTCCTTGACTTGCTGCTGGTAAATGCGCAACGGATCGCGGAAGCGCTCGTAGAACTCGAGAGGCACAATCGGCTCGGGCAACTGGTTCAAGTATCGACGCAGTACGTTCGCCGCATCGTGCACCGTGTACCCAGCCCAATCCAACCCTTTTCCGTATCGCTCGGGAGAGTCGAAGACCTCTTGGAGATCTTTTATGCGCTTGGCCGAACCGTTCAATCGGAAGATGCCTTCCACGTCGGTAGCTGTAGGCGACACTAATCAGCAATTATTCGCGACACATCATCTCCGGTACTCACCTTTCTCTTTGAGGAAGACACCGCATTTGGCAACCACAATGGGGACGTATCCATAAATAAAGCTCTCGCCGTGGTCATTTGTCAGGGAGATGGCCACATTGGCATACTTAATGCTGACATTCAGCGGAACTCCGAAGATACCGCGGGGTGGCTCTGCTGCAATCCACGGGTCAGGAACTTCCAGTTCGACAAACATTGTAAAGGTGCGAGCAATCGCGGTAATAGGGGAGCTCCCGGCGTCAGCTCAACAAACCGTGGCAGCCTTTCGTGCGACTAGGAAACGAGATCCGGAAGCTCGGGCTGAGCGTTGCGAAGTATTCCAATGCCGGGCATGCACCGATTCGTTTCGCTACGCCTGGAGATGACGGAGAACCTACCTTTTAACTCATCTTTGCGGGTGCTGCGCTTGAATTGCTTCCACCACGAGGCCAAGTCCCGTTTCGAGGGCGGAGAGCTGGGACCGACCGGATCGGAGGTAGGTAACGGGTGAACGGGGTCACCGTGCGATTTCCCGACCGTGACCATGACGAATACTCGAAAAGTGGTAGAGAGGCAGTCGGGAGGGGAGGGAGAGTTGAGTCCCTGCGTCACCGCCTATCCCGAAATAGCCCAGTGGCGAAATAAGAATCGAGTGTCCCAGGTGTATAAGTTTGAACAAAGAGGGAGGAGGGGGGAAGGGATGATCTAGGGGAGGGTTCGGGGGCACGAGCCAATATGAACGAAATATGACAGCCCTATTTTTCTTAATTATTTTTGGTATTATAGCCTCGGAGTACGGAGTACGAGTAATGGCTGCTAAATTATTCCAATATTCTATGTATAGCTCAGAAGGTACCAGGTACCTCTGCTGGTCTCTTAAAGGACGGGTGGTGTCCCTTCAGGGCGAGTACTCCGTACCTGTTCTATATTTCGCTACGAATAGCCCGTTCTCCCTGGAGCCGGAGCCGTTAATGGAGTCCAGGATAGATTAAATTACCCCGTTCACGCCGCGTTCTTCAGCATTCAGGTACCAGTGAGAGGAACCTGGAACCGATGGAGTCATGGACAGCCCAGAGCGTGTCTAGGCCCTCCGTTAGGGTGCCTTTAGGGTGACTTTAGGGTTCTTTTAGGGGTCTGGAGATTACTCCGTCATCACCGGTTTCATAGCGTCTCCCGATCAGGTACCGATTGTCTAGCGTTCCATTTTTTTGATCTCTTTTTTGGCGTGGGCTCCTTTTTTTGGGGATGCCAGGGCCAATCAACGCCCGAAAGGCCTGCTTCCATCCCGACCCTTGGGCCCTTGGACGCAGAAACAATGTGTCTCGGGTAGATCGTATTCTGAAAGAGATGAGTTATGACCACATCTTCTTGACCAATTCGGCTATATCTGTGCAGGTCTTTGTACGTATCAGTCTGATGGAACAGATGATGGAACAGATGAAATGTAAACTTGAATCGAGAAGGATGGAGAAAATCTAAGATGGTTTCCAAAACTTTGCCAGTGTACACCAGAACTCCGTACAAAATATGGAGTACAGAGGAGGGAAGTAGGGGTGCAACAGCCCTGTGCCCACGATGACGGTGCTTCTGAACTATTGGAACCTCACGGCAAGAAAGACGCTAGGCCGGAACGAGACCTGTGGCCTATGAGAGTCACATGATCATATCTACCACGTGACCATTGGCCTTCAAACTCTCACGTGATGCTCAAATCACGTGCTGGTATTCCCGAGCTGAATATCTGAGCTTGGTGATGGTGAGGTCGACCCGTGTTTGAACCCCATCAATCCATCACATCAACTTAACCCAAAATATCACAATGGACGGGTAAGCATCCCTTTCAATTCTATCTCTTCTTCACACCCCCATCCATATCCATCACCCAATTAATACATGGTTGACAACTAACCCCATGCAGACTTAACGCATCGGAACAGCGCGAGTTCTCCGCTCGCATGGAGCGCAAGCAGCTCAAGGAGTTTATGACCGTATGTCCAATCCCAATCTGAATGCAATTGACTCCGAGCCGATGGCCAATATGAAACCCCCCCTTCACCGTCCGGTCAGCTCTAACATTGTCTCCGACAGATGTACTCCAAGATGGTCCAGCGCTGCTTCGACGACTGTGTCAACGACTTCACCACCAAGTCCCTCATCAACCGTGAGGAGACCTGCATCATGCGCTGTGTCGACAAGAACCTCAAGAGCTCCGCCCGCCTCAACGAGCGATTCCAGGAGCAGAACGCTGCCATGATGCAGTCCGGCTCCATGCAACGCTAAGAACCTTGAACTGGAATCCGGCCGACTGGGGTCGCTGTTATGAAAAGAATTGCGTGAACCAATTCGGTCCACCGAGATAGGCACCAACGTGATTTACCCTGTCTTCGGGCCCCACGGGGTCGGGGATTGGAAGTGTGGTCGATGGCCCTTTGGGCATGGAAGCAGACAGGATCGGCTTCCTGCCGTGTATCATAGAGAATAGCATTTGGGTGATGATTCCCCCTGGTGCTTAAAATACAACAATCTTGAACAAGCTTTCAGCTAGCCCGGTCAATGCGGCCCGGAGTCGTCGCCTTGCATCGCTGGCGCCGGCTCCAGCGCCTCCAGATGTGACCCAATACCTCGCTGTTCTAGCCCCGTGGCCGTTGGGCCTGTCATTTATGCGGCTCAAGTTAGATTGTCGCTTTGCATATAATGTGCAGCAGTCCTAGCCTCCCCTGCCGTCGCATCCCCGTACTTTTGCCCTGTCCGGCATATGTAATTTCTACCTCGCATGCTCGGTCTTTACTCCTAGATACCTGTGTAACAGATGTACCGGTCTTCTTCCACAATGAGCCTCGTAGCCCGATCAGCTATTTTTTGTTCTATCGTTGCCATTTCACCACGAGAGTTATGATCTTCGGTATGGGCCTCATAGTGTCATTGACTACTTAAGAGCTTGGAAGGTGACTACGGGTATTCGTCAAATACAAACATCACTGATCTATCTTCCAATTGATAGTTCTGGTAGGGAGTACTCAAGAGTAGAAAATATGAAGCTATTGTGACCTCGACACAGTTGCAAGTGCGGGACCGGAGATAGAGCCGTGTGAACCCGGATGTCGGAACAGCTCCCGATCACGGATTCGCGGTGTCAAGGGAATGTACGGCTTATCTTACTCTTTTGGCTGCCCGCGGGTTTGAAGGTGGGGTTTGGAGGAAGAAGAGGGTGAGGGGAGCCGGATCTCCAACTGCTCACGGTCCGTCCTTTTCTAGAGCTTTCCCACCTGAAGCTCTCCCCCTCATTGAAGCCCCACTCGTGTGTTCCTTCAAAAGCCTTCCTTTCGTCCTCTTCTTCTCTTGGTTCATCGTTATTCTGGTAAGTGCTGTCACTTCGTCACTTTACCAACACCAACACACTAACCTTGTTAGATCTGGATTGTACACAATGGCCAGCACAGTAGGACAGGTAAGCCATCCTTTACCCTTTTCTCTTCTTTTTTTTTCTCCCTCATATGAATTCGAATTAACATCAATCAGACCATCACTTGCAAGGTATGCGCCATCCGACCATCCCGCGACATGAATGACGCAACCGCGTCGCGACCTCAATCAATGTACTAATTCCCCCAACCAGGCTGCTATCGCCTGGGAGGCCGGCGCTCCTTTGTCCTATGAGGACATTGAGGTTGCTCCCCCTAAAGCTGGTGAGGTGCGCATTCAAGTTCACCACACTGGTGTCTGCCACACCGGTAAGCCTTTTCCCCCACCATAAAAAAAAAACGACCCCGCTGCCGAAACGTTCCGACTAACAACACCAGATGCCTACACTCTGTCCGGCAAGGATCCCGAGGGTGCTTTCCCCGTTGTCCTTGGTCACGAGGGTGCTGGTATCGTCGAGTCCGTCGGCGAGGGTGTGACTTCCGTCAATGTCGGCGACTACGTCGTCGCTCTCTAGTATGTTTCAATGCCCCTATGCTCACCTGGGTCCATCCGCTGATCACACCATATAGCACTCCCGAATGTCGCGAGTGTAAGTTCTGCAAGTCCGGCAAGACCAACCTCTGCGGCAAGATTCGCGCTACACAGGGTAAGGGTGTCATGCCTGATGGCACCTCCCGTTTCCGTGCCCGCGGCAAGGATCTCCTTCACTTCATGGGTACCTCCACCTTCTCTCAGTACACCGTTGTGGCCGATATCTCAGTTGTGGCTGTCACCCCTAAGATCCCCACTGATCGCTCCTGCCTGCTCGGCTGTGGTATCACCACTGGATACGGCGCTGCGGTTGTCACTGCCAAGGTTGAGGAGGGATCTAACGTCGCTGTCTTCGGTGTCGGCTGTGTTGGTCTCTCCGTCCTGCAGGGTGCCGTGAAGAACAAGGCTGGCAAGATCATTGCTGTCGATGTCAACGACGGCAAGGAGGCCTGGGCCCGCAAGTTCGGTGCTACCCACTTCGTTAACCCCACCAAGCTTTCCGGCAAGACCATCCAAGAACACTTGATTGAGATGACTGACGGTGGCTGCGACTACACCTTCGACTGCACTGGTAACGTTGGTGTCATGCGTGCTGCTCTTGAGGCCTGCCACAAGGGTTGGGGTGAGAGCATTGTCATCGGTGTCGCTGCTGCTGGACAGGAGATTGCCACTCGCCGTAAGTTGTGCCCTCAAGTCGTGTATGGTCGATCGCTAACTCTTCTTAGCATTCCAGCTGGTTACCGGCCGTGTCTGGAAGGGATGTGCCTTCGGTGGTATCAAGGGTCGCACACAACTCCCCGGTCTGGTCGACGATTACCTGAACGGCGAGCTCAAGGTGGACGAGTTCATCACCCACCGCCAGCCGCTGAGTGCTATCAACAGCGCCTTCGACCAGATGAAGGAGGGTGACTGTGTTCGTTGCGTTGTCGACATGAAATAGATAAAAAGCAACTGATGTGAAATATGACTTTACTATTTTTCCGGAAATCTGCAATATTTGTAACGCTGGTCATCCAAGGTCCTCACACCCCGCAGCTCCGTAGCACCTTGTAGACATCTGACACCACATTTGGTTCCATTTATGCGAGTAGACCGAGTACGCCCACCAAACTACGCCCGGGCGGCAAATACTATGTAGACGGGATTGTAAATATCATCACGGTCACGGATGTTGTACGCAGGATCATATTCGCAGTAAACATATCGTACCCGTACCCCTCCACCATACGCTAGGTCCAAGTAATGACGATGATAAGCCCGCCGATGTCGGTCAATCCCAGTCTATTCATACTACTAGGTAAGTAGGATATATCTCCGATCTCCACTGATATACTCCGTATCCAAGATTCTGAAACGACTCTAAGAGGGGGCGCGGCGTGGAGCAATCTCCACGCCGCGGCCATTCCCGCGGCATCCAGATCAGAGTGAAGTATAAAGACACCCCGAGCAACTGCAGGACGCTCTATATTCTCCCAAAGTTGATTTAAACTCCATTCAATTATTCAATTCATTCCAACTCTCAAATCAACCAATTCTACCACCTGGGCAACCAAATTCCAACATGGACCCCAACCCAATCACCCTCCCAGCGCCTTTCTCCTCAATCCCGCGCACCCCCCTCCTCCTAGGCCCATCTCCAATCCACCCCCTCCCCCGCATAACCGCCGACCTCCACAACCCCAAGAAAGTGACCATCTACGCCAAGCGCGACGATCTCAACTCCGCCTACGCCTACGGGGGCAACAAGACCCGGAAACTCGAGTACTTACTTGCCGATGCCCTCGCCCAAGGATGCAACACCCTCGTTTCAATCGGAGGCGTCCAAAGCAACCACACACGACAAGTGGCTGCCGTTGCTGCGCGCTCGGGTCTAAAGGCCCGTCTTGTACAGGAACATTGGGTCGATTGGTCTGATAAGGGATATGAAGATACGGGGAATATTCAACTTTCTCGTCTTATGGATGCGGATGTAAGACTTGATCCATCTGGTTTTGGAATCGAGCATAAGAACACTGCTGCTGCGGTGGTGGAGGAGTCGAAGAAGAATGGGGAGATTCCGTACTATATCCCTGCGGGGGCTTCGGATCATCCGCTTGGCGGGTTGGGGTTTGCAAGGTGGGCATTTGAAGTTCGGGAGCAGGAGGCGAAGATGGGAACATTCTTCAATACTGTTCTCGTTTGTGCTGTTACCGGTTCGACTTTTGCTGGCATGATCGCTGGGTTTAAGTTGTTGGAAAAGATGTATCCAGATGATCCCAAGAGACGGGTTATTGGGATTGATGCCTCGGCGACTGTTGAGGCCACTTTTGACCAGGTCTTGCGCATTGCGAAGAACACTGCTGCTAAGATTGGCTTGACGGAGGATGATATCACCCCTGAGGATGTGATTCTTGATGATCGTTACCACGCGGGTATCTATGGCATTCCGGATCGCCAGACTTGGGATGCTATTGAGTACGCTGCAAAGATGGAGGCTTTCATTACGGATCCCGTATATGAGGGAAAGAGCTTCGCGGGCATGATTGATATGATCCGTCGCGGGGAGATTGAAGAGGGTAACATCTTGTATGCGCATCTGGGTGGGCAATTGGCTTTGAATGCCTACTCTGACCTTGGCCGGACCCAAGCGCAGTGACTGCCATGTTGGTAAGAGCTTAAGCTGTATATAAGAATTACAATTTTACGATAAACATGTTTTGCAACAAGTTGCTTTGAATTGAATAAACGAGTGACTAAAGTTGGTTTAACAAAAGGATCAAACTGCAAACTTCAAAATGAAAGTCTAGAACAGCTTGTGCTCGAGGGTCATCTCCGACTCGGGTTGGAGGCCAACACAGGCACGGAAGATGTTGATCAAAGCAGAGCGCTGCTTGCCAAGGGCATTGACAACGGGGGTGCCGGGGGGAGTCAGAGGGGCCTTGAGCATGTAGCTGAGGATGCTCAGAACGCTGTGGAAGCCCTTGTACTCGGCTCCCTCGGAGTCCGCCTGCCAGCTGATACGAGTCATCATCTCGGCGAGAATGACCAGATCGATGATGAGAGGCGAAGCCAACAGCGAGTCCTCGCAGATGTTGAACAAGCTAATGGTCTGGTGACCACCCATGAAGATCTCAGCGTAGTACTCATCCAGAGCGCGCTTGTTGTCTCCGACAGCAGGCATGTACTTAATGACAACGGTGTGATCGGGGTGCTCATCCTTCTCGTAGAGAATGTGGTTGGCTGCGACCATATCATCCACAACGTTGGACTTGGAGATCTCCTTGGAGCGGAACTGCTTCTGAGAGCTCAGGTTCTTGCCGTCGTTGTTGCCCAGGTGGTTGTAGCTGGCAATGGAGGTGAGCTTGATACCGGCGTTGATCAAGAAGTCCACAAGAGCGGACTTCATCTTGGTCTGGCCGGACTTGAAGTCATCACCACCAATGAAGGCCTTGCGCTGCTCCGCAAGCTGCAGGGCACCGGGGACAAAGGTGTTCTGGGGGGAACCGTTGATGAAAGGAGTATCCTCGAGAATGGAGGCCACGGCGAACACGGTGGAAGGAGCAACTTCGAGGTGACCTGTCTTGATGGAGTTGATCAGGTTCTCGGCGGTGTCGTTGACACCGGGAATGATGTCCGCGTACCGCTCGGTGTTGGCGGTCCACATGACAATCACCTTATCTAACCCGTTGTTGGCCTTGAAGTCGCGGATATCCTTCTGGATGTGCTCCACATGCTCCCAGCAGGCCTTGTCGCCCTTGACGACATTGTCGGCACGGTCCTCCTGGTTGGCAGCGATGAAGTCGGGATAGTAGATACTAGGCAACGGTTTCATCTCACCCATCTCCTTGCGGACCTGGTTCTTGAGAGTGGGTTCCAACACCTGGGCACGGTCCATGGACTCGGCCAAGTTCAGGCTGCTGATATCCCAACCACCAATGGCCAAATCATTGGGATGGGCCATGGGGAGCAGGTCGTGGAAGGGGATGTTGATCTCCTCGCCCGTTTTAGCGTCCGTGCCCAACTTGACAGTGGAGCCCATGACGATTGAGCCATAGTAGTTGGAGGTTTGCTGGCCATCACGAGTCTCCCACGAGAGCTTGCGACGGTTGGCCAGGATACCAGCGGTGACGGTGGAACCGTTGTTTCCACCCCAGCCGACCAGCATCATGCCGACCTTGCCAACCTTACGGTTGACCTTGAAGTTGTAGTTAGTGGCCTTAGGGGTAGCCACCAACTTGTTGTCCGCAGAGCGGGTAATCTCAGTAGTCTGATAGGCGTACTTCGACTTGATTTCGTCGTCCGTGTAGACGACATTGGGCGATTGGACAGTAAACAGAGAGGGTTCCTGGCGAACCGACCCGTTCAGGGCGCCATTGACAGCATCCGAGCTAGCGTGAGGAGCCATTGCGTTCACAGCGGGATGAATTGAAAAGTGTTATGTGTATGACAGCGTAGCTTTAGCGGATAAAGGGTGCGCAGTCCGATGCTCCTCCACGGTTGGATGAGCGTCGGCCGTTGAACGGGTGGTGCCGCCTGGTTGAGTGTTAGCATTGTATACTATAGCAGTAGGATGGATACTCACGAGTTAAGACTTGTCGCGAAAATTTTGGCGGTTGTATGTGACCACTGTCTCGACGAGAAGTGATCTGACCTGCTGAAAAGGTTTATACGAACCTAAAATAAACGGGACAGAAAGATGAAGTTGTTGAGGGGAGGAGAGGAGGGGAGGGAAGGGCCGGACTTTAAATAATATGAACCTCCGCCATGCTCCGGTGCCCCGACTTCCCCCTTATTCCAACGCGATTTCCATATTATTTAGCTTCGGAATATTATTCGCTGGCAAACTGAGCTTTGGTGCTCACCGTCTGTTTGCCTGTGATCTGGTCATACTGTATATTTGCTTCAATACATTTCAGTCCATATCATAGATTTGACTTGATCGTACACCCCCTCTACATAGTGTATACTCCGTACCTGTCACTTGAGAAGCGCCTGAAGCAAAGAGAAGGATTCCACCCGTTTCGGCAATTCCTTTCTCCAGTTTTCTCGCCCACTTGTACCGAATGATTGCCGTCTGGGGCGTTCCGCTTCCGGCTTTCTTGGGTGCCTGGTGCCTATTACCCACAATCTTTGCCGAATACGAATTGCAACTCAGGGGTCAGAGTTCAGGTTTGGCTCAATGGCAATTGCTTAGTCCATCTTGGATTCACTTGCAATGAATTCCAGTAATGACTTTAGTTCGTGCATACTCAATACAAAGTACGGAGCACGGAGGATCATAGATCAGGCCACGAGCCCTCGGCTGAACCGTGCAGTCCGGAGAGGTCGCCTCCGCCAAAGAGCGGTCTGTCACTGCCGAGACCGTGTGCTTTCACCGTGCACCCGGTGTAGATCACATATTGAGTTTCTAAAATTCCCAAGGTCTTTTAAGGAAATAATTACGAGTAGTTCTAAAGTTTCTCTGGAACCCGCGCACAATCTTGGATATCAATTGATGACTACAATGTATGACCGTTCGCACGTGATTATTCGCACTCGTTCGTGTGTCCTGACGTTGGTAGCACTTTAGCAAGGATCCATCACATGTCCTTGGGAATACCGTTTGTTTATAGGCATATTCCAATGTTTCAATCAAGAAAATTCTTCTTTAGAATCACACCTCTGGAATCCATGATGGGGATTTACTCGTACATAGGGGCGCTACGTGTGTGCATTTATGATGTTGAAATGATGAATAAAGTGCGCTAAAGGGCTACATTCCGACGCGAGAGGGCTTTTAGTATACAGTTTGAGTTGGGAATTTTCCAAGGTTAGAAAGTCAACATGGTAACATTTGAGCATGTCATATCTATAGATGTCAATCGTATGAACCGGATCCTCCAGTCCAACACCCTCAAGAGTCAAAACTATGTCGATCGACTCGACGTACCTAAGTCCTCTAAGTGCTCCTCTGTGGGATCCTTTACACATGGGCTTGGCTTCAAACCACTCTGCTCTGCCAAGCGGCTTTCGATTCCAAATAGCCGAGACATCTCTTCCAGGGTCCGGCCGCGAGTTTCGACTAGAAAGTGGTCAGTAACATCCAGGACTTTTGTCAGATAGAGAATACAAACCCAGGGCATATCGCACGAACAAGAAAGCAACCACGCAAATCCCTGTGTAAATAATGTAAAGGCCCCAGCCAATTGCATCAGCGATGGGCGGGCTTGCCTGCGCGACAATATAACAGGCGGCCCACAAAGATGCGGTTGACAGTGCGTTTCCCTTGGCTCGCATGGAGACAGGAAAAATCTCGGCGGCATAGGTCCAAGATCCGACGCCCCAGCTAATGTTGAAAAATACGTAGAAGAGATATGGGAATAGGATGATCGTGTAATTCGCCGGGTCGCCTGGATGATGCTCGGCGTGCCACTGCAAAACGGTGATGCCGATCATGGCTGCCATCATTCCAACGGTTCCAATTTGCAGCCATATTTTACGACCCAGTCGGTCGAAGTAGAAAATTGGAACCCATGAGAAGACGAATAGCACGATTCCCACGCCACCGGTCGCGAGATTGGCGGTGCGAGGGTCCGTGATGCCTCCGCGCCTGAACAGAGATGGCTACATGGATGTCAGCCAACACACATATACAGAGCCGTTGGAACATATATGATGACTCACAGTATAATAGAGAATCGAGTTAGTTCCGGTGATTTGCTGGAAGAATTGGACAGCCATTCCCAAGATGGTCACATGAAGCACAGGCATCTTGAACATATCCCCCCAAGTGGCCTCAGTGACGCTTTGGTCAAACTCAATAGACGCCTGGATATCCTGCATTTCCAGCTCGGCCGCCTCGGAGCCGTGAAGCCGGATGAGAACCTCCCGTGCACATTCATGACGATCCTGGCTCGCCAGCCATCGCGGACTGGGAGGTACCCAATACCAACAACCCACGCCGAGAATAATGGCAGGGACGATTTGGATAGCTAGCGGAATGCGCCACCAATCCTTGGTCTCAAGAAAGTTGAAGCCATAGTTAAGCCAGAATGCAACTAGTTCTCCAAGACAAAGAATCATTTGCTCGATCGCGACGATTCGTCCTCGAATAGCAGGAGGTGCTATCTCAGCAACGTACAGAGGGACGCCTCCTGCACATGCTCCTACGCCAAGTCCTAGGATAACTCGACCGATCGTCTTTCTATAGTATCAGTATGTGACAACAAGCGGAGCGTTGGAAACGTGGCTCACAATCTGAACGACGGTATATGATGCAGCCTGTAGGACAGCACCGACAATGAACACCGCGCACGCGACAGACAATGTTCGCTCACGACCCAGTGGATCCGCAAGATATCCAAGCGACATAGCACCGATGAAGCATCCGACGTCGTACAAGGAAACGACCGTGCCGGTGACCCCTGTGCAGCGATTCCATGAGCTTAATCCAACATTGCCATTCCCCGTCGCTCACTTACAGGAGTTCTTTGGGTGCATCAAATCGATCCATCGTTCATCGGCAACAATCACACCCATAACGCCCTGATCATATCCGAATAGGAATGCACCCAGAGATACGAACGCCGTGACGGTATACAGAAGCCTGGTGTCTCCAGACCGCGACTGTAAAGGTCCAATACCCGAAGGTGGCCGAATGAGCTTGGTTTGTTTGAGAGCGTCCATGATCAGGTGAAACCAGTGAGCATGGGGGTGATCGCGGGATTATACTCCACTCAATAAATAGTTCGGAGATGCACTCTGTCTAGCCGAGGCCGTTCCCCCCAGAACCCCATGGGGAATTCTCTGGGGTAAACGTTGAGCATTTGCATCATTCCGACAAGTTCGGCGAGTCCCCGCGGAATGCAGCGGGTGAATATTGCCTATTTTGATCATAAAAATGCAATAACGTGCCGCCCGTTGTGCAGAACGGATGGTCATTTCCCCCGGTCCAGTCCAAAGGGGTAATTTTTGCACTTTGCGGGGAAGGGTATCATCCAGTTGTCGCAAGATGTTGAAAACAAGCTATGGAGATCTTTGCGGGGAAATTGATTTGAAAGCTTTGCTCTTTTTCGGGTGTGGAGAGGAAAGTGAAAGGCGCATGGGGGACTCCATACAGCAACGCCGGGCAAACCGCTGAGATATAAATGAGTTCACAATTTGCATTCTTCAAGGCCCTGGTTGGGATTGTTTTCATTATTTGCACCGCTGAAAGTCATAATGCAGCCACCACTTGAATTTCGGCCTCACACTCTGGCTGTAAATGATGGCCCTTTGCAAGATGTCAAGTTCCTGCATCAATCATGCTCGACAGAGCCAATGGAGACTTTGCGACAGCGCTACGAAGAGGATGGATATATTTTTCTGAAGGGGTTGCTTCCGCGTGCCGATGTCCTGAAAGCACGCCACGAGTATTTCGCCATGATGCAACAGACGGGTGTACTGCAAGAAAGTACCGAGCCAGTACATGGCATCTTCAACCCGCTCAGATCACCTGCAGAATTCCCGGGCATTGGTGCCGGCGGTGCAGGGAAAAATGGCAGGCCCGGCGGCGAGAAGGCTGCCCAGTTTGTTGACCTCGCTATTGAAGCACACTATCGTGACTGGTATGCGGAAGATTTCTGTCGCCATCCGGCATTGTTGGAATTTATTGCCAGGTTCACTGGCTGGGACACCAATACCCTGGGTCTTCGAAGATCGCTACTGCGAAACAACATCCCAGGAACAAAGCCGATCGGAGTTCACTATGACCAGATCTTCCTTCGCCACGGTGAACCCACGAGCGTCACTGCGTGGGTTCCCATCGGTGATATCAAATTATGCGGAGGTGGGTTGATCTATCTAGAAAACGGTATACAAACCCTCGTCTCAATTGTGTGACCTTCTAATCAAAGAATAGGCGATCCTGTGGGTGTCGCCTGCGAGGAAGATTTCAAGAAGAAGGCAAATGCAGCTGGGCTTACCGACGAGGAGGCTAAGGATGCGTTCAACAGTAACATGATGGCAACTGGGCTACTGTCGGAGCTTCCTTTAGAATTCGCTCGCATGAACCAACGATCCTGGTTAGTGGCTGAGTATGAAGCTGGCGATGTTGTGTTGCACAAACCACACACGGTAAGAGTTCATTATCCGTTTTTTTCTATTCCCCCTAACTAATCCACAAGATTCACGCATCAACAATCAACAACGATCCTGATCAAGTGATTCGCTTGGCTACCGATCTGCGGTTTGTGGACTCTTCAAGGCCTTTTGACAGGGTATGTTGGACATGCCAATGCATGATATGCTCATACTAATTTAAGGCAGAGGTGGAACGAGCCTTATCGAGTTGGTGATGGGGTATAGAGCATATGACGAGCACCTGGAGTTCAACAAGTGAGAAAATCCCGAACAAGCCCTGGGGACTTGAATGGTGTGGAGCAACTCGATTTCTTATGTCTATGGTTTGTATAACGCATGTTGCCTGAGAGTAGCGAGGATTTCACGTATGCCCAACCTAATCACATGGCATTCGCCGTCAGGAACATACAAAATGTTGACATGCAAGTCTTGCCCTTCTCATTCTGACCCGCTTGTCCTCGGCTGTGTTTCATTGCATTTCTCTGGCCCAGCCTCCTCTCGGGCTCTCGGGATCCCTGACTCTTGTTTCATTCGTTTGGCCACATGGATAGAGTCAAGCACTCCCGTTGACGTGATGAAGACCTCATCTATGTCTTCCAGTGTGAGACCAGCAGTTTCCGGGAAGAAGTAGTAGATAACAGGTATTGTGACCGCATTTAGGACCGCAAATATGATAAAGTATTTCCACTCAATAGCGTTGAATGCAATGGGTGTAACCAGCGCAATGAGGACACTGAGACCCCACCAGATAGCGGAACCGATTCCGTTGATGGTAGCCCGGATACTAAGAGGTGCTATTTCCGAAGCGTAGAGGAACGGGATTCCACCAAAACCAACCATCATGCTGAAGTGGAACAGAAACATGAATACTACCGCTGCGTGTGAAGCAATGTTGGTTGGTGGAGAGCTCAGTGCTGCCACAAGAATCATGCATATGGTGTTGGCTCCGGCGCTCATTAACATCAGGAATCGGCGACCAAATCCTTCTATGGTGAAAACACAGACAATCCCCCCGATTGTTCCAGAGAACTGATATACCGCGGCCAAAATTCTCGACGTGATAGGGTTGAGATGGAGGTGTGTTTGAAAAAGGGTTGTACCTAGGAGATGATAAGTCAATCGAGTCATTTCACTTTCAAGGTCCAGAGCACCCACTGTAAAATGTGATGCAGTTGATTCCAGTCAGCTGCAAAAGCACCAGACATCCAGCTGCAAGTGACGCGCGATGGAATATCCGCTGGTGCCCCATCTGAAATACCTGAGCGAAAGAGCCTTTGCCAGCAATGGCCAATGACGAGAGAACGTCTTCTATCTCCTTCTCTACAACTTCAGTATCTGGAGATGTATGTCTTAAGCCTGCGATCACTTCGCGGGCTTCAGGACATTGACCCCGTTGGACCAGCCAACGAGGTGATTCGGGTAACCGAGAGGTAAGCACGAGAACCGGTAGACAAAGCACGATCGGCAATGCAAGTGGGAGCCGCCAGCTCACACTTCTGTCCACGAAAGACATCCCGAGATCCATCAGCAGAGCCAAAGTTAGGCCCAAACCAACGAAGACCCCGGTCATTCCAACGTGCGCACCTCGTTTTGTCGCTGGCGATATCTCCGATTGCCAGACCGGAACAGTCGCCAGCTGAGCACCGCAGCCAAATCCAAGGATGACGCGCGAAACCACGAGCTGAGCCATATCGAATGAACTGGCGCCGAGGAAAGCGCCGATCATATGGATCACCGTGGCAATCTTGATGGTTTTGCGGCGCCCAAGAACATCGCCTATCCCAATACAGGCGAGCGCACCTAAAAGCCCACCTGCCGCATACAATGCAACAACCGTGCCCTGCAAGGTTGATTTGTGGTGTCTTTCCGCAGGGAGGGCATCGTTGACGTCGATTTGTGGAAATTGCTCCTGGAACCAGTCCATTGTCAAAACACCTCCAAGTACCCCCTGATTGTAGCCCATTGACATCATGGCAGGCATTACCACGCCAATCAGAGCCACTTGATTGAGACGATTGCCTCGGAGGCCATGGAAGTGTGACATTCAGCGCTCAAGGTTGGGATAAAGGTACGCTAGCGGTTCATAGAAATGCGGAAAAGGTTAAAGGTAGACTAAAAAAACAAGCTCCTCTGCTCGATCGCGGATCTGGCAGAGGTGTCGTTTCAAGATTCCGATCCTTGCGCTTTGTTGGCCGCATGCCATTCTTTTAAGGGGCCGCAAGGGGCACCATGTTGACCATCGAACCACAGCTTGGTCGATCTGTGACATGTACGGAGTACATCACTGCAAATATTAAGACTGGTTTCAGTTGATTGCATATGTATGAGCACACGATCTCCAGCTGTCGAATGAGTGTCTTCAGTGGTTCAATTTGGGCCGCGCCGAGTTCGAAATACCTAAGCGTGTTGTGAGCAAATTGTATGTCTCAGCTACTTTAGGGAATTGCGTCTGGGCATACACCATATCCTTTGAAATAATCTTGGAAAATTTGGGACAGCACTCCGTTCCAAGATTTATTCGCACTACCTAGACGAGTAGCTGCTCAAGTTGCTACGAGGGTAGAGATTTGGCTGAAGCATAATAATTGAAGATAGTATGTTCTAAAGTTTAAGACTGATCTAGCCTTGAAATAAGGTTACGCAATACGGAGTACCGATCCATGGCTCTCGACCAATTGCTTTCCTCGTGACCACTTGGGCAGCATCAGATGTCGAGTACTTACTTCTTACGAAGTGGATGATAACTTGAGTATGCAAATAGTCTTTTTCCTCTCGTGTTCGACTCTCTGATATCGAACCACAGTGATCGGCCTAATGTTGCTTGCCACCGTTTACGAGCATATCATTTAAGCTGTGACGTAAAGATTACAAGCCATATAACATATATAAAAGCCTCAAATCAATAGATAATATCGTGATGATCTTAATAATTGATCTTCCCAACCAGTTTTATTGATCTTGAGTTAATCCCGCCCGACAAACACTCCCAAACTCCCGGCATGTCTACAGGATCTTGCCTGTGCGGAAATCTGAAGTATGAGTTTACCGCAGTGCCCATTACAAAGGCAAGCATTTTGCAAAGAAAAAGGGGGTAATTTTCTCCAGTTGACCGCTCTTTATTTAGGCTACCTGCTACTGCCTATCCTGTCGGAAGATCAGCGGCAGTACAAATACATTGAACCTGCTTCTCCCAGATAGCAGTCTGCGCATCACCAATGGCGTGGCCAAGAAGCATACAAGTATGCACGAAAGCGGGATGGAGCTGACCGTCTATTTTTGCAGCGAATGTGGCTGTACTATCTACAAGACTCATGAGAAATTTCCAGGAATGGTGGTGGTTTTGGCAGGGACTCTCGACGGTCCCAATGGACTGGAAGAGCACAAACCAGAAGCAGAGCTGTATTCCCAACACCGTGTGAGCTGGGTGCCTGATTTCACTTGGGCGGAGCAGAGGACCGAATTCTGAGGAATAGGTGGCGCTGGCTCACAGTACGGAGTGTTTTGCTGTCATTCTGGCAGGTCATATTTATCCCGTGAATTGCTGAGAGCTATATATTATCAGTTGGTCAAGATGATCGTAAATAGTCCCTGGGGAATCAGACCATTGTCTGGAATTGTACACCATATCCCTATTCCCGAGATTCTTGTGCTTCCGCTTCAAGATTGTCTGCAAAGATAGTGTATAACAAAAAGCCCAGATGCATGGCGATGTTCACTGGGTCGTGGACCGGCGGTTGGGGAAGGCGGAACACAGTCCCCCCACAGTTGCAATGCGGGGAAAAGTTCGCGCGAAGAAATCCAACACCATCATGCCGGGGCCCAAGAACCCCCAATGCTGGTGAGCCCCTTCACAAGTCTCATTGATCCCTCTAATATATTATCAGCGATCCATGCCGCGTCTTGCATCACAAATGTAAGGCCCCTCCACCCCTACGAAGCGCCAGTCTAACTTTGTAGGCGACGGAGTTTTGCCACAATGCGGTCGATGCAATCGAACGAGTCGGGAATGTACACGAGGGAAACGAGAGACCAAATTTCGACAAGCAAAGGGTCGCACTTCGCGTACGAAGTTTCCACAGAACCAGGTTTGGCTTCGGCCACCCCCACGAGGTTGGACACCCGTCACTGTTTGCTGGACTCTCCTGACATCGTCTAGTTGATTTTGTACTTGAATCAGGAAGTGGTGAGCCGGACGATCTGCTAGAGAGAGACACACATCATTCACTAGGAAGGAATTTGCGGAGCCATACCCAGTCCATTCCAAGTCCGGAAAGGCCGTCGTCAAGGTCCTCCTACACTGCCCTATTACCGGACTACGAGCATTCGAACCGAAACATACATGGGAGTTCCCGATCATCACTTATTCTCGAAGCGGATTCCCCTGAGAAACAACATGAGCGACGATGGCCTCTGAGAGATCCCCAAGAGGCGCGACTGTTGCAACATTTCGTGAACAACGTCGCGTCATTTGTGAGTATCAATCTTCCAAATAGTCGATGTCTTCTGATTGTGTTGAAGTTTGATTGTACAGATCGCCAACAGCATTTTGCTATTCATATCCCCCACCGGGCGCGCCGTTGCGAAACCCTCTTCAACGCGATAATGGCCATGTCGGCCCGCCATTTGAACCGGACTACACACTTTGATCCTTTCGTATCAGATCATTACTACCAGGCATGCTTGGAAAAGCTGATCCCGGCACTGGACAATCACGGGGTAACTATGGATGACGACTTGCTTACAGCTACTGTCATCCTGCGCCTGCTTGAAGAATTTGACGGTAAGCAGTGGATCTACCTCCACCGTTATGTCAACGACGTTTCTGACGATCACAGTCCCACTCGCCGGGTCAGATATTCGGGGTCACTCCTTTGGCACAAAGGCTTTCATTCGGGGCCCCACGCTGATGACTTCGACGCCCAGCCTCCGACAAGCTGTCTATTGGAGTGGCCTGCGGCAGGAAATCTATAATGCACTCAGTCTGCAACAAGCCCCCGACATTGACCTCAGTTCTCTGAACCTAAACTCCCAGTTTAGTCCGCTTGGACCGGACGCTGGTGATTGTGCATGGGCAAATCAGGCCATTGCGCATTGTGCGGACGTCTTGATCTTCTGTTTCGGAGAGGGACACCGTTCCACAGCTGTGCATGCAGAGCTTAAAGCGCAGAATGAGCAATGGACCGAGACACGTCCAGATTCCTTCGACCCATTTTTCGTGGGCGAGGAGGTGGAGATTGGAACTGCATTCCCTGACATTCGTTTTGGATGTCCCTGGCATGGTAGGCTCTGAAACAATTCTCCCAATGTGGGAGCCATCAACGACGCAGTAACCAAAGCTAACTTCGTCTAGCAATTGGGAACCAGTATACCGATCTTGCAAGGATTTTGTTAGCCGTTCATGACCCTACTCTACCGACCGTTGGTCCTCTGCGTAGACGGTTGATCCAAGATGCTGATGTAAGTGGCTGTCATGCATAATCTCCTATGTGAACCTTGAATTATCCACAACGATCTGACGAATGCAGGACCTTATCCGCAAGGGGGTGTGGACTGTATGTGGCGCTGCGCTATCCAACGCACATGTACCTCCAGCCATGGTCGTTGGGTGCATGGCTATCCATCTTTGTGAGAATCGTAGACTATTGCTCGGGTGGAAATTGAAGCTGATGAGTCTTACAGGCGGTGATCGATTTACGGACCCACAACAGCAAGACCTGCTGATTCAGGTTCTTGTTCGAACGGATACCCTTCATGGTTGGCCAACTCATGCACTTCAGCGACAACTTCGGGAGACGTGGGGCATTCCTTGATCATAGGTTGTTTCAGACGCAAGAAAGCCAAGCTCTCGCGTAGAAGGCTTGCAGTCATGACGCTTGTGCCGTGTTTAGAGTTGGTGTGGACACAGGTGTGATTTGGTTGTCCTTTCTTTCTTCCTTTGCCGGCGCACGCCACGGAACCCACCACAAACGCCCATCTCGAAATTGTTTGTTTACAACAGTCTATTACTGAACCAAAAGGAACAAACAAACGAGTTTGACGCGTTATCCCCGGCCAACTGGAGCGGGTTTCTGCTTTAAGCCAAGTCGCAGGGTCGTGCATGATTCTTGTGCCACAGCAAAGGCCACTGGAGGGAGCGAGCTTGGGGGAAGAATTGGCCCCGCAGATCGCCAGGACACACGGGCAGAGAGTCCAGAGTTGACGATCATCGCTGACTGTTCTAAGAATATCGGTGTCGCCACCACATAATTCCACTCAGGAGAGTGTTTGGTCTGCGAGGAGAGAAGTTTGCTCCCAGGATCCATGTCAAAATCCAGATCGGGTGTTTACCCCTGGGGATTTATCCCCACCGATCGCAAGACTTTCAAAGAGACCTCGAGAATCGGCTGTGGGATGTGATTGGTAGTGGAGGACGGGTCCGAGAGTTGGAGCCAGAAACGGACCAGTCGCGTTGCAAGGTGGTACTTTTTCCAATGCTGTGTGATGTGCATATGTCCCCGAAGGGACCCTCTGTGCACAATTTGGAAGTGGATTGCGTGGTCGAATCCGTTCAGGGGAGTGCATATAGATTGCATCCTCTACTCACATTTGGTATATGCGACTAAGCTAAGCTTGGAGCTACCCATGCAACTCTGTACATAATATGTAGAATGCTCAACCTTCAAAAAAGTCGTCAAAATCCCCGTAAGCACTGGAAATTGAAGCCTGACGGTGAACAGGAAAATAAAATGTACAAAGTAACCCCTGAAGACTTACGCAGCCCCTTTCCGCGCTGGAGACACTACCACACTAGTGTCGTTTCCCACGTACCCACCGACGATCGACCATCTTCTCCTCGACTTCAGCTTTCCTTTTAGAATCAATTATTCCCCAGATTCCATTTCCAATAGCCCCATCTGTATCTAGTAGTTGGACGCAGGGGCAGGTGGCCCACTGACTTTGATGCGTGATGGCTTCCAATATGGGCTTTTTGCCCACAATCAAATGCTCCAATTGTGGCACCAATGTCGAGATAATGGCCATGGGGGATCATACCTGTGTTCCCAATGATTATGGTAGGTGTTTTTGAATCCTCTACTGTATTCCGGTGCTGATCTCTATAGTCCCCGTGGCACCGATGCCATCGCCGCCTCCATCGGCGGGGTTAGAATCGCCAGACCGACTCACTACCGCAATGGCAACAAAGATCCCTCGCGGAGGGCCTCCCTCCCGGATTGATCCATCCGTCGCAAGTACGTTCACTACTGCTGGTGTGTCTGACCGATGAGATCCTAACAGCCATAGATCAAGCATACCTACAGCCCAACATGCCCACACCAGCGAGCAGTGTAGCCCCGTCGCCTTCCATCAATTCGGCGCCTCGATCTCCGCTGCACGCACCTCAGGACGTGACTGACAATGACTCTGATATGGACAATGTCTTCTCCTTCCCCATGCCTGGGAATAGGTCCCCGACACAAGTCAGAACACCAAGCCCAAAGACTGACGCGATGGCGAAATCATTACCTCCAGTCCCGTCCTCCGGGTTTGGATTCGGTCTCAAACCGGAGAATATTCAACTCCCAGCCAGTCCAATGCCCCCAAAGTCTCCAGATGTCAACCACTACAGAGGCGACTCAACACTCAGTCACAGCAGCTATCGGTCTTCCTTCGCCAGCAGTCGCTATGGGGATTCGACGGCGAGGTCGTCAAGCAACGGCTCTTCTCGCGGCACACGATCATTCGGGGATGAAGCACCACCTGTTCCAATAGCACCTCTTCGCACGCCTAGCAAAACTTCTTTTCCTCGTGACTCGAACCTCTCCGTGGTCTCGTCTCAGATTAGCGAGGAGGAAGCCAGTGGATTCGATTTTGGTCTTCCCACAGGCCCCAACCCGGCGACTGGATTACACGATCTCCCGGAGGAGTCACCATCAGCTGAATATGAAAACAACAATGAATACCCTGCTTTCCAACCCTCTACACAAACTCATCTCCATCCCGCAGCGGCAGCAGAACCCAGCAACGACGCACCAAGGAAGAACTCTGATGCCAGTACGACCAGTGCATTGTCGGTGACAAGCTTCGCCCGTGCACTTGGACTTGAGGACCAAATGAACAAGCCCGAAAGCTCCGTCTGTTCGGACTCCTCGCCATCTGATGCACGAAGTGGGAGCTCCATGTCCAGTCTCCCCTCCGATGTTAGCTTGACCCGGCACAAAACCTCCGACCCGCTCAACCTAGGCGTTCTCGTCGAGGAACTTCCCGCACGCACCAGACAGACGATACTGGAAATGCCCGGCCGCGTACGAAGTACCATGGAAGATGTGGAAAGCGTCCCACCTATCCCAGCAGCATTTTTCAGTCCGGATTCCCCAACCGACCCTGCAATTAACCAAGGTGGCCTATCCCTGATCGCAGATCGAAAGGACCAAGCCCCCATCCCAACACCATCCCAACTAAAAGAACCTACTCCTCCACCACAAAAGCCTCAAGAACCTCCAGCGCCTACAGCACCTCCAGCACCTCAACGCTCATTCACCGCACCAAACCCTCAAATCCCCCCAACACCTCAAACTCCCCAAACACCATCACGCTCCGGCACACGCTCAAAAGGCAAATGCAAAGGCTGTAACGAGACCATCACAGGAAAATCAATATCTTCCTCCGACGGCCGTCTAACAGGCCGCTACCACCGCGGTTGTTTCGTGTGTTTCGAATGCCACTCGCCCTTCCAAACAGCCGACTTCTATGTCCTGAACAACCGGCCCTTCTGCGCACAGCATTACCACGAACGTAACGGTTCCCTCTGTGCAGGATGCCACACCGGAATTGAAGGCCACTACCTGGAGACCGTCGAGCGGAATCCGGCGCGTGCAGACCGCCGCCGCTTCCACACGGAGTGTTTACAATGTCGCACATGTCATATTCTTCTCAAGGGCGACTACTTCGAGTGGAACGGTGAAGTCTTCTGTGAGCGTGATGCTCGTCGTGCTGCTGCCGCTTCCCATCCTCCTCCGGGTCCTGGTCGTCGTAGACCAACACTCGGTTCCTCTCCGCTCGCTCAATCAGGCCAATTCCCTCCAGGTCCTTATCCACCCGGTCCTGGCCACGGGCCAGGTCTGAGGCCTGGTCCACGGTTCCCGCCTGGCGGTGGGGGTCGATTCCCCGAGCGACGGACTACTAAACTAATGATGGTCTGAGCCACTTGTCCATTATGTGTTCCGCGGGTGGTACCTGGCTTCGTTGCCTTTCCCTGCGGAGCACCTATTACGCATTCTTTTATATCGCGATATACCCTGTGCTACCTCACCCATTTGATTTCGTTGGCAATGGCGTTGATCGTCTTCCCCCTTTTGGTCTCTCTTCTATATACATTCTGAGAGTTTTCTTTTTGGTGGTCTTTTTTACTTTTTTTTGGAATCATCTTATGGCGACATGCACCTAATGTATCTCTGTCCTGGATTGGTGTTTGGGTGGTCGATTCTTGTAAATGTTCTACATGTTGGACCTCGGGAGGATCTGTATTGATATGTCACTAATGTTATTTACTTCCGAGCCTGAACCGATGCTACTTCTCGTATACCGTAACTCCTACCTAAGATAGTAATTCTGACACTGGGATGTATGAAATGTGTGCGTGCAGAACGGGATAAGAGTTGAGATATGTCTGAGTATCCTTCAATGTCATCCAAAAACTGCCATAGGATGACCAGCATCTATGGCCTGATCCTGCATGATATATAGCCCGAAACCGCATTTGTCATGAGATCATTAACTAAGTATCCAAAATGTATGATGCACGGAAACCTATCCAAGCTTATGTGCATGGAGATCAACTCGCTCAATAGGACTGAGGTACCTGCGCCGGTAGTACCAACCAAAGCACTTGATGTACAAGGCAATGGCCAATACCTCCATCCGCTGCTTGAGAGAGATACGGGTCTTCTGTGGGACAGCCTTCAGGTCCGAGTGTTCCCTCTCCCAGTCGTCGCAGACTTCGTGGAACCGACCGGGCTCATTGGAAACAACACCGTCAACCTCGTGTTCGATGGACCACCTCATTAAATTAGGTTCGTCCACCGTCCAAACGTAGATTTGACGACGGGCAGCCCGAGCTTCCTCGATGAATCCCTTGCCCAAGGGACCCATCAGGACCTTTTGATTGATGTTGAAACCGACACGAGGCACCTCGAGGAACTGACGAGCATAGCTGGGGTCTGCGCAGATAAGAGACAGCGAATAACGGGGGAGATGCTCTGTGGCGGCCGAAATGAACCGTCCGTTCCAGGTGCCGGCTACAATACGACGGTGCCAGTCGGGTCCGATGGCGGCTATGGGTACTGATTGGGTGGCTTGTGCGATTCCCTTCATGATAGCGTCTGGGTCTTGGGTGAGCTGTGATGAGATAGTTTGTTAGATTTGTGACCTTGTATGGGATGGATGGGATTACCTTGATGTCAAGCAAGACCCAGATGTGCTCTCGGCCTGGTTGTCTGAGGTATTCCAGCACATCGATGAAGCGAGGGATGGGCTCATGAGGAGCTTGCAAGGTCCGCAGGGTTTGTAGATACTCCCAGTCACAGTCTGTGACATTTTTATTTACGCCGTAGCATCTTTGGAGGTTTGGGTCCTTGAGTCGGTGAGCGTAGTCCGGGAAGACAGGGATGGGCACATACGTGTGAGAGGACGACCACTCCATCGCGGGAAATGTGAAGGTCGATTTCGATCGCGTGGGCGCCTACTTCAATGCCCTTCTCGATTGCCAAAATCGTGTTCTCCGGGTATTGGCCGTTGAATCCTCGGTGGGCGATGTTCTGGGGTAATCGGACATCTTGATCGACCGGTGAGTGGAGAAAGTGGGCTTTGGGGAGTTAGTGAGCTTCACCACCCGATTTCTGGAACTGTTGCATACCCGGGACCTTCTGTGAAAGTCTAGATGAAGCGTCGCTCATATTGACAGTTGTTGGAGAGGAAAAGAGACCGGATGAGCAAAAACCGGACTTTGACGGAGATAGACGCAGACCCCGCTTGGTTTCGCTTTCGCTTAGACTTGCAGATCGTTGCACATTCAGCCATGATCTTCCTTGGAATTTCACCCAAGCTATGAGGAATGGCGGATCTTCTCATTTCAAGCGGCCATGACCTGCGATATTCAGCCCTGAAGCCATGGAGGCCCTGAGGCTTAATGGAGATGATGGAGATGGAGGCATCAATCTGGATCACCTCCACGATTACTCAGCCTCATCTCCAAATTTCTCCGAATTTTATTTATAAGTGGGACGGGACGTCATGGTCGAGTCGACGTTGAATTCCATTCTTCCTTCATCTCAAAATGGCAGTTCAACAATGGATCACGCCCTTGAAGGGCCTCGACAGTCTCAGTCGCGCTGGGGCCCCAATGCCCGCCCCGGGAGCAAACGAGGTTCTCGTCGAAATTCGCGCCGTGTCTCTGAACTACCGCGACGTGGAAGGTAAGTGTGCCAAGGCCTATCATGGGCCAACTGCTGATCAATTGATAGTCACAAAGGGCGAATATAAACACCACAAGACCGCCGAGCAAGATGCCACCATTGTGCCATGCTCCGATATGTGCGGAGTCGTCACTCAGATTGGCGCGGGCGTGACAAAATGGGCCGTCGGCGACCGTGTGCTGTCGACTTTCCTCCCCGATCACCAAACCGGCCAAGTCACCGAAAAGGAACTTAGCAGAAGCTTGGGACTGCCTCAGGATGGTGTCCTGGCTTCTCACCGAGTCTTCCCCGACTACGGCCTGGTCAAGGCTCCTAGTTTCATGTCCGACGAGGAAGCAGCGACTCTCCCGATTGCGTCGGTGACTGCTTGGATGTCCATCAATGGAATGCGCCCGATCGGACAGAGTGGTGGGAAGGATGAATACATTTTGCTTCAGGGAACCGGTGGTGTGGCTATTGCGGGGCTACAGATCGCTAAGGCGGCCGGAGCTAAAGGTAGGCGATTTGAGATTGATCCGGTCGATTCTGAGGGGCAAACGCTGACTTTGCACAGTTATCATCACTTCTTCGTCTGATGCTAAATTGGACCAAGCCAAACAACTGGGTGCTGATTTCACAATCAACTACCGGACCAATCCCAACTGGGAAGCCGAGGTGATGAAGTACACACAGAACCACGGCGCCGATATTATTCTCGAAGTCGGCGGTGCGAAGACTCTCCGGAAGAGCTTTGATTGTATTGCCTTCGGTGGTCTTATTGACTGCATCGGCTACGTGTCTGGCAAGATGGATGCCGACGATGACCGTTTGAACGTGAACCTGCTGGCTCTCCGTCGCACAGTGACTCTCAAGGGAATCATCAACGGTCCCAAAGACCGATTTGAAGAGATGACCCGTTTCTACGAGGACCACCAGGTCCGCCCAGTGGTCAACCGGGTGTTCTCGTTCGCTGAAGCTAAAGAAGCGTTCGAGTTCTTGGAAAGCGGAAGTCACTTTGGAAAAGTAGTCATCAAGGTCCAATAGAGGATACGCAGTATATATTATATCCCAGGATGACCCGGTTAATTTCCACTGGGCTTGAGAACCCCAGTGGCCACTCCAAGATCCTCTCCTAGTTCCTTGCCACCAACCGACAATTTCTGACAATCCTGTAACACGAACAACAGGCGAGCCCATTCCGTCTCACTGGGGTTGCGCCATCCATGCATTGTAGCCCGCTGTACTGCGACATCCCCACGCTTCATGATGACAGGCTCGCTATCTTCCAGGATCATTTCGATCTCCCCCTCAAGGACCACACCGTAATCAAGACTCTGAGTGCGATGAACAACGGCATGGTTGTTGGGCGCAAAATCGACAATGCGACACACAGTGCCACCAGGGTTGACCAGGCCAAGCTGCTCTTTCTGTTGCACTTCTTCGTGCTTCTTGATGTCGGCTTCGTTGTTGAGGTCTGCGGGGAATTGGGACGTGTAAACAACGTTGAAAGCCATTGCGCTTTCTTCGAACGACTGCCACTGGCCTGGAGTCGTGGAATGGATCACTGCTCTGCCGGCGTCATTGTGACCGGTGATGTGTCGAGTAATGCCTCGAAGGGGTGAGATTTGGCCCGGGTTGGAAGTCATGATGGATGGATGATGGTGGGATGTGAAGCTGTCCGAAACTCAGGGAGTAACCCCTCCATCTTATAATCTCGGTGGATCTCGATTACACCGAGACGGACACGTATCTTCACTCCACCTATTCTGCAGGTAAATTTGCAACCTGAATATGGCTGGACAATGAGAAATGTGCGTGTCTTTTGCGACATCTGGCCGTGTTCCAAAACTAATGGTTCACAGCTCATATGCGCGAGTACCTCTGTCAATGATAGCCCCCCAAATTCCCCCTTTGGGAAAGTGGTGCTAACGATTGACCGCAGGGATTTTGGTGAAGTCAGTTTTCCGTGAAATGTGGGAAGTAAAAAGTGATGTCTTGGCCTCTAAGGGTATTCCCAGGCATTTCAAGTGTTGGAAAGAAATTCCGAGCTGAACCCCTTCAAATACCATTTCTCCACTCTCCGTCCACCCCACGCCTACCCACGTCCCCCAAGAATGGGTGTCATGTCGCCACCTACATATTTACGGAGTACCCGAAGCGAGATCTCAAACGGGGAAAACAATCGCTGGGTCTACCCCAGAGGACCCCCACGCTGCTTTTTTGCGGGGGAGGTGTCGCGTGGGACCGAGACCCGGCATTAAAGGAGAAGTGGATCTTCATTTCAACTACATACAAGGAAAATAAGGCTCAACCTTCCATTTACAAAAACCAACGGAAGTCGGCAGACGCCGGTCCATCTCTCATACGCTCCGTGGGGATATCCCGTGCATGACGTGTGACTCCATCTCGGCGGTCGCGACGTTTGTTATCCAGCCACATGTACATACCGAGGCAAGCAGCCAAACAGGCACCCGTCGCTCCAAAGGCGGCCACACTGATCAAGGCTGGCATGTACTTGGGGGCGTCTTGCTTGCGGAACAAATTGCTGCTCACCAGACCCATCAGATTGGCCAGTGGGACACCGATACTGGTCAGGAGCACACGGCGACCTTCGTGGGCAATGTTGTTGTTGTACCATGTGCTCAGCATCACGGATGGGGCGGATGTACCCCATGTCATCATGAAGCAGGCAAAGTAAGCCACATGCAGTTGGTTCTGGACATCATCGATAGAGGCATAAATCATGAAGCCCGAGAACGTGAGTAGGAAGCCTAGGACAATGAAAGGCGATCGGAGTTTCACCCAATCGGAGGAGAAGGCGAGGATCAACAACATGACTGCTCCGGTCACATTTGGCGCCACGGTGGAAAGGTTGGTTTTGACAGTGGAGTAGCCCAGTCGTCCCACGATCTGCGGCATGAAGAGAGCCACGCCCTGCAGTGGAACACCGAGACAGATTTCAATACACAGGAACACATAAGTGGTAGGATGCTTGAAGATGGCAATTGCCTCGCGGAAGCTGAACTCCTCGTTGACGACTGCACTGGAGTCGACTTGGATTCGGTGGAAAGCCAGGGCCTTCTCCTCTTCGGACAAAAACTTTGCCTCCGCGGCACTGCGTGGGAGATAAAAGAAAGCGAATATGGCGAAGAGAACAGTCACACCACCCTCGATGATGAACAGATAGCGCCAGTTGGGGATACTTGATCCCTTGATCTGGAAAACTCCGAACGCAATAAGTCCAGAGAAAGCGTTCGCGATGTTAGATGCGGCATAGAACACAGCCAGGCGACGAGCCAATTCCCCACGGCGGTAGAAGGTGGTCAAGTAGTAGATAACCAGCGGGAAGAATGCAGCCTCAGACATGCCCAAAAACCATCGAAGCGCAAACATACCGCTGAAATTGTACGCCGCAGACGATAACATAGTGAAGCAACCGAATGAGAACATCAGAATTGGCAGCACCCGCGCTGGGCTATACTTTTTGCCCAACATCGAGAATGGCGGCGCAAAAATCACGAATGGAACGAAGAAGATGGACAGTAGGAGGTTGTACTGATTCGGCTTGAAGTTGAGGTCTGGTGATATCGAATTTAGTATATACTGTGAGGCATTCTGGACGGGTTGATGCTTACCATCAGTCATTCCGTCGGTCTCTGCATTTCCCAAATTTCCTTTATCCAAAGCATTGAACAGATCTTTTTCAGGTCAGCAATATTCCAAAGACCCATTCAAGGTATCAGCTCACACATAACGGCCAGAATTGGGAGAAGACGATAATCAAACTTTCGACAGAGGCGTCGTTCAGCTTTGTGGTCGACCACCCGGGTCACATCATCCATTTCACCTGGGACCGAGCCATACTTGGTAGGCTCTTCCACAGTGCCAACAGTATCTGTCCTTTTGACTGTGCCTTCTGGCGACAGCGCTCGAGTCGGGGTTGACATTGTGGGATTTATATTCAAGAAACGTTGATGAACAATATAGACACAAGAAATTCGCACAAGATTCAGTAGCTACCGGCACCACTGAAAAGTTTTACCTTCTCAGATGCGAGATCCCCGTCTTATCAAGTCCAGCTAGAAGGTGACATCCCTTGCTCTATTAGATAAGAATAATGTTGCATTACCGCGATCAAAGAGCCGACATGTCACCCCCACGCTTCTCCGCATCCTGGGGAGAGATTAAGGGAACGGGAAAAGATCGCCGCTTTGCGCCAGACGGTTGCATCCGACCTTCTAAAGATCAATTAGGCTTATAGGCCTTATCTGCGGAGAGGTGTACTTTTGAAGATGAGGATTTCACAATCTATACATTTCCCGTACATGTTGCAGATAAGCACTCTCACCCCTTGATATCCCGTGCAGATCGTGTTTCACTGGGCTCTAAATTCCTTCTAGGAATGTCTGTCACGTTCTGGCCGAGAAGCTTGATTCTAGAAAGGGGCGTTCCCTATTCCGGTGCAGGGTTGCATCCATCTGACCTCACCGCATCTAATCCTCGGTAGCTCACCCGAATCAACGTTTCTGGCTTAATTTACCAGCCTCAATATCATTGGAAGGTCTATAATAATGTTCTTTCTTTAAAAAGGAAAAAAATGTTAGCCCAGCTCTTATTATGTAGTATAGCTTCCAAAGTTCCAAGGGGTTGAACTTTAGAACAATAGAGATTGTTTTCTCAGACTCAATTTGAATCATGTCCCTCTCGGTGTTAAGCTAACCGGAGGGTCATATCGGCGAGTGAATGTATCATCACAGAAAACGAAGGGAATAATCCAGAGTTGTTCTAAAGTTCACATGGGAGGGATCCACTTACCATGGTCCTACAAGGAGGGTTTTTTCACCCAACTTTCAACCTCGAAATCCGCTCCCAAAGTGACCGGGCCTGAGATGTGTTATCCATAGATATGTCGAAATAATGAGTAAAGACCCCTGGATTTTGACACGTTATGCCTTTCGGTCCTGGAGTCAATTGGAAAATTCAATGTGGTCAATGGATGGACTATAGAAAATGGTTGTTGGCGATGCTTGTCCATCTTATACATTTCGGATCGCCTTCATGTACAAGTACCTGATAAAAGCTATTATCAAAATTGTCGCTCCCGAAGTCAAGCCCCTCACACATCTGCGTACAAAGCTGTTGTGTGACTCCTGTGTACTCACCTGTGAGTCAAACAGGAATTTATGACTACAGAATCTCGTATTCATCGCCGTTCGTACATCGCAATATGCGCTCGGACCATATCGACTTCCTTATTGGGTGCCCGGGCGAGCGGCATAGCATGGCTTTCCAGGGGAAGCATTGCAACTGGCCGAGCTATCTAGCTATATTGGATCTTACTTAAGTATGTGTACTTAATTATGACTCAAAGCTTTATGTTCTGGCTTGTCACCTGGGCATCAACATGTTCCAGGTTTGGTGCTAGCTCATGATTCAATTCCGTCGATCGGCATTCATATATTCCAAAGCTCTCTCTACCCTATAGCATACTTTGGATAGGCTCACTAGCCTGGATTTCAGGCACAATACCAGCAAAGTACTGATCTAGCATCTTCGCTGTCGCGCCACCCTCCACCAACCTCGCAATACAACCAACATATCCATCGGGACGGACCACGACCACGCCCCCTTCCCGGGGATCGAAGCCCAACTTTGTGTGTGCGGCACCCTGGCCCCCGGCATGTGACTTTCTGCTGCGCGCACCATCCGAGTATATGTGATAGCGGTAGGGTTGAAAGAACTGGGGCAAAGCGCTAATCTCGAGAGTTGCACGCACCGCATTGAACACAATGGAAAATGTATATAGAGCGGAGTGCGGGTTATGTCGGCTATCGTAGGACAAATCCAGATCTCTGGAATTGCGCATCGTTTGTGAGAATACCGATTCTCGACGTGAGAGCTGTCCTGCGAGGTCTGACAAGGCCTTCTGTTGGTGCTGGCCATTCGTACCCGCAAACACGTACACGTGGAAACTGCCATTGAAAGGTACCTCGCGCTCTAGTGGGATCTCACAGGCATCGATAACGCGTACAACATTGATTGGCGGGAAGCTGCGGCCTGGCTGAAGACCAGTCAGCGATGGAAGAGCTATACCGGCAACATTGTCAATCTGGGTCAGTATGTTGGGCGGATACTCGACCCCGTAGCCGCTGGTAAGTAGGGAGTTTTGTTTGAAGATGCGGACGAACTCTTCGTCTGCCTGTTGCGAGGGGTTCTGCGAGCTGAACAGACTGGCGTAGGTGGCATCAAACTCGATAAGGCGCGAGGCCACAGCACGTCGCTCCTCCTCGTATGTGTGCAACAGCCGCGGGCGCATCAGGCCGGATTCCACGAGGTGGAGCTTCCAGGCTAGATTGTGAGAGTCCAAGAGACCATAGTTCATGCCTTGGCCGGCTTTGGGCTGTGTCCGTCAGTACTAGTCAATGAGTGAGATGGCCCAGAAAAATACGTACACTATGGGTGTGGCAGGCATCGCCCCCGATGAAGATGCGATTGTCCAGCGAGTAGCTCTCAGATATGCCCTGCCCGATATGGTAGGCCGAGTGCCAATCAACGGTCTCCCATTCGACGTGATACGGGCTTAGAATGTAGTTGGCCATTTCCTGAATTTTGGTCTGCGAAGCGTATACGGACAGGTCCTGGCCTTCCTCCGGCGAGATCTGGACGTATATGCGCACTCGGTTGTTGCCTTGGGGAATGATCATACATGAACCTCGGGGAGAACGAATATTGCATTTTATCTGCGAACATTAGCTTTGAAATAGAAAGCCCTCAGGAGAAGAACCCGGGGGAGGAGAAGTGTAGAAAGTACCTGCATGTCGGGGAAATCCGACTTCACCACCCCGTCAATCACACTCCACACATGGACCGTCGGATCCTTGTGGATCATGGGGATATTCAAAAGGTTACGCACGACACTGCGAGCTCCATCCGCGCCGAACAAATACTTTGCCCTGACCGTCTCCGTGGATAGGCCGTCGATCGCGGTGAGCTCTACCTCGACGGGGTACTCAGATCCCGGCGCACGATGTTTCGCGTCTCGAATCGTCCATGGCCGCTGTACCTCGACACCACGAGACTTGAGATCCTCAAGGAATATGCCCTCAATGCGGCCTTGATGAAGGATAGTGGTAAACGGATACCGAGTGTCAACATGCTCGGGGTAGCTCTTGCTGGTACTGGTGCGTTGGATGCTCTTCCTGTCTGCGGTTGCGCCCCAGAAGGCGACTTCGTAGATAAGGCCCGGGTTATATGCCCAGATGGGCCTCTTCAAGCCCATGGAATTCAGCACATCCAAAGTCCGGGCTTGGATGCCATCTGCGCGGCCAATAGAAGTTGGCTCAGGGCGGTTGTCAATGTGCTTTATCCTGTAAGGGCCCAATCGGGCCAGACAGGCAGAGAGCATGAGCCCCACGGGCCCGGCACCGACTATCACAACATCGTATTCCTCAGGCATCTTCTTTGATCTGATTTACCGACTTTCAAAAAAGGGAGTAGGACAGGGCTAGGGAGTATGTGATTGAGTCTATTATATCACAAAGATACGGTGTCATGAATGATCACCATCACCGGGGACGGAGTACCAAAAGCTGACTCCAATGCACAGTTCTCAGCCTGCATGTACCCCCAAGACGCAACAACGGAGAGTAATTGTCACAGCGTGGAGTCATACTACGCAACGCGAGGACAATTCGATCTATCATCACTAGGCAACATTTGATTTGGCTAGATCAGATATCTACCTTTATGTTACACGACATGAGCTTTTCTTCTTTCCCCCACTTTTCACATCTTTTTACCAAATTTCGCCCCCTGAATTTTCTCCAGCTGAGTAAGTTTCTGCACATGCACATGCATACGCGGAGTGGATTTTCCAGGCCATTGTAGACTGCAGCCAAGATCAGGGCCCGGGCCTAGCTGCAGAACTCGATTTGACCTAGTGGTCAGATTCAGGCCTCACCCATGCGAAGACCTCCCTCTGAAATTGGATGCACATCCAGCTTTTCATCAATAAAATCATATTTTTGATCATTAATTTTGATACATCACGAGCGGGGCGCCTCATGGGCCTTGGCACCATCCTGAATCCTGGTGTCGATGATGTCTTTCACATAGATGGCTGGCTGTGCAGCGACCACATCGAGCCATAGACGCTTACAACGTACTCATACTACGTACTTGCAGTATGTCTACAAATTGCGTGATATCTGGCTTTGCGGCTGAGCGTGGAACCTGCATATGGACAACAATTATCACACGAGCGAACGGTTGGTTGAAGCGGTATATTTGACGACTGAAAAAGCTCTAACTTGTATCCCACTGAACATACCATCTCTTACGATCACTCGAATTTCTCTCTTTACTCCAACATTTTGATTCAACGAGTCCCAAAGCAACTTGAAAAGAGTCAGACCAAGGCAAAATGGGCAGCATTTCTCCTTACAACCTCGACCCCGCGCAGTACAAGTTTCCCTCCCCACTGAACGGCTGGGAGAAGCATACACCTCTGTCGGAGTACATAAGACCGTAAAAAAATGATTTTAAAAACCGGAGTGCTGACGGGATTGCAGATCTAAAACACAGGATGGAAAAAGTTACGACAGTCCCGACAATAGTGTCCTTAGTGATGCTTACGAGCACTTTGTGGCGCCAATTTCGAACGGTGGCCGTCATGACTCTCAGCTGCCAGGGTTTGACGTGCACGTATACTTCAATCCCGTAATTACCCCCTGGGCGCCTGATGCAGATGGACTTGCTAATAGGCCACCAGCACGACAAATCTCAAGTAAGCTATGCACAGGACTTGTGGACGCGAATCCGTCTAGAATGTACGCGCATCCAATCCCCGACTATATCCACGTCTAGAAAGAAAAAAAGTACTGATAGACTAAAATAGTTCCCGAGCTGCGGACATACCCCTTACACACGGACCCACAAGGCCCCCACGCCCCGGGAATGTTTGAAGTTGCTCTCTTCACACCGCACCAGTTCGGTGCCTTCGTCAGCTGGATGGTGGTCCACCGCGGGCCACTTAGCGCCCTTGTGCACCCAAATACGGACGAGGAGCTTCGCGACCACCTGCATATGACAGCATGGTTGGGTCCGGAGGTACCTTTGGACATGGAGCGATTCAGGCTGAGACCCATGTGTGAGACAATGGATAGACGGGCTGGGACGGTGACAAAGATCGTGGACACCGGGGATGCGGGGAAGACCGTGAAAGAGGTCAGACGGATTGAATAGGTTGCCTAGCTTTTTTCTTCGGATGAAGAATACCTCCTATACGGGCCATTCGAGGAAATTAGAATTAAAGTTAGAGTATCACACCAGGAATCAGATAGTTGTTGCCGCAGTCGAACATTGAACAACAGGAAACATTACCGGATACGCTACCACTTTCTATAGTTCGCCCAGGACCAAAGGTGATTACTTGAATACCTTCGCATGTTGCCATGTTTTTAGAGCCCTGAGATAACTCGAAAGAACCCTACTGTAAATGAAATAAAATAGGTTGGTCTATCACAGCCGCGACTCCACCATTCCAGCCGTCTCTGACTGGAAAATCACCCGCAGCGCTTTTCCCACTCGCTCAATTGCCTCCCTCATATCTTCAAATGATGAAGATGCATAGGTCATACGAAAGAACACCCCTTCCATACCTCCCTTACCCTGATCAGGCAAGAACCAACTTCCCGGCACAATCAGTGCTCCACGCTTAGTAGCCGCATCATATATCTCTGTCTCAATCTGCAGGGTAGATTTGACGTCCGCCTCAGAATGCTGCTTCCAATCAATAGAAATCCAAGCCTGTTAACTGTCAGCGGGCGATTCACAATCAAAGATGGCTCCACAAGGAGTCTCAGCGAGGCAATTTTATTGAAAGGAATGCAAGAGGCTTGAACCTACAAAGAAACCACTGGTAGGAGGAACCCAGCTGACAATCTCACGAGGCAAGAAAGTATCATATGCCTCCAACAACGCATCTCGTCGCTTGGTATACTCGCCCCTCAAGTGGGCCAGCCACTTGATGAGTCCCAAATGCCCCCAGCTATCATTCAATAATTTGAAGATGGCAACCTGTGAGAATCCACTTGGATTCTGCACGGAGACCTCGTGCGCGCGGAGCATCCGTTCAATGACCTGGTCCGAGGCAGTAACCCAACCCATTCGCGCGCCTGGTGCGATGATTTTCGAGAAAGAGTCCATTCGAAGAACACGACCGTCTGTGTCTAGACGGAGGTAGCTGGGGACCAGAGTCTTCGCGTACTCCTCCACTGAGGTAACGAGGGTGGTGGTCGTAGTGGCCCCTGGTTGGTAGACCGGCATTTGAATGAAGTAGTACGGATCATCTTCAACGATGAATATATCATGCTTCTGAGCAACACGGTAGATAGCCTGTCGACGAGGGAGAGGTTGAGTCATCCCTGCAGGGTTTTGGCCTGTTGGAATGGTATACAACAGACGGGGCTTTTTGCCACCGCGAGCGGCCTCATCCCAGGTTGAAAGGACATGATCAAGGTCTTCGGGAAGAAGGCCATCTTTGTCCATGCGGATCTGAGCGAACTTGAAACCAAGTGGAAGGCCGGTCTCGAACACAGTCGTGTAGGTGTACTGCTCGACAAGCAGGTGCTCGCCGGTCTGACCAAGCATGCGCAGGACAATCTCAAAAGCGGAGGTGTTTCCAGCGCTGAGTATAGTCTGCCAATTGCGGTAAGGGGGGCTGTGGATGAGCTGCTTTCGTCAGATCAGCCCCAGAGACTTGGGGAGTCAGAACATACCTGGATGTGTTCCGTCATAAACTTGACTAGTTGCTTGGAACCCGTGGCAACTCCGTATTGCAGCCCCGTTGCTAGGTCATAGGTACTACTTCCGGTGGTGATATCATGCTTGCCAGCGTGGATGGGCGTCGTTCTCTCCGGAATTTTCTTACCGACAGTCTCGAAGCCATCGGTGCAGGCAACTTCAAAGTCCATGCCATAGAATGGTATATACTCGGTAGAAGGTGCACCGGGGCCGAGGGACCGAATGCCTTCTCACAAGTCAGATCATTTTTGCACCACGAAAGGGGGAACTCCCGCACCTGGCTGGGCCAAGATCCCATGCATTGCTTGCATTACGGAGTGCTATATCTCCGTTAGAGCCATTTCCCTGACACCGAGGACGACGATACCTTTCTCAATGCGCTCTCGGCGCTGAATAGATCTATTTTCGGTTAGCTCCACTGTGTGATGGGATGCAGCGTCTGCCTTACGAGACCAGTCGCGTGCATTCTTGGGTGCTGCGGTGCTCTCAATGGACATGCCATAATCTCCCATTTTGGAAAGAAGAGTAAATGAAGAGTTGACGTGCTTGATGTTTAGGTAAAATGAAAAGGTAACCTCCAGAGGTGTAAGCTCGGCTTTATCAAATCGGATCAGATCATCAAACAATGGAAACAATGGTTTGTCCAGATCGGTCGAGACGCCAAAGAAGAGGGATATGCAGGCCGTCGGTGAGGCCTGAATGTGATCCGTCTTCGGTCATGCCAAGCACGGTCTTCAATCATTGGTGTGCAATTGTGCTGTATCCCCCAGTGCAGCTCGTACTGCGCGGCCCACCTGCGTCGCACGCTGCGCCCCACACTGGCGGGCCGATTCCCGTAACCTTCGCCCCCACTTTAGCACCTGGGGATTGACCATCATCGTAAAGTTCGCCCTTGCCGATACCATCATGGTCTCGAAGGGCGTGAGATGCTACTTTAGCTCCTGGCACGGTCGCACAAGACTCGTATGGAGATGCAATGCAAAAGGATCCGACGATTACTGCAGTGGCGACATCTGCACGTCTCCACAGGGCTTACTCTGTACACACCTTGGGGGCCTGAAGTTATCCTGTAAGCTGCAGAAACGCGCAATTATCCTTTTCACACCAGAATAGCACAATCCCGGTCTTCGAATCGCTCATCCCCTTGCGCAAGGGTATTCCCACGCCCGCAAGCTCCGGAAGCCCCGAGCTCTCCTGTTTCACAAGCTGAGCGCAATGTATTTGTTTCCTGGTTGGAGGGCTGACTTGTAGAATAGTTGGCTGGTTGTCAAAGCCATCAAGGTACGGGGCACTTTTGACTTTACGTCACAGCTGAAAATATGAGTCTTGGACGTGTTGTATTGTTGATATTTTTCGCTAAAGAGTATAAATCCAGCCAGACCAACAATTCCGGATGTGTTTCTGGTAGCTAAATACTGATATTTCAGTAAGATCACACAGACTCTCTCATTCTCTGTTTTACTTGACTCTTCATCACTCCATCTACAATAGTCACAATGGGTGATGCTGGAATTCCTCCCAATCGCGCGGTTATCCGTAGCATGAACCCCAATTATATTGGATTCGATTATATCGGCTGGTATGTTGGAAATGCCCGGCAGACAGTATCATACTTTGTCACCCACTACGGTTTCTCTGTTCTGGCATACCGCGGTCCCGAGACGGGTTCGTTTGCTACGACGGCCTACGTTATCGGGAACGGAGCAGCCCGGTTCATGTTTACAGCGCCGCTCGACTCCCCAGAAAGCTCCTGGGACACACGGGCTAGTGAAGAGGAGCGCGCGTTCTGCTCCGAGGTGCACGCCCACTTGACCAAGCACGGCGATGGTGTGAAAGATATTGCCTTCCAGGTAGATGACGTGCGCGGCGTGTGGAATCATGCGGTGGAGAATGGAGCAGAGTCTACCCGGGACCCTGAAGTGCTGAAGAGCGACGATGGCGAAGTCCTCGTTGCTGGCATTCAAACATTTGGTGACACCATTCACACGCTGATTGACCGGTCTGCGTATCAAGGTCCCTTCCTGCCCGGATTCAAGGCTGTCGAACGCACAGACAGACTGCAAGAGCTGTTGCCAAATATTGACCTTCTTGAAGTCGACCACTGTGTCGGCAACCAGGGATGGAATGGCTTGGATGGAATTGTCAACTACTATGAAAACACGCTCAATTTCCACCGGTATTGGACTGTTGACGACAAGGAGATGTGCTCTGACTTTTCCGCCATGCGGTCGGTGGTTGTTGCTTCACCGAACGAGGTGATCAAAATGCCACTGAACGAGCCCGCGAAGGGGAAGAAGAAGTCTCAGATTGAGGAGTACGCCCTTTCCCTCTTGAGATTCCACAAATATCTTCATTTGATTTCAGCTAACGATGTTTGGTACAGATTCTGCGACTACTACAATGGCGCGGGGTGCCAGCATATCGCATTCCGGACCCACAACATCATTGAAGCAGTCGACGGTCTGCTGAAGCGCGGTGTTGAATTCCTCTCGGTGCCAGACTCGTATTATGTGGATGTACGAAACAGACTAGAGCGAATGGGCACCAAGGTTTCTGAGGAACTCGAGACGTTGCAGAAGTACAACATTCTCATTGACTTCGATGAGGGTGGGTACTTGCTGCAGATCTTCACCAAGCATGTTGGCGACCGGCCTACTGTTTTCCTGGAGGTGATCCAACGCGAGAACTTCGATGGGTTCGGTGCTGGTAATTTCAAGAGTCTTTTTGAGGCGTTTGAGCGCGAGCAGGCACTCCGTGGAAACCTGTAACTTCGCAAATTATGTACCGAGTAGTGGGAGTCAATATGAATTCATGAGTGGACCTACCTAGTATTATCCCGGCACGGAATGGAAATGAACTCCTATCCTTTCAACTTTTCGCTTGTACTAAGCCTGCCCTGTACTCTTATTGGCAACCAGTTGAGTTGGCAGAATGAATTGCAACATGCCCGGAGTAGGTTTTCCAAGGTTTTTGATATACCGCAAATAAAGAAGACCCCATAGACGACTACAAAACCATGTTTGGAATCATACGCGTAAACATGTTGAAGTTTGAGATCAGTCTTAAAAAGCTAAATTGAATTCGAAATTTCAGTCCGGGAGCACCTGAGTCTTTTTCAACCAGAAAGGTGGTAGGATATTTTGTACAGTTTGTGTGCTCATCGCGCACAAAGGATACACCTTGCAGCCGTGGCAAGGCAATGCAACCCTAAACAGGGTTGCACCGGCCCCGGGGAAAATATTCCACGCCGACATCTGGGCTAATTTGCCTCCCTGCAGCTGGGGCCCACGGGCGCTTATGCTCGGCACTCTTGGCTATTCTTTCCCTGGACATGGACTTTTAATTTTTTTCAGCTGTGTTGAAACATGTCTGACATGCATCGTGTTGCAAATATTGATATTTCCAGGGTTGCTGATCTAACTTTCCAATTAATATTCGCTGTTCATCAAAGGATCTCGTTTGTGCTCAGCTGAGATCTGAATAATTGCTCGGCATCCCTGCCGAAATTAGATGGATTTGTTCGAAAAGTGGTTGCCCATTGCGATTATAATAGGATTTTGCAAGTTTTCTAGATAACCTTGCTTTTGTTCAGCTGGGGTATCATTGCATGTTTTGAATGAATCATATTACACCGGGTCACATACTGGTGGCCTACCCCCGGAGTAGACGGTTAATTAATCCACGCTTCTGTCTCGATATAGACAAGCGCCGGAGCATGGAGCTGAGGAGTACAGAATAGGGAATCCCGGTAAACAGATAAAATCAATTTAGCTTCGATGCATATTTACGCTGCAGATGTCGCCATCATTAGTCAGATTTTCGAGCGCAGCACGCTTCCACCCTCAGTCAGTTCTTGCACCACCAAATGGTCTAGGTCCTGTGTGTTGAGTAGCCCCTTTTGCGCTTGCGCCAGATCAGTGATGCCGACTAGCTTCATGGCCACTTGCAGCTCAGAGGTTAAGACTATGATACAATTAGCCTAGTTCAATTGGTAATGGTCTTGTCATTAAATAAAAAGGAGAGTTCGATTGAAAAAAAAAAGAAGAGAAAAGAAAAGAAATAAAGACACACCATCAATCAAGTGCTGCACACCCTCTTGCCCGTAGTTGAGAGCGTACATCACTGGCCTGCCGATCAGCACTGCCCGTGCTCCCAGACAGATCGCTTTCAGGATATCGGTTCCCCGGCGGATACCCCCATCGACCAATACCTCCGTCTCACGCAGAACGTGGGGACAATGCCGTCCCAGTTCGAGGAGTGTTAGAAGGGCAGGAGGCGAAGTGTCCAGGTTTCGCCCACCATGGTTACTAGCTCCGTCAGTCGATACCAATACACTTTCGGGGAGTGGGGCGGACCTCAAAACAATGCCGTCGATCTTCGACTCCACCGCCATCAGCGCGTCTTCGACAGACTGGACGCCTTTGAGCACCAGTCTGCCTTGCCAATGCATCCTCAGCCAAGCCAGATCCTCCCAAGATAACGTGTCATCAATGAAAGACCCCGTGGTTCGGGTAATCCCACCACCTTTCGCGTCGTGGCTGGCCTTGGTGCCTGTCATGGGCATGGAGATCGACTGCTCGGCGCGTACACGCTCATCCGCCTCACGCTTTCCAGGCACCGGACTATCAATGGTCACGAAGAGGGTTCGGATCCCAAGATTCCAGATCCGTCGCAGGATAGCCTCCGAAGACGCGCGATCTTTATTCACATACAATTGGAAGAAAAACGGGTAGTCAGATGGAACAGACGCGATAATTTCTTCGCCAGGGAAGGACGCAGTGATAGGAATCTGTATTTTTGGGTCAATATTTTGATCAGCAACTCATATATTCCGGAGGCCATACGCAATATCCGATCATTTTCTGTGCACAAGCGCGCGCAATACCCTTCTCCCCGTCAGGATGTGCCAGCCGGGCCAAGGCAACGGGCGCAGCCACCACAGGTAATCCGAAACTGGCTCCCAGGACGCTGGTCTGGGTATTTATTGTTGAAACATTACGGAGGAGCCGCGGTCGCATCCAAATACGTCTGTAGAATGACTGGTTGCTGTTGTGGGCAATCAAGTCGGTGGCAGCGCTGGAGTAGAACGCCCAGGCTTTTTTCGATAAAGACCCTCGGGCTGCATCCTCAAAGTCGTGGGTGCTGAGTATGGTATTTAGTGGCGGCTTCTGCGTTTGTCGCTGCGTTTGGGGGCTAAATTTGTTTTTCCACGTTTCGTTGACCGAGGACGGGTCGAGTTGGCCGATCAGCTGGGTGGTAGGGAGTGTCTTAATTGTAGCTGGCTCGTGAACTTCATTGTAAGCGGCCGTGGCATCGTGACCAGCATATCGGAGAATAACTGAGTAAATTTAGTATGGTCGTGTCCAGGTGATAGGACCAGATGGGTTGTTTGAGGCACACAGAACATCGAACATACTCTCGACACCACCAGGGTGATCTGGTGCAAAAGCAGAAACATCCCAGACTTGGTCGTCGATAACCAGCCAGCAGTCATCAGGGGAATCGTGGCTGGCGACTTCGTCTGTGGACACTAGGCGCAGCATTGCATACAGTCCAATGAATCCAACGGAAAGGATAGGAACAAGATCACACGGTGGCAAGTAACTAAGGTGAGCAAGTTTTCGATCAAACACGGTACATCAAGGTCAACGACAATCTGACCAAGGAATGAAAAGGTGAAATTCAATTCAGCCGTATGCTCAGGGCACCATAACAGCATATAGTTGCGATATGTTGTGTGACCCGTAATGCCTCAGCTGTACTCTGTACCAAATGTACGTAAGTGCCCACGGTGCATATATTGATTATTATTTTATTATTATAATTATAATTATTTTTGCGATGCATGCGGCGACACCGGTTCGGCCTAAATCGATTTCTCCATAGGGCCCCAATCAAGGGGGGACCGCCTCGGCGCGGCTCCCGCTGTGGGGGCCTTTTGGATCTCCGGATGAGGAATGTGAACCATCGTCCATCTCTCTTTCTCTCTTACTTTCTTTGGTCATCTCTGTACTTTATATCCCTGACTCAAAGAGTACTTGGAAAATCTTATCGGCCTATTTTTGATTGTTCTTTTTTGCTTCTCTTCAACTACTGCTCCCTGCTCTCACGATTTCACTCAGCAATGGGGGAAACCGACAGGCCTCTTCACTCCGCAAAGGCCGCTCCAAGAGACGACTTCTCTGGAGGAGGCACCCAGGAACGAGAAATTCAGTCCGACACAGAGCTACCACATCTAGGGAATATCAATGAAAATGAACCTGAGAAAACTAAACCGGACAATCCATCAATGGTGATCTTCTGCCTCTCATGCATTACGTTTGTAAGTTGCTACTTGGGAGGCTTGGTCACTGTCTGCGTGCCTCAGATAGCTAGAGACTTGCATCTTGATAAGGGTATGGAATTATGGTATGAATCATATTCAACATCTGTGCGTCATCGATGGCAGCTAACCAGGAGGTAGGCCCGTGTCCATGTACGCCTTGTCCACTGGCTGTACGCTTCTCATCTTTGGGGCTGTCGCGGATGCAGTAGGGAGCAGACTTATCTTTTTGCTCGGCTGCTTCTTCCAGAGTATGTTCTGCATGGCTTGTGGACTCTCCGAGAATGGCACACAGCTCGTTGTCTTTCGTGTCTTCTCCGGCCTCGCAACCGCCATGTGTCTTCCCACTGCCATGAGCATCGTGTCCGAGAACTTTGCCCCCGGAAAGCTACGCAACCTGGCTTTCTCTTTCATCGGGGGTGGCCAGCCTATTGGATTTGGTCTAGGCATGCTTGTGGGCGGTGTCTGTGCTGACACAATTGGCTGGCGCTGGGGCTTTCATACTGCCACCATGGCTAACACGGTGGCTTTCCTTTTGTCCTGGTGGCAGTTGCCCCGACCTACGGGCAGCGGCATCAACTGGGACCTTTTCTTCTTCGGCATCGACTGGCTTGGTGCGATTGTGGTTAGCGCCGCTTTGGCCCTCCTTTCCCTGGCATTAGCGTCCGTTCCCCTGGACCCACTCGCGATACCCCCAAACTAACCGTTCCTAGTATTACAACCGCAGATGTCCATAACGCCGGTAAACCCTCTACCATTGTCTATTATACCCTCTCCGTTGTTCTCCTTGTGGTCTTTGTCGTTTGGCAAGAATATCAGGAGCGCCGTGGAAAACCGACACTCATCCGCAACTCGCTCTGGAAGAACCTATCCTTCAGCTCAATCTGTATAAATGTGTTTGCTATTTGGGGTGCCTTCAACGGCTTCGAACAAATTATCAACTTTTTCTTCCAGAACGTGCAAGAGATCTCTGTTCTGGAGACTGCACTCCGCTTCATCCCCACCCCAATCACAGGTCTTCTCAGCGCCCTCGTAACGGGCATGGTACTGCACCGCATCCGTGCTGATGCCATTATAAACATCACCATTATGATCTCCGCTATCTCCCCACTTATCATGGCCCTCGTCAACCCATCATGGACCTACTGGCGCTGCGCGTTCATCGCCATCTGTTTGAACTCGATTGCCGCAGACTCGCTCTTCACCGTATCCAACATCCTGATTGCTGATATGTTCCCGCCTGAGACCCAGGGCCTAGCGGGAGGTGCTTTCAACACTTTCTCGCAAATTGGAAAGAGTTTTGGACTGACCTTCGTCGAGCTGATCGCCAACATTGTTAGCGACCAGCAAACCAGTGGGGAGGAGAGATACCAGCCGGATGGGTATATGGTCGGGTACCGGGCCTCTTTTTGGTTCTTGTTCGCAGTCAATATTTTCAGCCTGGGGGTGGGTTTCATCGGGCTGCGGAAAGTGGGAAACATCGGAAAGAAACATGACCAGTAGAGAGCTACTGGGTCGCGATTTGATTTCAATAACGAATCATTTTATTCCTTATCATCTTGCAAAATCTGCCTGTCCCTTGAGGTTGAATAAGTACGTGCGATTTGAGTATATATCTCGCGGATCATAAGGTTGATTGAGTAGCTGATGTCACTTTGAGCGAAATTTCACAATGTGAAATAGACATCATGGATCCAGGCTGTTTGGATCCCACGTTGGGAAGATACGAGCATTCTCAGACTGTGAAAATCCCAGATTTATCCATGGATTTGAGAACCACCAGTGCCCCTTTTATCTTTGTATTCTTTTCGTGTATCTCGGGATTTTTCCTAGTTGAAGTGTCGCTTGGGGTGGTAATTTGCATTTCTGATGCAGCTGATTGCCCACATGGTACTTAATAAAAGGCTTCACTAGCAAATTCTACATGTGCACTTAGTACAGTACAACATCTTCTATGCGTCGATCTAGCGTACATAGCATGTACCTGAATCATGATCCCCGAAGACAACTCTCGTTCAAACGGTGTAATTGAAATGGATGATGTTAAGTGCTAGTGAGAACTTGCTGTATCAAGATCAAACGAGCACTTGAAAAGCGGATCTCACCAAACAACGTTGGGCTTTATGATGGTTTACAATCATTCTGGAACGGAGTTTGTCAGCCAACACAACCGGAAGATAGATGCATGAGCGAGATTTAACCATTTCCCCGCAATCCGGCTGTGTTGCGCGGACTAATTGTAGCGGGGCGGTAAATACCCCAGAGCTATTTGTTCAACAAGAGGATATTATCCGGATTAGCCGACATAGAGACAACATTTCAGACGATATTTAAAAGCCCCAATGATCCTTTCCGAGACCTCGCATCGGAAGGAACTGACAGCAAGACTCTCACTTGGCACCATTTCTTCTACTCAAAACCATTATTGAAACTGCCAACGGCGTGTTTTCGCGAAAATGTTTCGATTGACCTTCGGCATATTGGTATATTTGTTGGTCTGCGTGGTCTACTCGGCCCCTGTGCTGGACACGCGCGGCGGGTTGATAGGAGAAGACTCACATTGGGTGAATGTCTGGACAGCTATGCCTCAGCTGGTTGAGCCTGCCAATCTTCCTCCATTTCCATTTGTACGCCAACGAGTTAACTTAATTCATTGAAAAGTCCGCTGATGGCAAAAGGCGAATAGAACGGATCGGATTCGGTGTTTGAAAACACCACCATTCGTCAAACCCTCCAGGTTTCACTCCCCGCGAGGCAGATCCGGATTCGTCTCTCCAATGCATTTGGTACCAATGAACTCGCCATCACTGGAGTGACGGTTAGTCAGCCAGCGAAAGGAGAGGTAGGCTTAAGCGAATCACAGCCAGAGTCAATGAGGACTGCTTTTTTCAATGGGAAGCCAGGAACACTGATCCCCAACGGGGCATTGGCTGTCTCCGACCCTATTGATTTTGCCGTCGAGGCTCAATCCCCTCTCATGATCAGCATATATCTTGAAAATGGACAAAGTGGCTTTTCAATCACCGGGCATCCCGGAAGTAGGACGACTTCATATCTGACACTTGGAAACTGGATCAGCGCGCAGAATACGACACACTCATCTGTTCAAAGTATAGACCACTGGTCTGTTTTTGAGTTCCCAAGAATTTGGTAATCATTGCTGAAATTCGTGCTAGGTATTTCATCAGCGGGGTGGAAGGTTTGATGCCTCCCGGGCATAAGAGCGTTGCAATTATTGGCGACAGCATCACTGATGGCCGAGGGAGCACGACCAATGCAAACAATCGGTAGGAGAAAGTCTCAAAATCCGAAGTATTGACATCTTGACTAATGTCATCAGTTGGCCGGACTTACTACTCAGAAAGATGCAAAAACACAACTTCACTTCAAACATCTCGGTTTCGAATCAAGCAGCCGGCGGGAACCGCATCCTCCAGGATGGCCTCGGGCCGAGTGTATTGAGCCGTCTGGATAGAGACGTGCTCTCGCAGTCTGGAGTACGATTTGCGATAATCTTCGAAGGTGTGAACGATATCGGCCTCGCTAGTCCCGACGGTCCTTCTCAATCACAGATCGAGGAACGTCTTATTGCAGCGTATCAACAAGTTGCGACACGAGTCCATGCTTTGGGAATTCCATTATTCGGGGCAACTATCACCCCATTCGGCTCATCGCCAACATCGGATTATATTCAGCCGTACTCGAGTGCTGCGCGCGAGAAAACCCGGCAACGGATTAACGCATTTATCCGGGAAAGTCGTATCTTTGACGCGGTCTTGGATTTCGATCGTGTTCTAGGAGACCCCCTGGCTCCAAGCCAATTGTTAAAGGACTATGACTCAGGCGACCATCTTCATCCGAATGTGGCTGGTTATCAGGCTTTGGCGGATTACTTTCCTCTAGAAATATTGGCGGAGAATTGAGATGGTGGGCATGGATCCATGACCCCATCCACGAAATTCTGCTTCACTAGAGACAGCGCGGGGCTTTCCGTTCTATTATGCGTGATATATATACGTCAATGTCATCGTCTAATTGGAAACCGAGCGTTCAACCGCGACGCTGGAGGCGGTTTTGAATGCTACGCTTCTTGTATGCGCCGCCATCAATGAGAGCCTGCTCGCGGCCGGGACCGAAGTCAGGGGTACCACCCAGAGTGCCAAAGATATCACCGATGTAGTTGTTGGCCTTGACACCCTTGGCAAAAGTGGCGTTCCATCCATCGAGGATACCCTCGACGACCTTGATTCCAGCCACGTAGAGATTCTTCAGCGCAGGCTCGAATCCACCCTGCTCGGAGTAGAGGAGGTTGTAGGTGGCAGAAGCACCGGGGTATGGGCGATCAAAGTCGGACGCGGTGCGCATGACGATGATGCGGGAGAAGTCGGTCAGCTTGTGAGCCGCGGCGCGGAGCAGGACTTCCAGGGTGGCGTTGTCCTCCTGGGCACTGGAGCAGTAGTCACCAGTTCCGTTGGTCAGGACCTTGGTGGTGTTCTCGAAAGCGGAACCCAGGATGTTGCCGCTATAGTAGACGTCGGAGGTCGCGACATCGCACTCAACGATGCTAGGAGGCAAGGTAGCGGCCTTGTACTTTCCACTGGGGGTCTTATACCGGGGTCGGTAAGCCTGGGCAGTAGCGGAGTCAGAAAGGTTTGCCTTGCGGGCGAAGTTGGCAGCGATGGTGCGCAGCTCGGCGTTAACCTCGAAGACCTCAGTTCCATAGATGTTTGTGGGGTACTGGCCGGGATAGTCTGCGCCCTGGGGGATATATCCAGTGGTGTACGAGCTGTTCAGCTCACGGATATCGATCTCATACTGGAGAGCGACCTGGACCGCGTACCGAGCAAAGGTTGCGGACCCAGTGGTGACCTTCTTGGGGTTGACCCCAGCAATGCCCGCGACGAACCAGTAGGTCTGAGTGAAGTCAAACAAGGGCGAGAAAGCAACAGAGGTGACAGTGGCGGCGGCATTGATCTCGGATTCACCGGTGATCAGCTGGCAGATCTCGTAGTCCTCGGTGCAATGGACATCGGGGAAGATAGGAGAGAGGCCAGGGATGGTGATGTTGCGAGCGAGCAGATCGAATTCAGGGATGTTCCACCAGGCTTGAGCTTCTGGCTCAAACTTTTTCGCGTGTCAGTATGCATGGAACTGGGGAATTGGAATAGTACCCATACCATTGAGACAATGAAGACCTTGGGCGCAATCAAGGCCTTAGGGGCGCTGGTGGCTTCGGCGCATAGTGCGCTGCCAGTGACCAGCAGAGAAGCTGCCAGGGTTCTGAGGAGCTGCATGTTGGGGGTGATGAGTGTACCTGCATGCGACGAGGCCTCTTATTTGTACTCCGTGAAGAATTTGTTCGTCTTGCGCTACGGAGAGACCATCGTCCGATAAGTGGACATGTTGATGCATTTGGACATGATCGGCGATCCGGCGGAGCCACTAGGAGGTAGCTCTACTGCCTTATTGGTGAAGTAGAGCTTCCTGTGATAGAAGAAATTGTCGGAGAGCAATTGTGGATTACTTATCTCAGCTCCTCTTCGAATCTCTGGCTTATCGCGAATTTTTTTCCCTCCCGGAGGTTGCCGAAGTCCCACATGATACAGTATCAAGCATTGCGGCCGAGTTAGTATGGATTTACCAAGCGACTGTTGACAGTATTAATTTCTGTTATCCTGACTCGACTCTTACGTAAATGAAGCGATAAAAAGGCTTCAGCAAGGACATTGAATGATTGCCCTGCAATGATATACGCCGTACCCGTGGTCAAGTTCCACGGGACTTCATTCGGTACCGTGTTTGAGCGCCGAGATCACTTCGGCTTCTCGCGTCATAGTTCAAGAAGCCTTGGGAAATTCCACGGTATCACTGGAACGGGATTTCCACACTGACGGTTCAGGCTCATCGTGTTGTTCCATAATAAGAAACGAGTCCCATGGAATTTACCACGTGGGACACCGTTCCATCCATGCTATCTATCCCAGTGACATGTGGCATCTTGATTGTTTAAACCGACCGCGCTCTTGTCTTGAAATCATTATCTCAGGGGCTGTGGGGATCTTGAAGCGTCTACAGGTTTATTGAGATGTCCAACTGTGTGCAAATACACTGCTGTGTCACGGTGAACATGGTGAGAGAATCAGTCGTCACACGATTCTCACCTTAGTGGCACTCAGATGATAGAACCTATATCCAAGTAGCATAGAAAAGTGATACTGTTAAATTAAACAGAGTCTGGTGAGAACTCAATCTCATAAGAACTGGATACACAACGTATGTTAAATAGAGACCGAGCCTCTGACGCGGGGGGCTTCAAGCCACATGATCGAAGACGTTGGACGTGGGGCATGACGCATGTCAAGCCAGGAATAGAACCGACGAGACCACAGAGTGACAGAGGAACAAAGTGACAGTGACAGGACAGGACACAGGATATGCTGATCCCCGGAGATTAAACGGGCTTTCGTCATCTGACGTCATTTTAATCTATACGGCTGTCGTATAATAAAATCAAGGCCTCGCTTATGCTTCTGCTCTGACTTCAAAGCACCATATCTCTCGCATCGCAGCACCAAAAGAATCCAACGATTCTTTGCGCTAATATCTCTCACCATGCCGTCAATGCACGAACGCATCCGCGAGGACCTCCTCAATAAAGAACGCGCGCTCTGGACCGCCCTTACCTCCGCCGATCCAGCACCTGCAATTTTCAAACTCAGTAATCCCGAAGCAAACTTCATGTTCCCTCGAAGGGAGATCCTCACATTCGAAGATGAAGAAGAATTCAAACGCATGGTGCGACCGCCTTTCCACCGATTCGATGCCTACCAGTTCGAACAGGTCCGAGTCATCATTGTTGATTTGATGGCCGGCGTCGTCACATGCAAAATCCGTGCTGTGAGAGGAAAGAAGGAATACATTGCATCATCCTCAACGACTTGGAGCCAGGGTTCTGATGGAGAGTGGACGCTGGCTGCACACCAGGAAACATTGCTATGATGGAAGGGAGTTGGCTAGGAGTATATGGGATGCAAATGGAAGAGGAATCGGCGAATTTGTATTTAAATGATATTATGCTATGCATCACGAGTCAACGAATCTTAATGCCATGCTGCATCGTTCAATGCATACATCAATAAGATGGACTAGACATTCCAATGTTACACCTGTATCGTACTCGTGTTGAGCCTTCACTTTCTAGTCAATGATATTGCAGGTTTCCAAGGGCGGGCCCACATTCTGCTTTAGATCCATGGATATGGGCCCTTTTTCATTTTTTGCCGCTTTTTGGTGTATGCTCTCATATAATTGAACTCATTCATACAAAGTCATGTTGTAATATTAAGGGACGTATCTCCTTAAGTATGAGTGCCTGTGATTATCGAGAACTAAAAGAAAAGGAAAAGATGGAGATCTTTGAAGAATAAGCTAATTTTCCAAGTACACAATCCGCGATCGAAGATAGATATTGAGAAGAGACCATATCTTCCCCGGACCCCGGGCCTATATGTCCGAGGAGACATTTCCAACCTAGAGCTTAAAGGGTTGATCTTCATTCGAAAGTTTTGTATTTGATGCTCTGTATTCTATCAAGATACCTATAAAGCGACAATAGCTACACAACAAAATGAATGCAAGAAGTAAATACGTTTGGCGAACCAGCTTAGTTATCGGCGACAGTATTTATTCTGCATCTGTCGTAACATGGATCAACTAGATATTTTCTATAACTACTTAAGTACCTAAATTGATAGGTAGTGTGGTTGGGGATCTGCATGCGGTTTATGCCTGCAGGTGATCCCGGCGCCCTATATACTTAAGTACTGAAGAGCGAAGTGCGCAACCAGTCTGACATAGCAGACAGAACGATAGGGTGGGAGAGCGAGGGCAAGCAGCCTCCGTGGTTGTGGGCAGTGCAGTCAGCACATATTAGGTCATGATACTTTGCAAACAGTGCAGGAGAGGATGGATAGAACACGGATGGATGTTTGGTCGTGAGAAGAAAGAGAGATTAACCTGCGCGCAGATTACTGATGCATACTGGAGCTGCATGCTGGGGCGAAGGCGGATCCCCCACTCCAGTACTCCGTGCTTAGCCCTGGAGATATGTTCGCAGACCGCTAGTTCCCCAGGGTTATACCACCAAGGCATCCACACATCATTCTACCAGGGGGCCTTCCTCTCGTAAAATTCACTGCCTCCCCAAGTACGGAGTAGTGGAGTAACTGGTTTCAAGGTTCGCAGACTAGTGCTCCCACTTCGGTACTTAAGCAAGTACGCCATCGCTTCCACGAATGAACCTTGCAACGGGGGTCACCAAGAATCCAATCGGTGAGATCTTCAAGGCTCCGGGGCTATATAGCGCTCTAGCTTTATAAGGAGTGCGGGGGACGGGGCACTATGAGTCAATACGAGTATGGCTTCTTAGAATCGTGTGTACTCCTTGGCGCAGCTTCCAATGCGGGGTTTCAATAGCGTCTTCCAAGGTTGCATATTATCTCACCAGCCCCTCCCCCTTTTCCACCTGCATAGGTGACCACCTCGAAGTTGGTAATTTTATACAAACCCTGGAAGGAGTGTTCCAAATGTGGGATAGGTGGTAGGAATCTTGCAGGTCACTCAAATCTCACCCGTTTCTTGTCCCTATTCCAAAAGAGACAATCTAGGCAGGTGCGTGTGGTCTTACAACCTTGAAATACAGGCGGTAAGCTTTGAACAAACAAGGTAAAGATTTACCTAAGTATCGTGCATTGTGTAATCTGTACAGATTTATCAGGAGAACTGACTCTGGCGAGGAGAGCTCCAGTGATCTGCTGCGGGCGATATCCTGGCTCAGTCTTGCTCACAACCAGTGCAGATACCACCCCGTGTCCACCATCGAAGCTCAAAAATTTCGTTCCCTCGTGGGATACCGATGCAATGATGTTAAAATCACTGCAGCAAAAGGAGTCCTGGGGTCTCCGGTGGCGTTCATCTGTCTATTTTATTGTTGCCACGATGGCAGTTGCCCTTCTCACTGGTATGCCGCTTGCGATGAAGGTCAATACAGCACAGCCTAACCATTTGGATAGACATGTATCTATATGGATTTTTGATACCACTTCTTCCCTACATATTGGAGCATCGTCTGGGCCTCGATGAATCTCTAATTCAGCGCCTCAGCACCGCTTTGTTGTCTGAAAGTGCATTGATCATGTTCGTTGCAAGTCCTTTGATTGGTTCGCATGCCGATCGCTCAGGTGCAAAACGTGCGTGGCTCCTAGCTGGGCTTGCAGGTGCCTTGTTGGGATCCTTGGTCATTGCTCTGGCAACTTCTGGTTCGTGCCCTTATCATACGATGGTTCGATTCAAGTGACTAAAATTCGCTCCAGTCTTTATATTGTTCGCCGGAAGACTGATTCAGTCCCTCGCTAGTTCATCTCTGTGGGTTGTAGGGTTTGCAACACTTGCGGATCAGGTCCCTGTCAAGGACATTGGCAAGATGTATGGATTCGTGACCGTTGCCATTGCTGTGGGCACATCGGGGGGTCCAGTTGTCGCCGGGGTCTTGTTTGACCTTGGCGGATACTGGGTGGCTTGGTCCAGTGTACTTTTCATCGTCTTGTTCGATGTGGTGATGCGGTGTCTGATGATAGAAGGCCTGCCAATCAATGAGCCCGCCCAGAGAAACTCGGATGAGGAAGAGCCAGAAAGAGAGGTCCTATTGCCACTACCAGAAGCCAGCGGCGAAGAACGCCCGGTCGCTGGAGCAGAAAAGACAGGCCTCCGCTTCTATTGGTGTTTATTTAGCAATGGCCGCTTCGTCGGAGGAATGGTTAGTTATTTGTGTTTTGCAATCCTAACGGCCAGTTTCGACGCGACACTGCCCCTTCATGTGCGCAGCACCTTTCAATGGGGATCCATGCCGTCGGGACTTTTGTTCGCAGTTCTTCAGGGCCCGGGTGTGTTTTTTAGCGTGCCCATCGGCTGGCTGAAGGATCGAGTGGGTACGCGACACCCGACCACGATTGGCTTTGCGCTTCTGATACCTTTGCTGTGGGCGATCGGGATCCCGGGGGACGAACGATTTCCCTGGGCAAGTGCAGGGAGAATCGGTCCGGTCATGTATAGTGCCGCAGTCTGCGGTGCGGGTATTGTGATTTGTCTCCTGAATGGAGTGGGAACGATGGAAGCCACTCGTAAGTCTCAAAATCGGTCCCCCCCCCGACCTATCTAATAACAGTGCTCGTATTTGCAGAAGCTGTGGATGAGATTCAAAGCAATAGCCCCGGGATCTTTGGACCGAATGGTGGGTATTCCCGGGCGATTTCGCTAGTGAGTATGAGCTGGACCGCGGGGATGTTCATTGGACCCATTTTGTCGGGATATGGCGTGGAGCAAATCGGATATTATGGAATGAACTGTATTCTGGGTATGTTTGTTCCCTGTCAAAATCATCAGTGTCTCGGCACTAACGTGACCAGCGGGGATGTGTGGACTTTGTGCCTTTGTCGCGTTCTGGAATTTGAGGTCGTCCGTGCCTCAACGGTCTATTAGTGCTTGATGTGGATCATAACGATAACGGGAAGACCAGCCGTGTCTCGATATTGCAGAAGCAAGACCGGCGTTTGGGGTTTTAACCGGATGGGGTAGAGAAGGAGAAAAAACTTGGAAGGTCTCCACTAGCGCGACAAAAGGACGGAAAGGGGGTCTCCGACGTTAGTGGTCAAGTGGGAACTAGACTTTGAAGTTCTCATCTGACACAGCTGTCACATTGAGGTGACAAGAGAGAAGATCCGAAGGTCTAGAAGTGCAGATGAAACAAGGTGGTCGGACGGGGATATACATAGATAGTTCTGAACCATGGAACCGGTGGGACCAGGGGATCTGTGTACCAGGAAGGAACGACGGGATTATTGACTCGGGCCAATAGGAAGGTGCCAATCCAATAGACTACCGCAAAGTCAAATAAAGTACAAACGCACCTGTCAAAAAAAAAATCCTGCCAACTCTTGCCTGAACGGATTGCATTCTTTGTTTGATCGCAACGCCACCCAAAGCCGCTCGCTTACCAGTACCCCCGTACCCGGTCCTCCTTGTTACCTCACAGACTTAACTTCGTGTATGATTGTGATCGATCAATAGTGACACGAAGACTCCACCTCGGAACCACGGATGCAGCTGGGGATTAGGTCCGAATGATCTCCTGTCCGGCCGAACTGGTTTAGTTTCCCGAGGTCGTTTCGTTGACTCCGTACTCCGTACTATATTATATAATAGTAAGATGGAGATGTTGCAGGCGAAAAAAAACTAGCAGAAATTTCTTCAGCCCATACGTCTGCCAAGTCAAAGAACTCATCAATCAGCCCACGGCAACATTGATCAATTTAGCACATCGCATATCACACAACGCCTCCAGTCCATCACCATGGACACGATACGCCCAAGGAATATTGTCATTGTTGGCGCGGGAATCGCCGGAATCGCATGCGCCCTCTCTTTGTCCAAGGAACTCACACCATTTGTCCCGGACTTGATGATCACTGTATACGAGCGACATGACATATTGTCCACTTCTGGCGGCGCCATCAACCTCACACCTGTCGCTCAGCGGCATCTCGCACAATTGGGGGTATTGGATGAGTTGGATCGGATGGGCCCCGAGGGGGGAGCCGATGTGGATGCCATAGAACTTTTCTCGATGCGCTCCGGCCGTCCCATTGGCTCCATCGACTTCACCGACCACAATGGAAATGGCTTCGGCGGATATAAGGGCCGAAGAGTGATGCGGATTGTTCTATCTGTGGCAATGTTGACGGTGGTCGAGCGGGTCAAAAATATCGAAATTGTGTTTGGCAAAAAGGTGGTAGGCGGCGAGGAGCTCGAGGACAGGTCCGTTCTGCACTTCCAGGATGGCACCGAGGCTTCCGGGGATTTAGTGATCGGCTGTGATGGCGTCCATTCGGCGGTCCGAACCCAGTTTCTCGATGTGGGTCGGCCTGCCGAATACACGGGATTATCCTTTTTGCAGGCCACCCTCGATACCAACACGCTTTCCAGCCCTATTCATTTTAAATCGTCATCTTTGAACATATCACGCCATGGGTCAATCCTCGCCAGCTACTGTGATCGGGATGGTGACCAAATATTCGCTGCTGCGATCGTTCAATTTAGCCAAGATGCGCTGAGCCGCTATCGACTGGAGCCGGGCCAAGATTGGGCCACTCAACATCGGATCCGGTGTGCCCTGCGCGAAGAAATTAGAGACCGTTTCGGCAAGACTTCGCTTCCGTGCATTCGAGAGATGATCAACAGTAAAGCCGATTGGATGCTGTACCCAGTATACCAAGTTCGCCCAGGCGGCCGCTGGTCTATGAATCGAACCATCTTGCTGGGCGACGCAGCACATGCCGTAAGTATTCCTGCTCCAATTTTGTTTTTTCAAAAATCTGACCGAAGCACAGATGCCGCCGCGCGACGAGTCTGCCGCATATGCGTTGGACGACGCGATCCTGTTCTCGCGTATCTTGGCGCGTTACCGCTCAGAACCACTGACGGAGGTCTTTGACGCGTATGAGAGCCTTCGACGCGACACCATCAACCGCGCATTCAAAGAATCTCGCCGCATGTGGGAGCGAAATAGAGACATGGGGTTGTTCGAAGGGAGGCTGAAAGAATGGATGATGTCTTTCCACATCAAATCCCACGAGAGCGCGCGGGAAGCTGCATGGGAGTTTGACGCGACAAAAATGGCTCTCCCTACACCGGCGCCGAGTGAAGACTTGGTGTCTTTGAACTCTTTCCTAAGAGAGCGTACCCTTTGAGCAAAATGGCATTTGATAAAGTGACGGAGTTTGGGGCGACTTGCATGGAGAGGAGCGTGTTAATTACAAACAATGGATACCCGGTAATGAGTTGCATACACATCATATCGCGACTTCATTGGCCTTTTGCATACAAAATACCACAATTTTTCACAATATGTTTATCTGCATACGTTATAGAATCCAATCAATTCGGGCTTGGTACACCAGTCGGCTTATAAAAGCTGTTGTAGACCAATATTGAAGCTCCTTGTCGTGTAAAAGCCACAACCATGCCCAGGCCCTTCGTCATGTTTGCTAATAATACCGAGAATTCAAGCCCCGGAAACTACTATCGATTCGACCTTATTCTGATTCACTCCAGTCGAACGGGCGGTATCATGTCGACAGGTAACTTAGAAGGAGTAACGATCGGTTAGTCGCTGCGCTTCCAGCCCGGGTAGATGGGGCGATCGGTCTGTGAATCATCGTCACGCTTCCAGCCCGGATAGATAGGACGATCGGTCTGAGAATCATCGTCACGCTTCCAGCCCGGGTAGATGGGGCGATCAGTTTGGGAATCATCTGGCTTAGGCAGAGCGCTGACACCTGCTGCGATACAGGCCACAAGGGCAACGGTCGTAGAAACCTTCATTTTGAGATAGAAATGCTTATTAAATGGGCTTTTAAAAGCATACTTTTGTCAGTTGATGAATTTGAGACCGTCAGGAAGAATCAACTTGAAGTAAAACTCACAGGAAACGTTTCTGGCTTGAGCTAAGACCTTTGGAATACTGATGATTTCCAAGCTTTCTGTATGTTTGGACTCAAAGATGGATAAATGTTCCCTTTATACTTAAGTAGCATTGATGGAGGTGAGACCAAGATCTCAAAGTTGGTATCCATATTCCTTTTCAGGCTAAGTGAACTAACCAGGTGTTGAGATGTCAGCACATACTCAGGTATAACTATACCATCTATAATTGAGTACTCGCTATTCTGAGACACCAATTGAGCCTAGGTATGCGTGAGCCAAGCGCCATTCATGTTCAAAACAAGCGTCTTTGTTCAGAAGAAGGATCCTTGCTCATTTGCCTATAATGTAGTAATGGTGTATTTAGTTGCCCAAAGCCAAGAGTCCAAGGCTTTAAATATGATTACCGCATTAGATCGGCCCGTTCTGTTGGTATCGTGACTCAATTTAGGGGTAAGCACTAAGTTTGCTAATGTGCAACAGGGACATTGGGGCAGAAATAACCTGGTCTTCAAACATACTTCATTATTGCGAGTATTCCTGAAGACCGTCTGACTGACGCAATCGCAATGCAGGCTCCCCGCCTGAGCAGAAGTCCTAAAGTTTGGAGGACTCACTCACCTAGGGTTGTAGTTACATGGCAGCTGTGATCCTGTGGCTTTTCTTACTGCAGTAGTGAATGTTATAATTCCCACTTACTGACCTCGCCTCGACTTCAAAGCTCATGTACAAGATGATGATTCATCTTTGAATATCGCACCATCGCTTGGGTCGATGTATGGAGATCGTCGTGCCACTTAGACTTATGTCGGAAAAGTCGATGTAAGCCCCAGAGCCATTGTGCCCGTTCTCCCTGGTTATGATATGAATGAAACTCAAGTGTTGCAGTCATGGAAACCAACTCAAGTGTTTGGTGGATGCGAAATTTATCATGTTTGACATATATTGCCAGATCAGTTTCTGCTTATTGACCGGCACACCTTGAGAATTCTTCCAGATGCGATACGGATATGAGGAGGAGATACGCACGCCGGATATTGTGAATGTTGACACTTTCACCTGATCGGGATATGCACCTGCCACATCTATTGATAGATCCCCTAGGCACATATGTACCGGGTATTCGGGCACTCGAGACGCCTTCCTTTCCAGTTTAGTACTCCCCCTTTCCGATTTTTGATCGCCGAGTAAGATTGACCACACCCCGAAACACTCTGACCTGCTCAGTGAGCTGATCCAGAAAGGACACTTTTTGTTGGTTGATTGACGACACGTCACTATTTCTCGGTCACGTGTTTGTGATCTACTCGCGGGGAATTTCCCAGTTTCTCACATGACTTCCGTATGAGGCATCATACATGCCTCAAAGTCGTCTTTCCAGGCTTCGCAAGTGCCGGTGCAGTCTTGGCGGATATTTCACGTACTATAAGGCGAGCTAAGATACTTGGAGAACGTGTCGCCAGTCAAATCGGGAGACCATTTGATACGGCAATATATCTTGGTCCAGAAGAAGAGGGAAGTTGCCCATATTGCCATTTGTTGAAGATCGAGTATCGCGAGGGGAACAAAGTGATGTTTATAGTCTGTGGTGCTCATGGCGAGCTAGTGATCGGACACCACGGCGACATCCGACCAACATGGGACGCGAACTCCGTAACTAGCGCTTTAACCTTGAAAGGACTACAAACACATCGTGATGATGTCATGGCCCAATTGGCTGAGGAACGGCCGAGCATCCTCGCTGACTTTCCGAGGAGAATTTGAGCTATGTAGACCAGACATGGACCCCTCAAAGCAGATCGACTAGCCAGCAAATGGGAAGTTTCAATGGTGCGATGCTCCGTGGTAAGTAGAGATACCTGTTTTCTTCATCCACCAGGCTTGGGATACGTGTTGCAGCAGTTTATTCAGGTCAAGTTGATTAATATGCAACTATCAAAAGAATAACATATACGAGAACGGGAATGTCCCAGAAAACTGGATATTATGGAACCATCTGTAAACTACAACTTCGACATTGGATCAACAGTCAAAGTCCCAGTTTTCGAAATCAGGTACTCTTCTATCGCGACATCTTTGCCTGCCTCCTTTCCATACCCGGAAGCCTTGATACCCCCAAAAGGCGACTCGGCTGCAGAAGCATTTCCTGTTGAAAGGTGAGCAAGATCCGCATACGGGTAAAATAACAACAGCATTACCTGTATTCATCCCGACCATTCCGGCCTCAAGACTCTCAAGCAACCTCCACGTGCGACTTGTATCTTTGGTGAAGAAATATGCTCCAAGGCCCATGCTAGTATCGTTCGCCATCTGGACAGCTTCCTCTTCTGTCTCGAAGCGATACAGTCCAACAAGCGGGCCAAAGATTTCCTCTTGACTCGTCAGCATGGCAGACGTCATTCCGGAAATGATCGTGGGCGCGAAAAAGTTTCCTGGTAAATTTGTCAACCTATTCCCACCACATACAACCTCTCCGCCTTTAGAAATTGCGTCGGTAATGTGTTGTTCCATTTTTATCAAGCCGCGAGTGGTGGTCAAGGCTCCCATCGTGGTGTTGGGGGCCGCACCATGGCCAACTTGGATTTTCTTCGTGGCGTTAACTAGCATCGACAAGAACTTCTCGTAAACGCCACTTTGGACGTAGACCCTGTTGGCGTGTGTGCATGCCTGTCCGGCGGTACGCCACTTCAAGACCATTAGTGCGGCCAGGGCTTGGTCAAGATCACCGTCGTCGAAAATTAGGAATGGACAGTTACCACCCAGCTCGAGAGTGACCTATCAGACTGTGAGCTTTGGTCGACGAAGTTAAATGTTGGAAAGTGCAGTAGCCGTTCGGAAGCTTTTCTATGCATTGAAATCAAAACATACCTTCTTTAGCCCATCACTACAGTGTTTCGCGATGATAGAGCCAACAGCAGTGCTGCCGGTAAATGTGACTTTACGCACGACCGGATGCTTGCATAATCTCTCACTCACTGTGGGGGTGTTCTCGTTGTCTGTCGTAATAATGTTCAAGACTCCCGGTGGGAACCCGGCCCTTAAGGCTAGGTCTGAGAGCGCAAGGATACTGAGTGGAGTCTCAGGCGATGGCTTGATGATCATTGTGCAGCCAGCAGCGAGAGCCGCGGCAGCCTTGCGGATTTTCATCGCAACAGGGAAGTTCCAGGGTACTAAGGCGACGCTGACACCGATAGGTTGCTTGATCACCAGTGTACGTCTGTTCGAGACGGACGGCTGCGCTACTGAGCCCCGGACGCGCTCAGCCTCGCCGGAAAACCACCATGCAAAGCCTTGGGCGTAGTCTACTTCACCCAGAGCTTCTGACATCGGCTTGCCTGTCTCATGGACTATAAGTTTCGCGATGTCGCTTCGTGAGTTGGTAATCAGGCCATGCCAGCTCAAAAGCAATTTGGCTCGCTCTCGGGGGTTTGTATCTCTGTACTTGAGGAATGCGGTCTGTGCGGATTCCACGTATTGATCAACATCGGAAAGGCGGTTGTTGGGGCAGTGAGCGAAGACTTGTCCGGATCCAGGGTCTTGAGTTGCACATTGTAGAAAAGCTTCATCTGGGGATGGATGGATGATACCGACCTTCAATAGCGAATCTTTGCAGTTGCTGAGATTGAACCCATTTGCCGTCTAACAAAGAAGCCTCGTGAAGAAGGCTCGGGTCGTCCAGCTATAGGCGTGTTAATGCCCAGGTGTGGTTATTGACTTTCAGACGGGGGTTTCTCTAGGGGGAAAACCAACCACGAACGGAAAATCGTTTGACATTGCTGCAGAACTGAATTACTCAGAGTGATATTCTGATATATGGAGTGATTCGATTGTTGTCATCATATGTCAGCGGGCTTCCTTCTTATAGGCAAACAGGTCGAGTTATCCAACGAGATCTAATTCTAATGACGTTACTAGTACCTCCGGATCTTCGGGGCCACGACCCCGAGACTCCGTCTGTTGTAAGCAATACTTGGATCTTGACCGACAGGAGCTTGGGTCAAGAATTACAGTTGAAACCTGTTTGCAATATTTGCCTCAGGTGCCCACTGTAGATAACCAGCCTAGCTAGCTTAGATCTTCTCTCTCCTCTCTAACCCAATTAAACAATCATTCCAAAGCAGTATCCTGGTCTAGTAACCCTTCCCTGCTGAAGAAAACCCCGGACAGAAGGAAGATGAACTAGTTGAACGCCAACTCGGCTACCCTTATACGTTAGCGAATATCCCGCATGTCTAGGTGGGCTCTACGGTCACGACCCCAACAAATTACAGTATAATTTGAAGGTAATCCGTCTAAAGTTACTGTTAGGGATTTTTGCGGGCTTGACGGAACATAGATTTCTCCAAGAATCAATCCGCAACTGGTCCACACAGTCCCATGCAAGGGAGTCAATACGGAAGTTCCGACCGGAAGTTCCGACCGGAAGTTCCGACCGGAAGTTCCGTCTCCACCAGCATTTACGCCGCCCGGTCTTGCCTGTTGGGGCTGGCCTGTCCCCATCGCAACACCGCCCGGTTAATCCTTACCTTCACGGAAGTGGAATTGGAACTATACCCATATTGCGAGGCACCAGGAACACTTTCGCGTAAAACTGACCTTTGGAACCATTTCCACTTTTTTGCCAATTGCCACCCTTGGGGTTCCAGAAATGACTATTTAAACACTATCTTTCATATGTCGTGTCCTATTCAAAAGCGACAACCATTTGACTCACTATCGTTACATTTGCAAGGCCTTACCAATGTCGCTCAACCACCCGTTTGACCCTTTAACTCCAAGGGAGATTGCAAAGGTATGTACGAGCAGAAACACGAGATGCCCTGGGGACCGAGCCTGACAATGTCATGTCTAGGCTGCAGCTATCGTACGCCATGCATTCCCAGGAAATACCCCCAACTTTCGAGTAATCACTCTGAAGGAGCCCGCTAAGGCGGAGATGGTTCGATTCTTGGAGCACGCGAACCGCGGAGAAAAAGCACGAGAGAGACCTGCGAGAATTGCTCGTGTTCAGGCGGTTTTTCCTGGGGGCTCGGCCAATAAGTTCATTGAACTTTGGGTTGACCTCGACCAAGCTGCAATTCTGAAAGAGGAACATCTTATCGGAAAGCACCCATACATCGACTCGGACTATATGCAAGCTGTTGAGAAAGCGTGTATGGCAGACCCCAAAGTCCAGGAACACATTGCTCATCTTCAACTACCGGACGGTGCTTCTGTTATTGTCGAGGCATGGGCATATGCGACAGATGGCACTAGTGACATGTCCCAGCAGACCACCATGGTAAATCATGCTTACCCTACTCCTATATGTCCAACAACAATAAAGAATGAGATGCTAACATGGTGTATAGTGCTGGTTTTACATGCGCTTGGTGGATAATCCTGACGCAAACTACTACGCGTATCCACTGGATGTTTGCGCAGAGATATCAGAGGAATTGGAGGTGACCAAGATCTATCAATTACCTTCCGGTCCCGATGATCGTATTCACGACAAGCCGAAGCCGTTCGACCGCCGAAAGATCCACGGTGCCGAGACTGAATATAGCCCTGGTTTGAGACCTTCACCCCGAACAACGACGAAGCCGTACCAAGTTGTTCAACCCGAAGGTCCTTCGTTCAAGATACAAGGGAACTACTTGGAATGGGAAAAGTGGTCTATGCACATCGGTTTCAATTACCGAGAAGGTCTCACCCTTCCCAACGTTCGTTACGACGGCCGTAGCCTCTTTTACCGCTTGTCTCTTGCAGAGATGTTTGTTCCCTACGGCGACCCTCGGACCCCTTACCCTCGCAAAGCAGCATTCGATCTCGGCAATGACGGAGCGGGAATCAATGCCAATAACCTACGTTTGGGCTGCGACTGCTTAGGTCACATCAAATATTTCGATGGCTGGCACACGACTACTTCAGGAGACCCTGTGAAGCTCCCGAACGTAATCTGCTGCCATGAGCAAGACGACGGGATCTTGTGGAAACACACAAATTTCCGGACACAGAATGCCGTTGTGACACGTTCACGAATTTTGGTCTTGCAAACTATCATCACAGTTAGCAACTACGAATACATCTTCGCTTTCCAGTTCGGCCAGGATGCATCAATTCACTACGAGGTTCGGGCTACTGGAATTCTTTCGACTTGTCCGATTGATATAGGCGACAAGGTACCCTATGGTACCATTGTCGCTCCCGGTGTCCTTGCGCCTTATCACCAATATTTGTTTTCTCTTCGCATGGATCCTGCAATCGATGGCCACAGCAATTCCTTGCAGGTGGAAGAATCACATGCTATGCCTGTTGATACGCCTAGCTGCAAAATCAGGTTGACTCCTACACCAACCCCTTCGGTGTCGGATATGTTACACGCTCTTCTATTGTTGATAAAGAGGGAGGCTTGGACCTAGATTTTACCAAGAATCGCACCTTCAAGATTATCAATGAGGATGTCATCAATCCTGTGACTGGAACCCCTGTCGGTTTCAAGCTGCTTCCTGCCTACAGTCAGATGTTGCTGGCACACGCCGGTTCATTCCACTCTAAGCGCTCCGAATTTGGAATACACGCTGTGTGGATCACGCGTTACGACGACGAAGAGCACTTCCCATCTGGCCGTCACACCATGCAGTCACTTGGTGGCGAAGGAATTGCTTCTGCTATTGAAAGGCGTGCTGGAACCGCAGATTCCTCGGTACGTGGCAAGGACATCGTCATTTGGCACACGTTTGGATCGACGCACAACCCAAGAATCGAAGACTGGCCTGTCATGCCGTCGGAGAAGATGGTCGTCGGTCTCAAACCAGTTAATTTCTTCACTGGAAATCCCGGCCTGGACGTTGCGCTTTCGACACAGGAGAAGAACCGGAGTGTGTTGGTTGGTGGAGGGGACGATGTAAACTCGAAGTCCAGCTGTTGCAGACTGTGAATTGGATAAATCAAAGCAGAAATGGTTCAGGCGTCCAAATTGAAGGGAAAACATGATAAAAAGATAGCTTTCTTTACAATGTGTCAATTTTAAACTACTCTTTTCCTGATGATCTGCTGGATAATGCAATGCGAAATCAATGTTTTTTATTTGAAATAATCGGAAAAAAGTCCAAGGTATCTAAGTACTACCGCCCAGTGTAATCTCCATAAAAATCAAACTACCTGGTCTTTTGCATTGTTCATTTATGTACCGGGATCACAGGTTTACTGAAAGGGGGCACACGAAACGCCTCTCTAAAGCGGTCTGAAGAGAGGTTGGACACAGAATCTACTTGTATATGTTGCGATTCATGAGTCCTGTGGTGCGACCAGCGTCTCTTGTAAATATGGGTTTGCCGGCTAAAAATCATGAAGGATACGACAGAGCAACTCCGATAAAGATGGAATATGAGAAATTCTTGGTAGAAATAAGTCTTCAAATACTTCAGTCTCAACCCTAGAATCTTCAAGCACCAATACGCAGTACAAAGTCTTTTCCAAGAGTTCTAAAGTTGTGGCTAAGCCATTCTTTTCTTCTGAGCTGCCATGTGATATTCATACACAATCAAAACGGGGAACTTCAATCGCTCACTCCAATGGATTTCAATATTGATACAGGGATTCTTCTACCAAGTATTAATCGCAGTGACTCTGCATGGGTTTTCGCTCCTTCGAGAGTTCATATGTCTATGATATTACGTTTACAGCTCGTGATATCATGGCATCCATTTCCATATACATACTCTGTACCGCGAATAGAATAATAGTGCATGGTCGGAAATATCGATCAAATCCGAGAAACATCTCAAGCAGAGGATCTTCTGCGGCACGGTCACTGGACCTTGGAGACGGTCTCGTAGAAAGCCTTACCCTGGGCAGTAGCAATCTCGAGCTCCAGAGCACTGGGCTTGCGGGAACCGTCGGCACCCTATAATCTGTTAGAACGGAATGTCTTCAAATGAGGGCTTGTGTCAACTCACGGAAAGCACCCGCTGCCCCACTTGAGCAGGCGCTTGAGGAATACTTCCTTTTCAAGTGCAGTTCTAGCTTACATGGTGAAATGGTCTACAGGTGTTGGTTGAAAAACGACCCCCTGTTGCTGAGCCTACCAAAAAGACCGAAGAAGCTCCTCAGCAACATGGTTCCCAAGAATCATCTAAGGAAAAGAGCAGTGAGGGGCCCTGCGGATTACCTAAGAAGTGTGTGATTCAATAAGTCTCTTTGCTTTCATGACGTTCCGGATTCTTATGAAAGATATGATCTCTACAATAGAAAACTATATAATAAACCATCAAGGACTGTTTGAATTATTGCCATATAGTATATGGAGAACATTCTCATTTCAACAATTCCATGTACTATACACCATTTAAAATCTTGATATGTTTGTGCATTATCAGTCCTTCATCAAAACCCATTGGACCATAAACATAACTTTGGACAACATACTTTGATATTTTCATTGTCTAAGCTTGAGTTAGCTTCTTCACCTTCCGGTTACTAATCACCAGCGCCCCGTAGAGGCCCAAGCTCGATGCTGATGTTGGCTGGAAATCAGCTATTTTCCAGTGCTCAATCCGAAACTATTGATAAAAGTGAACCATAACTTCTTATTAATATCGCAGAGTTTCCATAGAAAACAACAAACCACTAAGGCCACTAAAGACTCTCAGTTAAAAGGCCGAGCTGTCAAAGGGAAACCTCAGACTCAGCAGGTTTGACTTCTAGTCGGATAATAGCCTAGAGGTCAACCAATATATCACCAAGCGGTCGAAGCTCATCTATATCATAGAAAAGACCAGCAGATATATGCTTTGCCTTTTTGCAGGTATTGCAAATACTGCAAATTAAACCAGCATTGCTAGTGCAGACTTTAAAACGGTCCGAAAGCCGCACATAGATTATTTTTATATTAGTAAAAAGATTCTTCCTCTTAATCTCATCTGAACTACCAATAGGTAGCTATCGAAGCATCGTCTTGGAACAACTAGTAATACTATATTAAAATGTCTTTCTATTTAAGTTATTAAACTACAGGATCAAAACAACATATTGTTAATATTGCTTTCTTTTATAAATCTATACTAATCCCTTCCGAATATTTCGATAATATATTCAACAAAATATTAAACCTTCCAAACTATAGAATTCTAGGAGCTTTCTAGATACCAAAAGCATATCTGTATAAACATAGCAGTATACATAGAAGCATACCTTCTTTTCCTTTAGCACTCTTGCAGCCTTTAAGAGTTTAGTAACCTTGTTTTTATACACCCTTTGCTCTTTGCCTAATCGAGGTCCACCTTATCGTCGAGGTCTGTCTCACTACTAAGGACTTGTTCTTCCTCTTGATCATAGTCAGAACAAACAACAATAGGAAGTCCAGAATCCCTACCTTGTGGCACAAGATAGATCGATTTACTAATAGAACCAGATTCCCTCTCCAAAATCATACCAGACCAGTTTAATATAGCAGATATAGAATCCTAGCCTTATAGTACAAAACAATTTATTAACTCTATATATACAGAAATCTAAATATGATTTTCTATCTAGGATAGAGATCGTTTTCGAGGTATCAGAAGCAAGTCATTGCTTGCTATAGATACATCAGGCACACACAGGATCAGGGTATTGCTGTATTATCAAAAGCTATATAGGATTATTTTCTGCTTTCGTAGAGTTGGTTTTAGTATATTACTTTAGGTTTAATCTTTTATTAAGGTTTAATATCTAAATAATATTAGCAAGTTAATTCTTAATGATTTGTAATGGATGATAAAAACCTTGGAGAAAAAGAAGAGGGTATCCCTTGATAAAGAAAGTAGTAGGTACCCTATTGTAGGACAGTACTAATGTTTTGCTGTTCTTCATGCCAGCCCTATGATATACCTGTTGAGATGGAAGTTTGTTCTAATCTTTGTTTGCTGTAGATAAACCCTCCTTCTATAGGCTTTCTTTCTTCTCCCTCTCTCTCTCTTTCTCTCTCCTGAACAGTTAATATGATTGGTTCTGTTTACTTCTTTTTCTTTGCCGCCTGTAGGCTTATTAATACCATTGCTCTATCTTTACTGATTTAATGAGTTAAGATATGTAGTAGACTAGGCCTTTTGCCTTGGAGTTAATATAAGAAAGATTGATTGGGATATAGATAGATATCCCTGGGTTATAATATCAATAATATATTAGCTTACTTTGATAGTAGATTAATCTTATGTCATTATAAGACTAGGGCTATCTCACTATATAATATCTTACTTAGGATGAATAGGTATTAGTCTAGAATTGAGTTAATATTTGATTTAATAATAGTGGTTAGAAGAATATAATAAAATGAAGCTATACTTGAATAATAGTAATATTTAGTTACTAACTTTAATATCAAGATTACTATATATAACTACTAACCTTCAAGTTATTTTCAATTATTAACTAAAGTTCTTTATTAGTTTAAACTAAGTGTAGGATCAATATCAAAGAACTTAAAAAAAGCTAATAAGATATATAGAAGAACTCTAACCTAAACTAGAACTATATTATAACAGACTACTATAATACAAATACAATATAGTCCTAAAGCTATTCTCTACTTATTTATTCTATCTTTATATATTATCATAAGAAGTACTTAATCCTTATATATAACTCAATCGATATTAGTAGATAATTCTAATATCAGATATATTATTCGACAGTTAATATACAAACTAAGTAGCAAAAAAACACTCGAATATATATACAAATATATATATAACGTTTGAGTATAATAGCAATATTAAAATAACAAATGCAACGCATAGACTTTTATCTTAGTAGATTGGTTAAATAAAAATACATATAGCTCTCGATATAGACTTAAACTTATACAAAGAGTCCCTTCAATATAATTAGCAAAACCTCTTAAATATACTATAAGTAAGATATAATATATAGATAAATAATTATTTCGAAATATAGATTTAATATTAATACTACTATATAATTATATTAATTAAGAAGAAAATTAAACGACTAAATCAAATATATTTTTATCTCTCCTTAACTATATAAAACTAAAGAAAATAATATTTTTTAATCGCAATATATAATTGCAGTTGGATTAGTTATATTATAGTTATTTAGCTTTTTCTATTCATAAAAAGTTTACAATTTATATTTAACACTTATAGAATTCGAACAGAAAAAAACACTAATTAGACCAAAGATCTATAAGATCTAGAAAGTCTAAAATCAACAATCTATTTAAATAGATAGCTATTAGAATACTTACTATAAGCTTCTAAGCTATATTATAGCAATAGTTTTTGAACTTATTATCTTCATAGTATTTTCCAATCTCAATATAGTTAAAATAATTTAATTTAGTTAATCAAAAGATTATAATTGCTTAGTAGAATTCTAGAATAAAAATAAATAGTTATAGATAACTTTAAGATAAAATAGATTACAAATAGTATTTTTCGAATAATAGAAGACTCTAGACTTAAGTATACTTTCTACTATCTACTACTAATAAACTATTTAGACAAAGAGATCTACATAGATACTAAATACTAATACTTCAATCTCCAAAAATTTCCTTCAGAACCTATTTTTCTTATTAGCTGTAAATTATAAAGTAGATATATATATCTATCTCCTTTTATCCCTCCTTTTCTCTTTTCAAGTTCACTAGGGAAAAAAAATAGCAAATAATATTGCTATAAAAGTGGAGATTAATTAGGATACTGAACTAGAGGCTCCCCTACCATAATCACTGCCACCACTACCCTCCCCCCTACCACCTAGCGAGAATGCACTGGTGGTAAGCTGCCAGGCCCTGAATCTGGTAGAACTAAAGGAAACCCCCATCTTAAAGATGGGAACAAGCGCACCCTCCAACGTAAGTCTAGGGCTTTTTATCAATTCCTTATCATCTAATTCATTATTTCATAATTCTCTTGATCTGTTTATAATCTA